GTTTCATATTAGTCGGTTGTCTAGAAATCTATAATGTCTAGTGATCCAGCCTCGTTGTTAGGCTCGTCATATGTCAGTTATATGCAGAAGAAAGTTGGAGCTGGACTCTGAGCAGCTAGGAATGGGAGAGGAGTGATAAATGAGCTGTACCGCAATGAGAGAAGTCCCTGTAAAAAAAGTGGCCTTTTGGTCTGTGGTGTTGCAGGCCTCCAGTCTTGTGACTTTTTCCTTTTTGCTACTGTCATTGACAGCCATGGTAATTTAATGAAATTTGGATCATAATAAAGGAAGTAACAGTGACAATGGCTTAGACTCCAAGGACTTCAATGTGCCACAGCACCATCTGAACAAAGCCAGTTGGAAATGAACTTAAATGGGAGATTTCCTGAACATATTCCCTATTGTTAGGAAGCAAGGTTGACTTGTTCACCTACAGCTGTGCCAAATAGTCACACTACACAGTCTCTAGAGACACATTAATGATTTGTTTCAATAAAAGCAACTTCTTAATAAATATTTATATAAAGAGCAAAAGGGTCAATGGCTTATATTTCACTAGAAGTGGACTTGGCTATACAACTGGAAGAGAATATAGGAGAAAGTGAGCCCAAAGATCCACTCAAAGGACTGGCACCTGACTCTGGATGACACATTTCCTCATATTGCTTCTCAGCTCTGGCAGGAGCTTCATTTCAAGGTATCAATTTGATGAGTATGAAGTCATGTCATTGGGAACTTGATTAAAGGATAATTTGTTACTTGGATAATAAGGACTTAGTTTGAGGTCTGGAGACATACAGTTGCCTACCTAGTTAAGTGTAGTTAGTAACAGAGCACATAATGTGTCTCAAAGATTTGACCAGGAATAAGCACACTTTAGTTTATCTCACAGGGAATGTGAGAAGTTTCTTCACAAACCTTCCATGCAGACACATAGTAATTCACCAGCTAAGGCACAATTATTATTAATTTGATTCTCAGGTGACTTTTAGAGACCTTTTAAAAATTATTATACCTGAATAACAAGCAGGCTTTGCCACATGAGACAAGGTGACAGTATTTGCACTGGTAAAAGAAATTGTTTCTTGACGATATTAAATTCTACCCATATCCAAGGCTAAAGCTCTGCCCAGAGTATGTCTGTTTTTTCCAATCAGCTATTCCATTTAAAGGTTTAAATTCACTTAGTTATTTAGGTTGTTTATATATCTGATCTGTTTAAAATCGGATCTGTTTCACTTCTCTATAGCTTACTTATTAATATACTTTAAACTGCTCATTTGACAAAAGTATCCCAAATTAGAAAATTCTTGTGTGAGTATTAGTTATAATTGCTGGAAAATGATATCTCTTTGCCTGTATTTGAAAGGTAGGAGATAAAATGGGCCAGTGTAAGTGATGAATTGTATGTGCATGTATGTGAGAGAAAGGGAGAGTAGGGGGAAAGAGAGAGAGGGAGGAGAGAAAGAACTCTAAATTGGCTTCAGTATCTGAGTTGGGTAGTAAACAGTTCTAGTAGTCCAAACAGGAAATAAAAACGAAATAGCTGGCTTGTAGGAGAATAAGATAAGTTCATATTTTAAAAGCTTAGTTCCAGGATGTGAGGCATTAGAGTAAATTTAGCCCTCAACAACCGGAAACAAAAGTCTGGCACCTTTTAGAAGAGAAGAAAGCCCAAAAGCTGCTAGGACTATAAAATGGTACAGCGACCTTGGAAATCATTTAGCAGTTTCTTAAAAAACAGATGTGTACTTACCATACAATTCAGTCTATTTCCTGTTACTGTAACTAAATACCATAGACTGAATGTTTGTATCAAATGTCCCTCTAATACCTTATATGCCTAGAGGTGGGGATCTGGGAAGGGGGTTGAATCACATGGACGTGATGTGGATTAGCAGTTTATAACTAAACATGCCGTAGGGAGGTGGAGCCTAGCAGGAGGAGGTAGGTTACTGGCACCATGACCTGGAGGGGTTCATCTCCCACCTTGATTCCTCCCTTCACTCTCTGGGCTTCCTGTCCATCCTGCTGTAAGAGCTGTCCCCTGCATGCCCCTTCTGTGCCATCCTGCCTTGGACCCAACTGATTCCGAACTGAAACCTCCATAAAATGTGAACTAAAATACACTTCTCCTCCTTTAACTTGCCAATGTAAGTTATTTTGTCCCTGCAGTGACAAGGTGTCCTTTCTTCACCTTCCGTACTAAACTATCTGAAGGTCACAGCCACCTCATCTTACAGTGGATTTTTAGTGACTTTGAATTCAGGACATTCTTCTGACTGTAATTCGTATTTACTTATATAAGATTCTGTGATTTGTATTTTGGCTTGTTTACTTTTAATTTCCTTCAATATCCTATTTTCTCAAAATATTATTTATTAAGCACCACATTGGAAAAATATTATTGCCTTAAGTAGACTGCAGTCATGTTTGAGATTTTAGTTTCTAATCTGCAAGAAAGTTAACTATGCGCTTGCAAGGTAGGCACTTTTGCCACTGAGCTAAATCCCCAGCCCCGACATGGTAAGTTTTATGCTGAGAGAAATATTAATGCACAGATTAAGGGGAACTTAGCCTAATCAATAATTCATGAAAGATATTAATAAGTTCAAAATGAATTTGTAAACATATTTCCATAGTTTTTCCTCCTTGATTGTCTGCTCTGAAGAAAGGAATGCCTTTTACAAACTTTCATTTGCAGGTGCAAGGATATTTCTCAATTTAAATTAATGAGGTGTCTGACTCAGATTTACAAACATGCTCATGAGGCTTGGTGGTTAGAGGATAATTCCCAAAAGTAATCCTATCTTGAAAGACTTAATGCAGTGAACAGCTGAGATCCCCAAGGACAGATGAGTAAGATACCAAAAGCTATCAGTTTGCATAGGAAACACCTTATCTAGCTTATCCTTTTTCATTTTTATTACTATATTAGTCACTAGAACTATTTTTTCACTGCTATAATAATAAAAGACAAATCAAGGGTTCATTAAGAGTTGTCACACCACTGTTGGGCAAAATCACCAGCGTTTTTCTTGGTATCAACGTTTGTAGAAACCTTTGCTTCCGAGAAGACAGTGGAACCTCTGAACTTTATAAATGAGAATTCCATGTTATCAGGTCTGCATAGGAAGCAGCTTGGAAAGACCATCAACACCTGAGACAGCGAAATCCAAGATAAGACTTAAAAATTAAGTAGAAACTGGCCCAGCAAAATGATGTCATGGTACAGCACCTGCCTGGAAAGTACAAGGCCCTGGATTCGATTCCTAATACAAAAAATAAATAACATTCAGAAAAACTCCAAATATATGTGAAAAAAGTTAAGAGATCTATTTTGATAGGCTACACAAAGATAAAGGTAGCATGGGCCAGGTTTGTAGCTGCAGAAGTTAATAAATGTGGCACATATTTCAGATATATTTTGGAACTAGAACTAGCAGGGTTTGCTTATGGGTCATGTAAAAGGTAAGAAAAAATATAAATAAATCATAATTCTTATGTGTGTGCCTACAAACAACTATGGATTGAGACAAGGAGGTGGGAAGGAGAGTAGAATTACAAGCTTGGTCTTGCCAAATTCATTCTGAAAAGCCTATTGGATATGTGTAAGTGAAAAATCCCAGCCGGTGGTTGTATGTTAGTGGTTATTATTAAAAATGTAAGAAACAAAGATATTAACTTGAGAGTCACTTGCTTATGCATAGTAGTTAAAGCCACAGGAGTAGATGAGCTACTCAGACTAGAAGTTAAAAAAGCAGTGAAGGCCAGAACCCACGGGTGCCTTGGAGGAGTAACGGAGGGGTAGGAGCTGGAGGAGGAGCTCAAATCTCAGCAGCCCATGAGGTGAGAAGGAAAGGCCGGCCAGTGCCTGTCGCAGAAGGCAAGGGAAGAAGGGATTCCCGAGAAGCAGTCATTAGATGCTGGGAACCTGAATAAGATGAGTGATCCTTAGATTTGGAAACAGAGAAGTTCTTTGATAATCGCTTTGTGTGGAGTGGAGAGTCAGGAAGTCAAGTAGAACAGGTTGAATAAATAACGAAGAATTAGCAAATGTAATTTGAAAATAGCAAATGCTTTAGAGATATTTTCCTGTGAAACAGAGGAAAACAAACGCATGGAATTTCAGCATGCTTTGGCTTTCTGTGGGAAATGTAGACATTGTGATACCAGGGGTAATATTTTATGCTTTGCTTTATGCTACTGCATTACCTAACATATTCTCCTGGGTATGTTCTCAATTCTAATGACTGATGGATAGATGGGTAGGGTGAGAGACTTGTGATTTGTCAAGAAGAGAACAGTTGTAGCTGAAACAATCCTGCAGACAGGAGGTTTTAGGTTTCTATTTTAACTAGACGTCAGTGAGAGATTAAAGTATGACACTAGAATATTACCTAGAAAAATGAATATAATTGTTTACTTAAAATTTTAGAATATGATCACTGATAATGATATATTTCCAGTGGCACATTTATGGTGCTTCCCTGATTGTAATAATCTGGCAAAATTTTTTCCTATTCAGAACAGAAAACATGAAGCTCCATTTAGAAAGTTCGGCTTTTATTCTTGCTGTTAACTGTTTCCAAAACCTTGTCATATTAAGAAAACCACCATGGTACTGGCCTTGGAGTGGTTTAAACAATGGAAAGACCATTCTCAACAAGTCTTGTTTTAAGAAGCTACTTTACATAGCATCAGACAAAGTCTTCAGGGACTAATAAGGAAAAAGAAAGGGTGTTACTCTTTCTCCTCAATCTCATGGCTACAGTATCTCTGGCCTTTCTTCCTGAAATTGTCAAATTCATAAACTTGCCACAGGCTGATTATTCTCTGGGAAACTGCTGCACACTAGCAAACTTACAATGGTGGTATTTATATGCCATGGCAGTAAGTGACTAATAGAACTGCCATGAACTGAAGATGAGTTGTTTATCTGCAGATGGATTTCCTTTTCCATAGCAGCCCCTGGGGAAACTGTCATGCAAGTGAAATCACTCTTGGAGTCCCTTCTTCTGTGGTGTTTGCTTTCACAGGCACCAGGAGTACTGTGTTCCCTGAATTTTATCCCTACAGGAAAAAAAGTAATTGATAAACTACATGAAACCATCAGTATCTAAATGTCACTCTATTTTCAATAGGCACTCAAGAAAGAGCGCTGTTTTGTCCAGTGGAAGATTCTCTAGTTCATTTCTTTTTTTTTTTTTTTTCACGTCAGATGGGTAATGTGCCAATGTCGTAACAAGGTTCAAAGGAGGCACATGTCATGCATGGAGCATGAACACCCAGTCATCACGCTTATGTACCTGAGGATCTTTCGACTTCGTTTCGAACGATGAAATGGGATGTGAAGCAGGTATGACGCGGAAGCTGCTGTCTCCATCTCATGTGCATGGCCACCTCCATCACAGTCAGTCTCCCTACTCCTGTGTTTTCAGTTTGCTCAGGCAAGACACTAGATTTCTGATCCAAAGTTTCTTTGTACCTGCACCAAGTGTAGAGTCTTAAAAAGTACTAGAAAGAGAAACTCATGGCTGACTTTTAGGAAGTAGTGGATCTCTGTTGACAATATTTATTTGACAAACATTTCTTCAGCGTATGCTATGTGCATCATGCTAGTGACCGGATCTTAATAAGTGTACAAAACATTTCATTTAACCCCCTCAGCACACCCATGAGGTTAGTTTTATGAACTAAATGGTGTTAGATCCAGGTATGCTCAGAACCTGTTAACTAATTGGATCAAAAGTCCAAAACCAAAAGTCAAAAACATGGTTTTTCAACCTAAAATTTTGTTGAATACTTTGTAGTAGAAAACCACAACCCACAACTTTTTCTGCTACTCTGTAGGTGAGATCTGAGGTATTTCACAAAAATAAAGGTCATAAAAAAAGAAAGGTCACAAGGCTAAGGGACAGAGATGAGCTTACCACAAAAAGGAAATATTCAAAACACCTTCTCCCTTACCAGATACTGGTTTAAAAATATAGTGGAAAATTCCATCCACTTTAACACTTTAAAGAAGATACATGGGAACAAATTCAAAAGATTTGTAGAACATGTGAAGAAACAGGAAAGCATAAATAAAGACTTGAGGAGGAAAAAACTTGGATAAATAAGCAAGTATGTCATATTATTGCATTAAAATATTCTAAGTGTTCCAATTCTTGTCCAATTATCCTATGCATGTAATATATGTGTCAAGCAAAATATCAAAGGAATCCCTACAGATTGTTGGAATTATCATAAAGTTTACTTGGAAAAAAATAAATATGTTTGACTAGTGAATAACAAATCCCCAACTTCCCAAAAAATGTTTGAGTATTACCTGCCAGATACACTATTGACTATAAAGGTGCATTGATTAAAAGCATTTAGCACAAGTGCAACTAGTGGTAGCAAAGCAAAGAAACAGCATAGTTAGGAGAGAGCAACACTCAAGAATGATGATAAAGATTTAAAATATGACAAACACAACATAATTCAGACCATCAGGAAGAGAGTACAGAATTAAAGTAAGTTCCTTTCCCACATTTTAATTACAATAAAGTCCAATCATTTTATATATATATATATATATATATATAATGTTTTTAAACATTTGTTTCAAATTTTTCAGCATTAAAAAGTGTATCACTATAGGCATTCTTATTGGATAAAGCTTTGTGCACACTCTTAATTATGCTGATCAAATTGTAGGTCAGAGTACATAAATACTCTTTAAACTTCTGTCTATATTGTCAAATCACCATCCAAAAACTCTATCAATTATATATTCTATCAATTATATATATTCCTGCCTCAGCCTTCTGAGTGCAGGGATTATAGGCATGTACTACCACACTGAACAGGAAATTTTTTAGATGTAGCATCTTGTTACCATAAATTTAAAATACAGATTTTAAAAAATTTATTTGTATAAAAATGGATGTGGTAGTGCAAACCTGTAATTCTAGCACTTTGAAAGGCTGAAGCACGAGGACTGCGAGTTTCAGCTCAGCCCGGCCAATTTAGTGACCTAGCAACACCCTATCCCAAAATAAAAAAGTAAAAAATAAAAAGGGGCTAGATATGTAGCTCAATGCAAAGGGCTTAAATTCAGTCTCTAGTTGCCATGTATAAGATACAAATAAAATGCAAACTAAAAAATTCATGTCAAGAATTTTCATAGGAAAGTTAAAAGCAAATGGTAAATAGGAAAAACGTGCAGCAAATACGACAGATATATATGAGTATAAAAAAAAACAATAAAGGCAGCAGCATAAGCACCTGCCTTGAAAGCAGGCAGTCCTGAGTTTGATCCCCGGTACCGATAAAAAGGAAAAAGACAAAAAAAAAAAAAAAACCAAAAAAAAAAAAAAAAAAAAAAACAGTAAATACTCCCCATTAAAAATAAAATTCTAGGAAAAAGTCAATGCAATGAAAACCTCAATTGTCCATATACATATGCCAGAAAGTTCCCCCTCATCAACTTCAGTCAAAGAAACAGACATGGGATAAGGAAATGATACCTTTGTCCAGAAATAAGCAGAAATATGTAAGAATACTGGCCTGTGAATATTTCTGGAAAAATATTTTCTTATACCAAAGTTAGGCAAGTAACTGGTGTAGAGTTTTGAGATGGTGATTTCACAATTTAGATCAGAAAGTTTAAAGAGTAGTTATGTACTTCGTCTTATAATTTGATCAGCATAATTAAGACTATGAACAAAATTTTAACACATTAAGAAAGTTTATAGTGATACTGTTTTTAATGCTGAAAAATTGGAAATTAATGTTTAAAATACGATTAAGACTATACATTGTGATGCAGTAATGCAATTAATGTTAATAGACATTGTTATTTCCAGCCCCTCTCCAAAATATAGCTTGTCCTTGTTTTATTAGAACATCCAAGACTCATGGGAACTGTTATGAGGTCACGGTTTGGGTTTAAATGCCCCCCTCCAAGCCTCATGCAGTTTTATAAGGATGGTTTGTGGAGGTGGCTGAATCAAGAGTGTATGATTGATTGGGTGCAATGCTGGGATTTAGAGTCCTGGGAGTAAGGGTGGGTGATTTCTGGATCAGTCCACTGATTGGACTGGCTCCACTCTAATCTCAGCATCATGGGTAGAGTACGAAAGTACAGAAAGACACCGTCAAGGTTCTCTTACTGATTTTGCTGTCTCCCATCTCCAGGAACATTTGCTCCTCTGCAGTGTGCCGCTCTGCCTTGGAGCCAGCTAATTATGGGCTGAAACCTCTACAAACTGTGAGCTAAATAAACCTTTTCCTTCCTTAATTTTGAGTGTCAGATATTTTGTTTCAGTAATGAGAGAAAACTAAAACAGGGACTGTCAGGGTTTTACTATTACTCCTTTCTGGCATATGTACATGGACAATTTAGGTTTTTATTGCATTGACTTTTTTCCTAGAATTTTATTTTTAATGGGGAGTATTTATATAGTGGCTTTCAGTTGCTTCAAAAACAAAGCAAAAATCCTTCAATACTTCTTTCTCTTCTTCTGAGAATAGTAATAGTTAATACATTGCATATTGTTATCTTTAATTACTTGGAGTACAAGATATAGGCATAAAGATTTCACCAAATGATATTAGCACATACCTTTCCTTTTAATGAATTAATAGTGTATTTTTGTACTTTTCCCCTTTTTCCTTCTTTCCTCTCCCTTTCCCCCACCCTAGCTCTTCTTTCCATTTGAACAATTTCTTCCCAGTTCACAATATTTATTGTATATTTTGCACCTTATTTACTCTTTCAGTACCTCACACCAGAGACAAAAATGTTGACACATGTGAGTCTGATTTATTTCACTTATGAATATGGTTGTTTACATACAACAGTCTCCAGTTTATTCTTTTTATGGCTGAGTAGTATTCCATTGTATAAAAGAATCACATCTTCTTTATCCATTTCTCAGTTTATGGGCATTTGTGTTTCCAAGATTTAGCTATTCCAGATTAAGACACTTGTGATTTGGTTCAGTGTAACATTTTCAAAAACACTTCTTCAAACCAGCCTGAGGTCATCTGTCAGCCTCGTGTATTTCAGCCTTTCCCTTTCAAATCATCCTGAGGCTAATACCTTTTCAGGGCTTCTTTACTTTCTCCCCTGTTTTAGCAGCTTCTGTGTCCCAAGTCTTAACTTTTTTTTGTGTGTGATACTGTGGATTAAAGCTAGGGCCTTCACACTGAGCCCCGTCTCCAGGTCTTTTTTATTTTGAGACAAGGTCTTGCTAAATTTCTCAGACTGGACTCACACTCATAATCCTCTGCCTCAACCTCCCAGAGTGCCGGGATTACAGGTATGCTCCTCCGTTCCAGCTATGACCTGCATTTTTAAAGCTTATTACAAACATCCAGACTGTGGCTTGTGGCTTGTTCTCTGAACTCCTAGAAAAACGTTTCTGTCTTTTGCCATTTAGCTTAAGAGGTTTTTATTACTTACACCCTCTCGATAAGATCCTGAGGCCTTTAAAGCAGAAACAATGTGCCTTACACTCTCCTATCCACCAGGGCTTAGCATAAAGGATTTTGACAAATGTGGCTGATGGCTTTCTCAATGCATGAAAATATTCAGAACCACCCAAGACTAGATAGTATGTCTATTCTCATCAATTGTCGAAACCCAAGCAACAAACAAAAAAACAGCAATCCTTTAATACGGGAAAGCCAAAAAATTGAATTGTGACATTTAAAAAAATCCCCCCAGCAGGATTCAAAATACTTTTTTTAGCCTTAATCCAACTCAGCAGAATACAGATGGATATGAAGCATTAGGGAGTGGGAATTTGAGCTGAGGGGTTTCTTGGGAGATGGGGCTATCTTGACCAAGTTCCACTTTAGCAGTGGCAGAGAGTTATGCGTGTTTTTAGCTGCAATCTTCACTTCAGGCAATGCACACAGCATGAGGCTTCTGTGAAAGGTCCCATGGCTCCAGCATCATTTCCTGGGACTGGAGAGGAGACACGGCTCAGATGTAAATATTTCCGATTTGTTATTTTACCAATGAGGCGCTGAACTTTGGGTCATTAATCTCTCTTACCTAAATCTCAACCCTGTTTAGTGCTCTCTGGGTTTTCACTGAAACTTATCTTAGTAGGAATAAAACTGCAAATCCCTGCTTGCTGATCATCTCTGACTTCATAATTACTAATCAACCAGTCAGTTCCTTCTCCTGCCAATCACACAACATTTCCCAAGAACTATTATTTGCTCATTCTTCTAGATGACTGCTACACTCTGTTCCTCTGTCCTCAGACTTCTGCTTATCTCCTTCCCTGTCCTCAGTCTTAATGATTTTGTTTCCTATTTCTCTGGGAAGACTAAAATCACTTAACTTCCTCTGCCTTATCTTTGAAATATACTTTGAAATTCGTCTTGTTGCTGTGAGTGTATCACCTTTCTGTGTGTCTATCTAAGGCCAAAACTTTCACTTAAGCTTTGGATGTAAGCAAGTTTGCCAACTCTGGGCCATCACAGCAGCATTCTCTTTTTCTTCCATCAAGCCCTCCCTTTCTGTAGCACTGGTCCATCACCGAACAAACAGCCTGTGCTTTAAAAAATCCTTCTCCAGATCCCATTTCTTCTTCCAGTTTTCACTACATTACTCCTTTTTATAGTAAAATTCATCAAATTAGCTACCTGTGATTTCTGCCTTTAGAGTTTCCTTCCAATTTCTTTTGAATACAATCCATTTAGACTTTGGAACGCTCCACCAAAATTGCTTATCAGCATCACCACTGACTTCCACTTTGCCAAATCCTGTGGGTTTCATGTTCCTTTGACCACCCTACAGCACCTGACACTATCAGACTCCTTTTTCATTATTCCATCCATTTCCAGGATATTGGTCTAACTTTCTTCTCACCTCTTTTACAAACTCTTTCACTTGTAAGTTCCTATGGGGTTTGTATGTATATCACATTTTGCTATCCAAAAGACTGATAAAAAATAATGGCCACATTCTTATTAGGATATGGCAATTTGCTTTCCAATATGAGACATATTTTTTTATTTCCAATTTGATTGTTCCAAATCATTATTTCCTTTTTGGCTGCCTCCTCACAGTCGATCTACTATCAAGGAAACTGAACAAACATTTGCCCTATTGTAACTAAATGCTAGCTTCCTGCTTGATTCTAATCTGGACCTACCAAAAGACAGTTTCTATGAGGGACTGACGAATTTCCTAGGGATAAGTTTATCAGAATTAACAAATATAAATAAGGACACAGTAAATTTGAATTTCAGGTAAATACTTTTTTAGTATAAATATATTTGATTTAGTATTTGTTTTTTCTCTGGTGGTTCTGCCTGATAAAGGCAGGCCTAACCCATCCTTAAGAAAGCATGACACTGTAATACACTTTGGGGTGTTGAAAACAAAGTATGTTTTACTCAGAGTCTGATGTCTTCTCTTATTTTTGTATATGCTGATTCACAGTAAACTTGTGAAACAGGAAGTGAAGAAGAGTGCTGTGCTGGAGGAAAAAACAAAATTAAAAACCTTTGGAAGAGCTTTTGCATGAATAGAATAATATCAAGAAAGGAGGGATAAGTTTCTGTCCGTACATCACATGGAAGCCCCTTAGGCATTTTGGAGCTCTGCCCTATAGGAAATGATGATGCTTAGCAAGTGACGCCAGGACCAAGATGCTTGCTGGATGTATTGTCAGTATCCAGCAAAGCTTGTGGTGCTTCCAGGGAACCCAGCCAGAAACCGTAACCTGATTCAGCATCAGATAAACTTTGGAAACAGCACTGAGGAAAGGTCAGCTTTTCTTTGTTTAGAGCCTGGAAATGTCTTCTGATCAATGTCAGTCACAAGCATGCTTGACTATTGCATTCTAGGCAAAACGGATTGATGGAGGTTCTGAAACCCAGCAAGTAACAGTGTAAAGACCCAGTGTATCACATTTTTGTGTCTGTTGGCTTGACATGCAGGTATACTGAGACCACTGTGGCTGCTCCACACTCCCCTGGAAATATGAGGGCAAGAGAGCCCTGGCCATACAAAATTAGAAATAATTCATTTCAACTCACCAGCTAGCTTTTCACATCTCTTAACCTTTCACTAACTTTGGGGCAAGATTTGAGAGAGGGATGGCTGTTTGAGACCCAACTCTGTGTCATATTCTGCTCATTCTCGTAGAGTATTTTTCAAACTTGATTTCTCACATGTAAATATTAATGATGACAGAAATAATGTCTCAAAGTATATTTATGAAAGATGATCAAAAAATACAATAAATGAGTTTGTCAAGTGCTATCCAATAGAAGGGCAGATGCATAAATAATTATAGTGTGCCTTCATCCACCTTATTCACTGGGTCTGGCACCATGTGATTTTGTTTGTTCGTTTGTTTGTTTGGCACTGGGGCTCAAATTCATGACCTTTTGCTTGCCAAGCAGGTGCTTGTGCTGCTGGACTAAACTTCCACCGCTACCATATGACTTCTGGCTCTTCCCTAAAGTCAAATGACCAAGACAGGTAAGCATTTTTAATTAATTCAGGAGACCAAGTTAGCCCTGACAGTACAACCAACTACTTCAAGAACTGCTTCAGAAAGCAGCAAGAATGATGAAAAAAGCATGCTCCAAGCAAGGAGGTATATTTTGAAGGAAATTGATGGCAATATGTCTTCTAATGTAATGAATCATTTAAATTTAAAGACTTCTCATTTTTTTGTCATATCTCATAATCTGGTGGGTCTGAATATTTCTATGCATCAATTAAGCCACCAATCAGCATTTACCAAACTTGTATTTAAATACACCACCCATAAATAGAAGACTTTAAGACACATAATTCTCAATTTGAAGACTTTTGAACTTCCCTGAGAGGGCAAGAATTATAACCAGGAGTTACCTATCTTGGTTTGTCCAGACAGTCTTGATTTCCACTTACTTTCCTGGAGAAATTATAAAAACTGTTTCACTATCAAAGCATCCTTGTTTGGGTGATAAGTAGTATGGTCATGCTAATGGAAAGCTTTCTGTGTAAATAGTAAGAGACTTACAGAATTACATTCTCTAAAAGTACAGAGAAAAGAGTGACCACTCTGGGTTAAAACGTTAGCACTGGCTTCTTGGGCATAAGGCTTAATGCGAGCATGGAATGAGAAGTAGAAATGTTAAACACAGAGAAAAAGGAAGCTCAGGTGGAAAGGATGGAGGAAAAACACTTAATAATGAAAGAGATTTCTTGAGAAGGAATCACTGTAGCAGTGTTCTTAAAACTTTTGAGAATGATAATTAAGGTCACTGCCTAAGGCTCATCTATACGATGCATGCTGCCAAGTAGTGATTTTCATAGCACAAATTTCATCCAATTTGTTTCTGATTAAAATCTTTAACAACTTCCCTGTTGGGGTTTATATCTAAATGTCCCCTCAGAATCTCATATGCTTATAGATGTGGTTTTAGGACGGTGATTGTATTATGGTGGCATTCTACCCATGGGTGGATTAGGCCACTGGTGAGTTTATGGTGAAAGACGCTGTTAGGAGGTGGGGCTTGGGTCACTAGAACACGAGCTAGAAGGATCTATCTCCCTCCTCTCTCCTCCCTTCCCTCTCTGCTTCCTGGATACCATGAGGTGAGTAGTTTCCTATGTCAGACCCTTGATCATGCCTCTATGTCTTGGAGCCAATTGACTATGGACTAAGACCTCTTAAAATATGTAAACAAAAAATAATCCTCTCCTTTAATCTGTTGGTGTCAGGTATTAAGTCATGCCAATAAGCAAATAACTAAAACAGATTTTGGAACCAAGAGTTGGTTTATTGTTGTGACCGTTCCCCGACTATGTGGTTCAGAAGCCTTAGCATCTGGCTTTCAGGAAGAGTCTGGAAAGTTTTGGAGATGTAGTCTAGTGTACCCCTGGAATGCTGTAAGCAGACTTTGATGTGAGATTCTGATCAGAACTCAGAAGACTAAAATGTTGATTAAAAAGATAGACAGTAAAGACAAGACTTAGGGAGTTTCAGTTGGGAATGAGGACTCCATTGCCAGCTGAACTTCAGGCCATGTGTGTTATACTCTGGCAGAAAATCTGTCTCCATTTTGCTCATGTCCTGAGTGATAGGATTGTCTTCAAAAGATAAAAGATGCTTCCAAAAGTTGAGGAGTATAAGACAAAAGAGGCCTTTATTCCAGGAACACGGGGAGAGGAGACGCCATGGCGCACCGGCTGCTGGAATCTGGCGATCTCTCTCTCGGACACGTGGCATGGGGGAATATAAATAGCCTAAGCTTAGGGCAGTGCCCTAAGGCCATTAGAGATGCACAGGTATTTCACTGGCACACGTTTAGCGCCAGAAACAGGTTCCTAGGGGTGGGGGTATAGGGTTACAGGTAAATCTATAGGGGCGGGGGAGGCAGGAGCCCCCTAACTTGGCTGCCGCTTTTCCTGGTTAAAGTGTCCGGTCTGGGCCAGCAACTCTTTCATATCTTTTATCTTTTGAAGACAATCCTATCACTGAGACTTTGCAGAAGACTGAGATTAAGGACAGTGGACTAAGTGGCAGAAGAAATTTAAAGGCAACCCAGTGTTCAGTCTGTAGCATTATCACTGCTTGCAGCTTTTAGTAGGATCTACTATGAGAAACAGGTGCAAAAACCTAATAAAAAGAGGTTTTTTTTCAGTTTTCCAGAAAGAAAGAGTCTGCAAAGTTGGAGCAGTGGAGATCTTGGTTACTGAAAGGATTGACATTAAAAAGAAGCCAAGTACCTTACATCAGGACGATAGAAAAGATATCTTGAAGGCATGGAGAAATCAGTAAGACACTACTCATCAAAAATTTAAGGGTGCAAAAGTGAAAGACTTTGCTTTAAGAAGAGACCCCCAAGGCAACAAGCTCAAGAAAGGCTTCCAAGGAAATTATTTTTCTGTGATTCATTTCACAGTACTCAGCTATGCCCCAGGTTCTCAGGAACTCGGATGAAGCCGTGAAGCAAAAGAGTCCAGTTACTGCTGGAACCAGAGGCAGATCTTGGTATCATCAATTTAGAGCTGGTTTCACAGTCGTGCAGAATGTAAGAGTTGTAGTCTCAGAAAGGCTTCCACCCAATTTCAGAAAAGGCCTTGGAGGTCAGGGAGTGTGCAGTGTGCTTAGAAAGGGGAGTATGTGAAGCTGTGAGAATGAAGCCAAAAGTTCGGTGGCGACCCCAAGAAGTTGGAGAACCATGTGTTGGGAGCATGGAACATCTGAAGAAAGCCATATGGAGTGAGCAAATCCAGCCCAAGAGGGAAGCCGTGCAGGCTAAAGCAACTGGCAATGCCGTAGGGGCAGGGATGTCCAAGCCATTTATAGCTCAAATACTTGACCCACAGCATTCAATGTTTGCCTGCTTGGCTTTGGTTTGGTTTCTTTCTGGCCGGTTTCTTCCTTTTGGGATGGAAATTTTTACCTTGTGCCATTGTACATCACCCATGTTTACCTTTCTGATTTTTATAGGAGATCACAGATAAGAGGTTGCTTTAAGCCTCAGAGGATCCTCTGGACATGACTTTTCAGCAATCTAAAACTGCTCAGACTTTGCAACTCTTAGATACTAAACCATTTCACGTAAAGAAATGCACACGAGTCATTTGGGTGTAGGACAAAATGTTCAGGCTTATATTTAGACGTCCCAACAATGAGACAGTGACCATGACATTCCCAATGTCAAAAAGAGTCTTAAAGGAAAACCAAAGGATTGAAACTTTCAGAGAATCACTAAAAATCTAGGCGTGAAGAAGCAATGTATTAAAACACTGACCTTTCCCTTAGAGCCACGGACTTTCTGCAGTCACCTGCTGGGGGCGGGTTGCCCTGGTGAGTCCTTCTCAAAACTTCTCCTGGGAAGTCTTCCAAACGACCCCACATTAAAACCATTTCTGAAGATCTCATGCTCCCTTCCCTCTATAGACATTGTCATTAGGGGCCTGAGACAATGTGGAGAAAGAACAAAGACAGTTATATTGACAGATAGTAGTTGATTGTACTAACCTCACAGTACACCTTATGCCCTGAGAAATAAATAATTAATTTCTTTCTTCTGTTTTAACTTCAAAAATGAATACAAATATATGATTCAGTATGTTTTTCTGCATTACAAGGAGATATCTTGTCTACTCCCTTTGGGTTTTATAGTTTTGAAAACAAGCTGCTGTTAAAGATTTAAATGAGGAAAAAAGAGATGGGATGAAATTGGTGGCACTAAAATTATTATCTGGTGGTATTCACTGCACGGATGAGCATCAGGCAGGATAAATTGGGGAGATCCTTGAACAGAGTCAGAGAAGAAAGGAATTGGCTAAAGACTGGCAGTGGTACATGTTAGAAAATTTTGTAGTCCTTAGACATGGAAAGAAAAAAGGAAATATGAAAGAATGGAAGTTTTAAGTAAAAATAACCTTTAACTTATTATAGAACAATATTGTATTTGAAACTCAGTGAGCTAGGCATAAGACAGAAGGAGAGAGAGAAAGAGAAAGAAGAGGGGAGAGAGAAAGAAAGGGAGAGAGAGGGAGACAGAAAGACAGAGATGCTATTTGAAGAAGGCATGTACACAGTTACACGAGGCAAAACTCAGGGCTGCAACTTGGATGCGTTTAGCATCCATTCTGAATCTCTTTCATTATACTGTGCTATCTGATCCTTTGTTGGACGGATATATTTGTTCTGTGTTGCAGGTACTGAGGTGTGTTTAGTGATTAAGAAACAACATAAAGTTCCAGCACTTTAAAGCAAAAATGCCTACAAGAAATACCCAGATCTCTGAGGATTCTACCAGCCCTCAATCCACTGGACTAAAAAACATGGCATATATACAGGACAGAGTATTAATCATAAAAAAGAATAAATTTGCCACTTGTACTAAAATAGATGCACATTAAAATTATAGAGCTGTTAAATAAATCAGACACAGATGCTTAAATATTATATGGTTTCTCTTAGAAAGCCAATGTGTAAGTAATTTAAAGAGCAAAAGAAAAGAGAGATAAAATAGAAAATAGGGAGATAGACCTTCAGCTTGTAGAAAAAGGATCTAGAAGTGGAGGGAGGGTAGGAGGAAAGGGAAGTAAAAGGGACTCGAATGTGACATGCACAGGTACAAACTCCTCATAATGAATGTATTCATTATTTTTTGCAATGTATTAGTAAAAAAGTAAAATTAAGTAAGAACACAATTAGAGCCTAAATTCTACGTCAAACGCATCACAGTCACTTCCTTTTGAGAAAACAACACACCTCATAGACTATATATATTCTAATTAGCAGTTTATCACCTGCTTAACAGACAGGAAGGGCATTTTCCTTGAATGTAGGGCATAGATAGGTTCTCTAAAAGACCTAACTAAATATTTAATTTTTTTTTCTTTTTGAGATAGGATCTCTCTATGCAGCTCAGGCTGTCCTTGAGCTCACTTTGTAGCTCAGGCTGGTCTTGAATTTGCCATGATCCTCCTGCCTCAGCCTCTCAAATGCTGGGATTTTAGGTGCGCACCACCCTGCCCAGTTCTAATTTGCTCTTTAAAACACTCTTTTCTCAATAAAATTTAAAACAGAATAACTAAACTGTTAGACTATTTTAAAAAGAATACCAATTTTTAAAATTCCCATTGAATATGTAACTTAGATTGTCAAAATGAAATACTGAGGATATTTAATTGATAGAAACTTTTAATAAGGCAAATGATGAATTGGGAAGGTTTTATCATCAACAGGACAGCTTCACATTCACTGAGATTATGTAGCCTGATGATTAGGGTATTAGATGATTTGGTATTAGGATGTTGTCTACAGCCCAGCAGTGTTACCTCCCCTGGGTACCATTCAGGGATTCAGGATCTCCCCTCACCAGCACCTAGAAGTGTGCTTGGTAGTTATTAGGTGCTCAATACATATTCAAAGAATTAGTAAACTGATATGATTTCAGAGCTCTGTACTTTTTCATAGGCGAGTTCTTCTGTCTGTTTAAGGACTCGGCTTTCCATCCTCCCAACCCTCTTCCCCATCAGTCTGATGAAAATCCACTTACATTTGAGTCTGGGGTCAGGTATTAGGCCTTCCGAGAAGTCTCCCTGCCTGTCTCAAAGGCATTTCTTCTCTACCTTAGTGATGTCCAAACATTGACTGTTCTTAATTGCTATTCTCCTCTTGCATGCTAGTTGGTTGCTTGCATTGATATATACATCAGGAAGTTTAGTCATTTCCCCTAATAAAATAAAATTCCTGCTCTTTGGAGTTGGCAGTGGTGGGAGGCCATAATTAGGAAGGAGGGAGGGAGGTTCATCCAACTGCTCACTTAGGAGACTCAGCCTGTTTCCCAGTATCCTGCCCATACTTGGCAGAGGTGATGTGCCTACTCACCATCAGAAACTCTCTTTATTCTTGCAACCATTCGGAAAAAACAAAAGCAAGATTTCCTAGCTCTGGGAGAAAGTTTCTGAAACCCTACCCTATCATCACCAGTGACTAACACTGGGAAATACCCACCTTCCTTTCTCTTCCCCTTTCTTCCTCACACGCTGCTACAGGGGGATGGTCTTACTCCTAAGTGCACAGTCAGGAGCCTGAGCAATGTGCCCAACACCCCCATCAAATGTTTAGTAGTCATGTTACACTTACACCTGCATTGAAGCTTCCCCCACAAAATATCATTTTATCTTTGTAATCCAGTTTTAGTTTCAGTGCCTGACATGTATTGGAAGTTTATATTTATTTATCAACTGACAGTTTTTTTTTCTATTTTCCCTTTTTATTACATCCAGGCTACAAGTTTACTTTTTATTATTATTATTATTTTGAAGGTAGTAAAATACAACAGAACAAGATAGAACAAAGCCAATTGAGACAGTGCAGTGAAACTGGTACAGAACTTCACAGCAGGATACCGGGATAACAGCAATAGGTACCATACTGTATCTGGTTATCTTCACAATAGTTGTTCTTTCAGTCAGACATAACAAAATCAAATGAAATACAGAACATTATAGAACTTACCAAAACAGAATATTGAAAAAAACAATATCGTTAATCAGAGCAAAGCAAAACAGTAATAAAAATATTTGCCTTCAAAGAGATGGTAAAAGGAAATCCCCCTTATTTGCTATATTGCAAATATATTTGCTATATATTGCATATGGTCAACCTCCCAAGAGATGTTCAGACCTCTGGCTCCCATTTGCTAATGCAGAGGGGTGAGGGAGAGAGGATGGGATGTTTGATTTTCAGCCTGCGTGCTGGTAGGCTCATGGCTGCATACCAGGGAGGCTCACTGGTTGCTTGGTTTCCCAGCACCCTAAGTTCCAACATGGCGCGGATCTCAGGAGATGCAGGTGGTTCTTGCTCTGGAGTGGCTGCAGCTTGCTGGAGCCACAGCCATTTACCAACTGATGGTTTTTTAATCATGACTCATACCACAAAATTATAAGGTTAGGGGTAGTGCTGCTGGATTGGTATGAACAAGTTCTCATAAATTGGTATTTATTTTTTCTTTTTTTTCGTATGTGTTTATGATACATAATAAATGCATTCATCATGGGGAATTGGCCTCTGACACTTTTAATTTCCTGTTTCCCTCCTGTCTTATCTCCCTCCATTCCCAGATCCCCTTTCAATTACACAGAGTCTACCTGTTTGTTTTCTATCATGTGTCTTTTATTTTGTTCTTTGGATTATTTATACTTGATTTTCTCACATAAGAGACGTTTTCTTGATTACTTTTCTATCATTGCTCAGACAAAATACCTGATGCTCAAAATAAAGGAAGGAAAGGTTTATTTAGCTCACTGTTTGTGGAGGTTTTATCAGCTGGCACAAGCTCGAGTGGCACATGGCAGAGCGTAATAGTTCATGGTGGTGGAAGATAGCAAAAACAAGAGAAAAAGTAGAGGAGCACAGAGAGAAGACTCTTTTTTGTCCCTTATATTGTATATAGGCTATCTGCTGTAGGGTGGGTGTAGCACTCACACCCATAATCCCAGCATTGAACCATGAATCAATCACAAAATCTTGAGGCCTGCCTGCATGACTGTATGAGGCTCTGGGGAAGGGTCAGCCAGGTACAAACCATAACAGACATCAGGCACTCTTTAACCTTGTGTGTCTCATTTGTTTTAGTTAGCCTTATGGTCTCAAGGTGCATCTGTTTCCCTATAAATGATTCAATTTTACTCCTCTTTATGGCTGAATAGTACTTCATTCTGTATATGTATAATATATATCACGATTTCTTTATACATTCATCTGTTGATGGACATATAGGCCACTTATAAGCGTTAGCTAATATCAGTTGTGGTACTGTAAACATGGCTATAACTGTAATATGATGTCTTTATTTCAGGAAGATATCTAAAGGGGAAATAACTGGGTCAGATGGAATCTCTGGTGTTAGCTTTTTAGGAATCTCCATACTGATTTCTACAGTAGTTATACTAGTTTATATTCCCATCCACAGTATAGATGAGGTCCTTTTCCCCCACCACCTCACTGACATTTGTTGTTTCTTGTGTTCTTAGTGCTAGCCATTTTCTGGAGGTGTTTTATTTTATTTTTCTGGAGATGAAATCTCAGTGTTTATTTTTTAATTTTGCCTTCTCTAATGGCCAAAGATACAATATTTTTTTCATCTATTAGGCCATTTGCACTTTGTCTTGGTTATTTTTCTCTCGTTCCTGGGACAAAATATCTGACACCCAAAATGAAGGAAGGAAAGGTTTATTTAGCTCACTTTTTGTGGAGGTTTCAGAACATACTCAGCTGGCTCCAAGGCAGGGTGGCATGGCACTGGGGCAACACTTCAAGGCAGCAGCCAGCAAAAGGAGCCAGAGCAAAAAGGGGAGAAGAATAAGCCTCTTCTCTGCCCTTACAGTGTATGCAGGCCAACACCCCAACAGGGTGGTGTAGTGTAGTAGTCACAAAATCTCCATGCCTTCCTCTTGCACAGGTTGAAGATGTTTACAAAGTGAGGATCTTGGCTCCCTGCTTAGTCTCTTAGTTAAATCTTTAGACTTCTCAAGTTGATATACCAATAGCACATTTCTTCTTTTAAGAAGTGTCTATTCATTTCCATTGCCCATTTTGTTTGATTGGTTCTTTCATTATATAAGTTCTTTATATATTACGGGTATTGGTCCTCTGTCTAAAGTTGGCAGTTTTTTCCCATTCTGTTTGTTGGTTGTGCTTTCACTCTGTTAGCTGTTTCTTTTGCTATACAGAAGCTTTCGATTTGATGTACTCTTATTTGTTGGTTCTTGGTGGGGTTTTTTGTGCAATTAAAGTTCTGCTCAGAAAGTCCTGGCCTATACCTATGTCTTTAAGAGTTTTACTTAACTTCCAACAGATTCAATATTTCTGTTTTTATATCAATGTCTTTGATTCATGTTGATTTTAGTATGAGATGAGATATAATAGGTCTAGATTCAACTTGCTGCATATGGATATACACGTTTCACCAGCACTGTTTGTTAAAAAGGTTATCTGTTCTCTAGCATATGTTTTTGGCTCCTTTGTCAAAGGTCAGATAGCTAAATGTGCTTGGGGTTGTTTTTACATCCTCTCTTCTGTTCCACTGATTCTATTTCTATGTTTCTTGTGACAGTATCACGCTGTTTTTTTAAAATCACTGTAGGTCTGTGATATAATTTGAAATTTAAGATTGTGATGCTTCCTATTTTGCTCTTGTTGTCTATGATTCTTTTGGCTATTCTGGGTCTCTTGTGCTTACACATAAACTTTAGGATTTTTTTTTCTAGTTTTATAATCCGTATCTATTGAGAGCGTTAGAGCGTTCACTTTTGAGAGCACTAGGATGTTAAACCACATGGGACACTGGGACAAGATGCTTGACTGAAAGTGTCTCAGGCAGATAGGGTATAGGTTTTTCTAGGTGTTAAGTTCAGCAGCGTTGTTCCATCATCCAGAACTCAAGTGGGATTCCAGGCAAGGGGTGTAGTAAGGTCAGTGGGGCTGTCACTAAGTGCTTCTTCTTAGGCCCTGGCCTGCTTTTTCTTTTGATGGCCTTATATCTGGCATGAGTCATCAGTAATTCCAGTCCATAACTTGTTTAAAAGTTCAACTATTGTATGAGATCCAGGCAATCTCTTGATCACTGATTGCTTATTTTTCTTCCTTGGGCTTCACCATTTTACCTTTCCCAAAATTTCCTGCCGCTCTAAATTTTAATTAATATAACCCATGTTTGCCTCTATACCATGCTGTCTTTTTCCTCTCTCTTCAGTCCCACTTATTTGGCCTGGTTTTTGGCTCTCATACAGTTCTCCTTTCTCTACAGTTCTCGGGAGGCGAGGATCCAAAACTGTCATTAATCTATTGTTCTGTTTCCCTTTAGTTAATCTCTGGCTTTTCATAAAGTAAATTTACAAAGTCCCTTGATTAACAAAGGAAATTCTCAAGTCACAGTAAAAGGTGTGCGTAAAACACAACACAAGGATACTTGGGGACATCGGCTAATCACACTGCTCTTATAATTGGCCCAAAAGAAGTGGAGTGTAACTTAAAGTGTGCTAAAGCACCACAAAACATGAGAACAAATTCACCTTTCTTATGAGAAATAAATTTAACTAAAATTATTGAAAATGGAAATCTTTTTTCTCGTACAGTAAATACTCAGTGAATTCTTGATGGAGGGACAATGTGTTTGGACTTCAGAGTAGGATGGAATTCTGCTTCGTGTGTCGTAAGGGAGTAAATTAAGCACAAAGGAACTGGTACCTAGCAAGCGGTTGCTGAGAAAGACTTAATACTTCTCCCACTGCTGAAACACTCCAGATAAATAGCTTTGTGAGCATATGCATGTGGGATCCAACAGTAGACTCAACCGGGAAGTCTTTTTAGACCAACTATGGGTAAAAAGAATTTACATTCACTTTCTGATATGTAGCTTCATGACTTTTTACTACACTGAGTTTTTTCTTGATGTTTGGTGATAGGGTCTCGCTATGTCCTTCAAGCTGGCCCCAAATTTACTGTGGTCCTCCTGTCTCTGCCTCCCAAGCGCTAGGACGACATTCATGTACTACCATGTCCAGCTTACTATTTATTTTTAAGCAGTTGAGTGAAATATCTATAAGATAGTACTAGATGATAGCCAACTAATTAAAATTACCAGAGACAAAGATCTGTCGATATTTTGACTCTAAGGATATTTCTTTTTATGTTGAACTATGTTAGTAGACAAGATGAAAGAATTTATGAAGTACTGTATCATGTATGTGGGGGAGATTAAAGAATAAGATGTTTTTCCTACTTTGGGAAAATGAAAACCAGCCACAAAGTTAAGAAGGTAGTATTTTAATGTATGAAGTACAACCCTGTACACATTTCCTAATAAAGGAACTGAAATGCAGTGTTAGAAATGTCCATGTCCCCCTTCCTAGAGAATGTTTCTCTGAGGTGTTTTCCATACATGAGAGAATGTTTTCTTACTGTAAAAGTCTGAGAGAAGCTTGAAGACGGCAAAGCAAAAATAGGAAGCAGAGTTCAATCTGTGGAAAGCTCAGGGAAGGAAAGCAAATCACTGAAAAATGTGTCCCTCCCTAAGGAGTCTTAAAATACAAAGAGGATAGAAAAGCAATGATAATAAAAAGGCTGTCATAGATCCATTAACGGGAATGTGGTTTGCCAGTGAGCTGACTGGGTGTATTAAATTTCTAGGTTTTAACCTGTCTTTCTTCATAAATTCTTCTAAAAATGTTCCATACCTTCAGTACCTTTTTAGTGCTATTTAAAACAAATTCCAAATCTTGTTTCTGAAAATTTCATAGAAGTTATTTAGCCTGGGATAAGGAAAACTTAGAACTTTGAATTCTAGGACATATTAGACACAAAAAAATGAATTGGAACAACTGGGTGTAATAGTGCATGCCTGTAATACCAGAACTGTAGGAGGCTGAGGCAGGAGGATCAAAAGTTTGAGCCCCACCTGGGCAACTTAGTGAGATCCTGTCTCAAAATAATAAACAAATAAATAAGTAAATAAACACATGTATGTTAGATGTAGCTGTGTGAAGGCCTTGTGTTCTAATTCTAATATGACCAAAAGAAGAAAAAGAAGGGAAGGGAAAGGAAAGAAAGAACAGGAGAAAGAAAAGAAAAAGGAGGAGGGGTAGGGGAGGGAGGGAAGAGAATTGGGAAAGCTTTGGTCTGACCAGATAAGATGGAGTTGGAATAACAAATTTTTCTTCCCACTTTTGACTAAATAAATATCTCAAGTACCACAGTGGTCTCCTTTGTTGTTCACACATTCTGGGCATATCAATTATTTCTCTATAGCATCAGAAAGATCTAAGAAGTGATCGGGCCATTCAATGATCCATGACTACTGTTTGGAGACCTGCTGGAAATTTAAGAACAGGTGAAGAAAATTGGTCAAGTTACACCCATCCCACATGGCTAACTGGTTATGTGTGCAGTGCAGGCAGGTCAATCAAAGAACCTTTGAGACCTTTGGACAGGGACATAGTGATAGGATCCAACAGCACTGAAGTGCTCCCACGGTGGTCCAGTGTGGAAGGGAGGCTCACACTTGAATACCTTTGTAGCTGTAAACCCCAGGTCAAACATGTTTTGTGTTCTCACTTGCTGCACAATAACTAAAACTTTCTTCTATTTCACTATGCTGAATACCACCAACCAAAAGGGTGTTGTGACCACCAAATCATTACAAGGAGACAAAAAGAATCTTACAGCCTCCTTGCTGGACCTGGTGGGTAAAGGAAACACTCTCAATGTTCTCCAGGTGTTGATCAGTTTATTGCCCATTTTCAGAAGGGAGATTATGGAAGACTGTAAGATGAAGCATAGGACTGAAGAGGCAAAGGGGACTAAAAATGTGCCTGCTCCACCGAGTCTCAGTGCTTCCTAACGTGGGGTTGAATCTGCTTGGGGGAAAGTGTTTGTCTTTGCATAAAATCATCACACAGCTGAAGAGCAGAACAGCAAGGGATCTGGGGCTTTACAAGACTGCACATCTGACTCTAATGGAAAGGCTTAAGACACATGCTGCCAAAGGCAAGCCTCACACCCACGTTTTCCATCTCATCAGGAAATATGGTGGAAAAGGGTAACTGTAGCATCCCTTAAAGAAGGAAGAAACCTGTATGGTGACAGTATTCAGTGTTGCTAAGTATATCATGGCTTCAACCAGTGAATTCACTACTGAATAACTGGACCATGCACTTCATGTGTGCAAGGAACTATACAAGACTGGGAAGAAATTCAAACTTGAGGTGAGAAATGTAAGGGTTTCTTGGGATTTTTTTTTTTTTTTTTTTTTTTTTGGTAATCTCAAAAGTTTTAAAAAGGTCAATGAAGTGAAGATGGAAAACTTTCCCACAAAATGTGATCTAGATCTCACCAAATGCTCAAAGATACTTTCTCAGTCTCCTCCCACAAACACAAGGTTGCCAACATAGTTGATCTATTATGTGGAAAAAAGAAACTAAACAAATACCATCATTTCACACAAACAGCAAAAAGAAATCAAAGTTTTGGGTCATTCAGTTTATTCCTCTTAGGGCATTCAGTGAATATTAACTAGGGTACTTAAAAGTCATTTCAATTAGAAACCTTTTTAGTCCTTCATCAATTATTTCCAGTGTCCTAATCTCAAATACATCCTTTTCTTCTACAAACTTCTGAAAAAGATGAACACCTCCACCAACACCAAAATAATGGGCTTTGCTGGCCAAAAGCACCCGTCCATCTTTACTCAACAGTCTAACTAAAGTTTGGTGCAATGTAGTATAATAATCCGGATTATAAATGGTTTCCGAGGTAAGAATGAGATCATATTTTACAAAGAGTTTTTCACTGCTTAATATAAGCTGACAAAACTCGGACCACTCTCCAGAAAATAAACGACAGTTACCCAGTTCTTGCACTACTTTTGACTTCCTGCATCTTTTTGCATCTGGTTCATTTACACCATTTTCTTCATGTTCCAAAGTGCAGTTAGCCACTACGTTAGGTAAAGTCACTTCCTCAATCACCAAACTGTTATAATCTTGAAAATGAATTTCTTTGGCTCCTCCCTTAAATGCAGTTATACCCAGTAATCCTGATCCGCAGCCAAGATCTAACACTTTTTTCTCAGCAAATTTCACTTTGGCCTTTGTGAAATAAGCCAGGAGGTCAAACGTACATTCCCAGATTTTTAAGCCTCCTTCATAAACACCTGTAATCAGATCAGAGTGAGAAGAAAAGCTTTTGGAAATTATGTTTTCTCCAGGGAAGTTTTCTTTTGACCAGATAGTTTTCACTACTGATATTTTAACATGCTGAAGACCTGGTAACATTTCTATGACTTTATTTTCTAACACTTTCTTTAAATCCTTAGGTATGGCATGCTCTTTGGCAACTCCCAGGCAGGGCTGCTTTTCGTCTGGGTCCAAGTCCTTTGAACTATTGGCCGCACTGACTAGGCTATCAGGATCTTGAGAAGGAGTTACATTTTCTATTGATCTGCACTCCCCCAAGTGCTTCGGATGCAGGTCAGACAGTTCTCTAAGATGTTTCTTCTCCTTCTGTTTTCCTTTTTGACTTTCTGAGGTGGATGACACTTTTGAGGGATCCAGAGTCAAAACTCCACCTTCAAGGGGTGTCAATTCACTTTCTGCATGGTCTTCTATGTTGAAATTAAATTGAAAACTCATCTTCGTATTAAAGGCACACGATTCTTAAATTCAAAGAAAAGGCTCTTCAACTTCTGCATAAAATCTGACACACGGAAATTTGCCTCAACTATTTAATTAGTTCCACTAAGGTTAACTTCTTTTTAGCTATCTATACACCGCGTTGTCTCCAAAGACTTTTTTGTTTCTTTGTTTGACACAAAGTCTTGCTAGTTCAGGCTGGTCTTTAACTTACTATGTAGCCCAGGCTGGCCTCAAACTCACAGCTCAAGAGTGCTAGGATTACAGGTGTGCACCAACACACCCAGCTTTAAAGACTTTTCAAAGAGTCCTTTGATTCTCTTTCATCTGACCCTGGAAAAAGATAAAATAACGATTAAAGCAAAAATAGCACATTTTACTAAAATGAAATATTAAACCCTTTACCTATCCTACATGGCTGCCTTTTCTAAAACAGCTGTGGAAGGAGAAAACAGATTTAGTGAAACATGCACACATTTTAAGGCTTCAAAAATTGGAGCAGAAAATAAGGTACAAAAATAACCGAAAAAGAACAGTACAGCAGTCACTGCCACAACTACCAGAACAAAGTCCAAATTTTTTAAGCGGGAAAATCTGATTATTTGGCATCTTGCAACAGTCCTGAGTATGCCAAGGATGTACAACCCTTGAACCACTAGAATTTCCCTCTGTTGCTGCTTCAAAACACAGTAGTTCAAGATTATGTTTTGGTAAGTGAACATTGCTTTTAAAATAAATATTCATGGGTATTGGCAGAAAAGTGTAAATTCAATCACATGATTTCACTACAAACACCTGGTCCAGACTGCCAGTGTATGAGAGTGGGGTCATCTGGGAGCAATTAATAAAGATAAGCTTGTTGATAGCGCTGATCACAAAATTGGGACACTGCACTAAGCATTTCTACAGTACAACTGTAGAAGTGGAACCAGCTGGTTCTTTTGTGTTTGCTTTTGTTTTGTTTTGTGCAGTACTAAGGATTGAACTTGGGGCCTTCTTACTATCTACACCCCAACCCTTTATGATTTTTAAAATTTTCAGACAAGGTCTCACTAAATCGCTAAATGGCCTAGGCTGAACTCGAACCTGAGACCCTCCTATCTCAGGCTTCCATAGTGCCAGAACTCTGTACTACTGCTCCATCAGAGTGGCAGTCCTGACAACCTCACCCTTCAGGCTGCATAAGGGGTGCACACCCCAGTATCCACCTCTCGCTGCAGGCTGGGAGCCACTTCCTGGACGGGTCTTGATCAAACTTGACCCCAGAAGAGCAACTCCAAAGCTCCAAGGAACCGACGCTTGTAAACCTAAGGACCTCTAGTCCTTACCTCCCAGAACAGCCATACCTCTAAGGAAAGCCAGCAGCAACCCGGGCCTGGGACGAATGCGATCTGGCGAGTCCTAGCTCCGTCATTTAAGAGCGCGAACCAGTGAGTCTAGTCCTCCGACGAGCCAGATAGGCCTGGTTTCCTCTCTATGGTTCAATCCTGACGGACGGCTCGCAGGGCCTGCCGGGATGGCTGGGCTTCCGGTCGGGCTGTGGCGGGACTTGTTTTGAAGTTGACGTCTCCAACTACAGCATGTCTCAGGAACGCGTAGGCATTTTGGAGGAGTGGAGCAGCTGGTCGGAGGACCTGTGCCGCCGGGAGCTGCCATCTGTTTTGCCCCGGCTCCTCATATCCTCCGTGGTTACTTATCCCCTCGTGGGGCCGCTTGCGTGGCGGCGGCCGGACCTTGGGTCCCTTGGGCGAGCGCTAACACTGTGGGGACTGAGGGTCTGCGAGGCCAGGGCTTCGGCTCTTGGACGCACAGACTTGTGAGTTTTTGGCGGGGCGCGGCGTTTTTCCCCAGTCTCTGCGATGGTGGGTTTCTGTGTACTGCTTAATTGCAGGGCAGCGAGAGCGCCTTTGCTCGGGGACCTGGGGGAAGCGGGGACACAGACCAGAGCCGCGAGCCGGATGCTGTAGCGTGGGAGGGACTCGCTGAGCTTTTGCAAAGCCTTCTTACTCCGCGTGCGGAATTTGGGTCACGCCTTCCTCAGTGTTGTGTGAATAAAAAGACAGAGCTCTGCCGAGGTGCCAGATTTTTAAAAAAGACGTTCAGTAAATACAAATGTTTTCTCCCTTTTTCCGGCCGATTAGAAGGAATTGCCTCAGTTGCTTCAGGTGTTGGCTTTCATCGGCTTCATTTGAATTGTTTAAACATTTATTCAGTACTTTCTGTCTGCCAGGTTCTGTGCCAGACCCTTTCACAGGTTTTCTCTTTTGTTCTTGTTTGTGGTGCTGAGGATCAAACCCAGGGCCTTGTGCATGCAAGACTAGGGCTCCATTACTGAGCTAGATCCTCAGTCCTGCGTCTGAGTTGTTTGATGTCACTTTTGCCAAGGAGAGAATTCTCCGTGTGTCTGTGGTCCCTGTGGTAGCCAGTGTAACTGGAGTCCTAACCTCTTCTGTTGCAAGAAGCACTGTTTCCTTTACATCGTTGAGCTCACCTTCTCCATAAAATTATACTCAAAAGGGGAAAAAAGTGACGGTCAATTGACTGAACCTCTGGACCCTGCACAAATAGCCTTTCAGTGAAAACCCATCATCATACAGAAGTCATGCACGTAGGCATTAGCAAAATGTGATAATTTCTGTTCTTGAGGGGTTCCGACCTGAAAACAAATGATCGTACCCCTCAGGACCACTTACTTGTGTACACAGTATATAGCAAGTATTGTGTTAGCTATACGGACACAAAAAATAAGGAACATGGTTTCTTTTCCTCCCCTCAAGTTTATGGGAACTTCACTAAATTTAAAGTTAACATTTCCATCTTTGTATCACAAGTTTAGCATATTCATGTTCTTGCAGTTTTCTTCACCTGAGTAAATAGGTTTACAAATCAAACCTTTAAAAAAGCAAACAAAAAGCTAACAGAAATACCAACTTGAAACCTTGACTTTTGTCTTTCATAGGAAATTGGCTCAAAACTCATTCAATCCACGTATTTCCATCACTGTTGCGATCCTACTGATTCTGAACTACTACCACCTGAATTACTAATAGTTTCCCATATTTTGTTATAATTCATTCTTTAGAATGGGTTTGGAGTGAAAACCACAGGTCTTTTTTTAAAAACCCCATTCTCCATCCCCATAATTTAGTGAATTAGGAATAAAATCTACATTTACCTTTACAGCTCCCCTGTGGTAAGAGGCTTGTGCCTCTTTCTCCTACCTAGCTAACTGTGCGGTCCTCAGATACATCAGGCATACCTGCCTAAGAATCTTTGTGCCCAGCCTAGTTTGTTCTCCCACCCTTTTGAACATCTCATCATTGAGGTCTTAGCTCAAATGTTACTTCCTTGAGGGGTCTTTTTAGAGCCCTCAGTCTCAGTTCCCCAGAACCAGTTTGTTAGACTTCTATCTCATTGCTGTGTTTAGAAGGCATTTTATCATTAACAAATAATCTGCTTTTCCTCTTTCCCTTTTCCTGACTGGACTGTAAAGTTAGAGGCAGGAATTTGGTTTTGTTCATTCCATTGTGCACAGCATGATGCCAGTGCCTGGCACATGATAAATGCTTGGTAAAGGAATAAAAATATTTCATGGTTTAAAAATGCTTGAAAGTGTCAGGTAAATATTTTTCAACATATGGCAGTATTTTTGCTGTTTGCAATAATTGAAGCCCACAGTCCACTCTAACGCAATTATTTTCATATTTTGAATTTTACATATTATTGTCTAGACCTTATGTAGGTAATCATAATTGATGATTACCTGTAAAATAGCAAAAATTTTCTTGAGCTTTGCTGAAATTTTTCCATAAGGCATATTCTGCCCTACTGAACTCATGAGTTCATGACTGTATATCTCCTTGTGACTGCTATTGTGAAAAATGTACACAAAACAGGATTTCAGAGGAAGAATCAATCTTTGTATTACTGGGATAAGTTTTATGCATTTGTATTTCTTGTTAACGTATTCTATAATAACAGTAAAACATTGCTAGTAATTTTTAATGGTGTGCAATTTTTGATTTAAATATAGGGTAATTTCTGGTAAGGTTGGTATGATAGGAGTACAAGTACTGTGATACGGAAAGACATAGGTACAAATAAAGTAGAAATGAGGAGAGAGAAATTTCCGTCCAGTAGTAAAGATTAGGAGCTCATGAGTTAGTGTGGCATTGTTACCTGTCTGTGAAAAATATTTTATGACTGGCAGTGGTTTGAAAAGGTAAGTTTATCCCTAAATAATTTTGAGAACATTTCCCAGAAATATTTTCACAATAACGTTTACCTAACATTAAATTTTTAAAATGAAAGTAAGCCAGTAATTTGAGTCTAATTTTAGTCTCATGAATCTTTGCTAAATTTTAAGAGGGGTCCTTTTTGGATTTTGTATCATGAATGAATGTTGTACTACAGTGATACAAGTATCTTCCTTAATTATTTTACTCTATGTATGAACATTCTGAGAGTTGGGTTGAGCATATTCGTAAGTAAAACTGTTTTGATTATATGATTTACTTTGATGTCATTAAGTTCTAAGTCCCACATAGATCAGTGAATGTGACCTTACTGTTTTGTATTCTCTCTGATTTTAATCATTGTCCGTATTATAGGCTCTGCAACCTTTAGTTATTTAAATGGGCAAACTTCTTCAAAGTACACTGCTTAATATCATTTGGAGAAAGTTGACTTTATTTTCATCTGTCATTTATTGGTCTTCCTTGATTAGATTTATTCTCTTAGGAGAGAAGAGTTACAACTGTAGATGGCTCAGTGACTCACATTTTGAGTTAGCTTATTTGTATTTCACTTGTTTGTACAGTATTTGTTTATAAATTTAAATCTGAATTGCCAGTTGGGGGTCTAAGTTTTTCAGGTAACAATTATTTTTTATCTAGAGTGAAAAGGTTATGCATATTCATTATAGAACATTGAAGTATGCTGAAAATCAGAAATAGTTAAAAATAGAATGGTCTCATTTCTGTACATTCTTGTTCCCTTATCCTGTGTATGTACATGTTTCTATTAAATTAGGAATATACCGCTTTGGAATCTTTTTTTTTTTTTTTTTTGAGACAGGGTCTCACTATGCAGTTCAGGCTGGCCTTGAGCTCACTTTGTAGCCACACTGGTCTTGAACTCAAAATGATCCTCCTGCCTCAGGCTCACAAGTGCTGGGATTACAGACGTGAGCCACCAGGCCTGGCTCACTTTGGAATCTTTTTAATCTCAGACTATCCTGAATTTTTTTTATGTTTTTAAATATTTTAATGACAGTAGATGCTGTTGGACAGACATATCCATGTCAGTTTAACTACTGTTCAGTTGCTGGATATACAGACATACTTTCTTCTTTTTCTTTTGCTATTAGTAATAACTTAGTAGTTTCTCTATATAGAATATAGCATTTTGACACTACAAAGCTTCAAATTGGAGGTACTTACATATTCTCACATTTGGTGAAAACAGACTTCTGCTGATTGACATAATTTTACAAAGTGTCATTTTGCTTTATAGAAATTTTGAAAATTATGATAGAAATGTTTTTACCTCATATGAACCACCTGACATTGGAACAGACTTTCTTCTCACAAGTATTACCAAAGGTATAATATTACTGTCTTAATTTTTATGTTATAAAGATTCTTAAAATCTAGTCTGTTTTATATTACTTAGTCTTAATTGTGCCTCCATATTTTAATTATCAAACATACCTGAAGTACAAGTAAATAGTAAATAATTTTGAAATTATGTGTGTATGTGGTGTTGGTGTAATTATTAGATGATTGAAAACTTTCATTTTCAGGTTTTACTAATTGATGAATCCTTTAGTAATTGAATTTAAATTTGTGATTACTTTAAATACTCTTGTAAAGTTACTCAATGAAAATTTGTGATGGATTATAGAAGTTTTTAAAGTCCCTTTATCATCACTGTAGTGTTTGATTAATAATTATTGAATTTCAGTGGTTAGAAAAATGGGACCAAAAAATTTAATAAAGAAATCTTAGAAAAAACTAAAGTGTTAGTAAAATCAAGTCATTAAAGGAAGCTTTACATTCACAAACTGCATTGTTAATTTTTGCATGTTATATTGTTGTACGTTATATTGTTTCTCTGAAAAGCATAAGCATACTTTCTGTTTTAAAGTAGAAGGAACTTAAGGTGCTTTCTGCTAAAGTGTAACATTTATAATTTATTGGGATAGATTTCAAAATCTAGCTTTTAAGTAAATAATCATCACAATTCCTTTTACTTTACTTAGGTACTCTTTCTGAAAAGTTTCTTCAAATTTGTTCTTTATCACCAAGAAAGATCTTGTTGGTGAAAACAAGCATGTGAATCTTAACTGGTCTATGGAGAACATTATCCTCTTCAAATACATTGTATTGTTGCCTGTCTTTTTATTCTTCAGGGTTTGGGCCATTTAAATTATTTAAAAAGATCTAAGTAGTATACTAATGTGGTTATGTTTTTATAGAAAAAAGCTTGGTTGTAGGTTCACATGCTCCTACTCCATGTAGGTTCACATGCCCCTACTCCAGCAAGGGCATTTTGAATTTGTCACAAAAAGTCATTAATGAAAGAGTGATTCATTATAAATTTATTACAACTACCAGAATATACCTTTGTAAATGCCCATATGAATGTTGATTGGTCAAGGTAGTAATGTTTTGGTTTTTTGTGTTTTTTTTGAGACAGGATCTCACTATGCAGTTCCAGCTAATTTGAGCTCAGGTCAATCCTCTTGCCTCAGCCTCCTAAGTGCTGGGACTATAGGCATGTACCACTACCACTTTTGGCAGTTATCTTTTATTGTGTAGAATAGGACTTATATTGTTTGCATCCCAAAATGAACTTAGAGTATGTTTTTTATATTTATTCAAACCACAGAAATAGAAGGTAAATCAATTTCTGAGGCTTTTTTCTTTTGGAGATTGCATTATATAAATATATTTTGTATATAGCTTTTACTTAGGTACATTTGGTAAGTTACACAGTACCCAATGAATGTTACTAATACAAAACCAAATCATTATATTACAGCCTTTTTTCTTTAAAAATATCCTTAGTTGGGCATAGTGGTGCATACCCAGCACTCTGGAGGGCTGAGGCACAAGAATCTCAATTTTGAGCCCAACCTGGACAACTTAATGATTTACACATTGTGTCAAAAGGGCTAGGGGTATAAATCAGTGCAAAGGGGCTGAGTTAAATTCCCAGTACTGGGAAAGAAAAACTTAAACTTTTCTAATGATTTCTATTTTTCTGATTTATTTATAACCCAGTTTGTTTTTGTAGACTGTAAAACTGTTCGATGAGATGATATATGAATTAACCACTCAAGCCAGAGGATTGTCAAGTCAAAATGTAGAAATTCAGGCCACTCTAAGGAATATTTTACAAGTGAGTTAAATGTATGGGAGCTATGGGTAGAAAGTGAGTATTGCTATGTTGATATTGATTATCCAGGTATTCCTTATGTAATTTCTTATGCTGGAAGTAAATTTGTGGACTTACAGCTACAAAGACAGAAAGTTCAATAGGAATTTTTTTGATGCAATTTTGTATTGTTTAGGTATCTGCATTATTACAAAAATATAAGTCAGAATAGCATGCCCCTTTAATTTCAAGGCATATGTATGGAATTCCTGCCAGGTGCTTTGAGCGTAGAATAGCATTGCAGGTAGCTTACCAGTTGTTCCCGTATGGAATGGGTAGTTCTTTGATAGACAAGTTCTGTGAAAAAATGTGTCTGATATATCCCTAGTGCCCACGACACAGTCTTTTATTATGCATAAATATATATACCTAGAATGAAATGTCTTTATTTATTTGCAGACAATGGTGCAGGTTTTAGGAGCTCTCACAGGATGTGTTCAGCATGTCTGTGCTACACAGGAATCCATTATTCTAGAAAATATTCATAGTCTTCCCTCTTCAGTCCTTCATGTAATCAAAAGTACATTTGTACATTGCAAGGTGAGTAACAGGTGTAGGTGCACTTTAAATTAGCCTAGGGTCAGTGGGAGGGGAAGCTGGGTGAAATGGGGTGTACGTGACATTTTACGTTGCAGTTATTGTTATCAGGATGTTCTTTTCCCTGGTACAAAAAGCATGTATGTAGTAATTACTTAAAAGTAAATAGTGATGTGGGTGGGTCACGCAGGTAGCAGCTGCAGGAAAACTGGAATCCAGGAATCATTGTAACCCTCAAATTACAAATGGCCTGACAACTTGGGTTATGCCCAGATTTTAGTTTTAACTTATGAACAGAGTCATGAATTATGATCCAAATGCCAGCCGCTTACGCTTCTGGATGGTCTCACGTGCCAATATGACTATGTATCTGAATTTTGGAAGAGGTCTAGAAAGAACATTGCAACATCCTTTCCTGTATGGAATGGAAGTTATTTTATACGTGAATGTATCTCTCAAAGTACATTATATAAAGTGGATGTTCACAAAAACATTTGTTTAGTGAATGTGAGTCACCTAAAAACTTCACTTATCATCTCTGATAGTATGAATTAAAGTATATTTGACTTGAGCTTTTTATGATTGGCTGTTTCTCTTATTTTCATATTTTGTTGATCAGAATAGCGAATCGGTGTATTCTGGGCACTTACACCTCATTTCAGACCTTCTCCAGGCGCTCTTCAAAGGAGCCTATTCTCTTCAGAAGCAGCTGATGGAGCTGCTGGACATGGTTTGCGTGGATCCTTCAGTAAATGAGAACGAGGATGTTTTGAATATGGTATTAGGTAAGTGCAGATTTAGTGTATTATGTAAAATAATTCATGTAGCTGTTAAATTATCAAACCTAACATTGTTTTTTTTTGATGTTATACATTATACATAAAAATAATTCTTAATAAATGTTTAGTCTTTCAAGTTTTAAAATGTATAAGATTTGCATGTTTAGTTAAAATTTGAATTAAGTAATTTATACTCTCTAAAGTGGTCTGTATTCAGAGATAGTAGGTCTTGATTTTTTCACCATAACAAAAAGCAAGAAATGCATTTTACATTCCTTCCTCGAACGTATAAACTACATGTATATGTTTGTAAATGTATACACGTACACCACATATGTAAGACTCATTTTACATATGATGTACTCAATACTTTCTGTTGTCCCCCTTCTGGCTAAACCATGCTAACCCTGAACTCATCATCTTCCTGCTTCAGCTTTCTGATGCTAGGAGTATAGACCAGTGTTACTCTGCCCAGCTATACTAGTTTGTTTTTAAGGAATTGGTGATTGTAACCACCTTTATTGATTTCATCATTCACTAATGGATTATGACACAGATAATACATCAGAGCAAAGATTAAATTCATAACTTTAGTATATAAAGAATATATCTGGATTTTGTGCACAACATCAGGTACTTTTTGCTTTATAACAAACCATCCCAAAACTGTTTAAAACAACCATTATTTTATTTTTTCACAATTTTAGGCCTGCAGTTTAGGCTTGGATCAGCTAAACTCACCTAGTGCACCTAGCTCACTTTTATGTTTGCGGCCAGTGACTTAACTTGTGTCTGACTGTCAGCAGAGGTGGCAGCACTGAGGAAGTCCCATGTGGTGCATATTCATGTAGACTAACCAGGGCTCAGTCACCTGCCCATGGTTTCATTTTCCCAAAGTAGCAAGAAAGGGCAGGTTCCAGGATGCAAGCCTTTTCCAGATTTCCAGTTGCCTCACTTTTATTGTTCCCTTTGCCAAATCAAGTCATGGGGCTATGCTCAGAGTCATTTTGGAAGAGTATGGATACAGGAAGGGCAATTGTGGGTATTAGTACAACATCTCTACCACTTGCAGAGAAAAAGCCTTGTACGAATACTGTGTAAGTTAGCTTTAATGCTTCCTGGTTAGGTTTTCTTCTTTAGCAGTTTATCACTTTGGATGAAAATTGTAACTGTAGGATATTTTGATTAGAATAGAGTACAACATCTTAGTAAACATCTTCACTTTCATTTAAGTTATGGGATAGGTGTAAATTTCAAAATTAGTTTTTCACAACTTATAAGAATCTTAAAAGTGTGACATTTATTTTTAATTATTTTGAAACTGTATTACTGATTTTAATTCAGATGTTGAATATTCAGTTGATACTTTAAAAAATAAGAGAAAGTCACCCCAGATGACATTTGAATATCCTCAGAGTTGTGTTGTTTTTCCTTATAGTTATTCATTCGTTATTGGATATCTGCTCTGTTATTTCCACTATGGATCAAGCATTTCATGCCAATACTTGGAAGTTTATAATTAAGTAAGTTTGTTAGCTTTTACTTTTTTAGAATGCATTTTCTGTAACCCAAATCCTAGTTTTCATATTTCCTTAGGATGCATTTGGAACATATTTGCGGGTATATAAAATGTCCATGGACATTGCTGTCAGATAATCCAGATCTTTCATATGTAACTCACAAAGTAGTTCAGGCTTTCCTGGTAGTGAATCAGACTAGGCTAGAACTCAGCCATGTGCCTGCTCTACTGTTGTTTAACCATAAAGTGTTCTATGTCTAAGCTTACTAAATTAGTAACTATAATGAGAGCTGATTGTGATCCCTTCATTATATATTTGGGTTGTTCAAACTGAAATCCACTTAGAAATTAATTTAACTTTACGAACTTAGAGTTTTTGAGGTGTTACTAGGAAGAGTACCATTACCACACATCAGATTCTTAGGGGTGGAAGAAGACACGGTTGTAATGTAAAAGCACTTAAGTAAATACATGTTTGTATAAAATGGAAAGGTCAGTGTAATGTTTTCAGGTCTTTGGTGCTTTTGTTGTACCACGAGGACATTGGTGGTGGTGTGGTAGTTAGGAGCATCCTCCCTGGGAGCCATACTGCATGTACTGAGCCCGTCCTGAAATCTCTGAATCCTTTGAGCCCTCGGGCAATTTAGCCAATTTCTCCAAGCCTCAGTTTGCCTATCTGAAGATGGAAGTAATCAGCATAGCACTTTCTTGCTAGTGTTGTAATGACCACAGAATTCGTCACTAAAATGCTTGGAACTGTGCGCCACATACTGAGTGATCAAAAATTAGTTTCCTTCTCATCATCAGCCCTGGGCCCCTCTTTTTCCTTCTCATCTATTTTCTACCCAACAGTCAGATTATCATGTCCCTCTACTGCTTCAGATCTGTCCCAGTGTACCAAGAGTAACAGCTGGTCCTCTCTGCAGCCTGCCGCCCTCACCATTCGGTCTCGTGCTGCTCTCTCCCTGTTCTTAGTTCCTCAAGCCCCAGAACCTGTCACAGCTTTTCCCTCTGCAGATGATGCTCCTCTCTCAGCACCTTACTAACTCTTACTTATTTTTTGAGTTCACAGCTTACATGTTTTATACTTGATTCTTTGATAGCCTCATATTAAAATCAGGTTTCTTTCTGTCTTGGTATTTAGCATGACAGTAATTAATTATTCTTGCTAACTTTCTGTCTCATGTTAGACCAACAGGTTCCATACAGAGGGATACAAATTATATTTATTTGATTTACTGTTATCCCCAGGACTTAGCAGAGTGCCTGGCATACAGTAACATTTTATTTAATGTTTTACACAGGAAGAAAGAGCAACTTGAACATAATTGCTTCAGAGGTAAAGTTAGTACATTGAATGATATAGTGCCTAGCATATACCTACAGTATGGTGCATGGTGGGTTGACTATTATGTAAATAGATATTTTATGGCCTAAGTTACTTTTGGTGATTGTATTTTCTTTTTGTTCATTTAGGCAGAGCCTTAAGCACCAGTCAGTTATAAAGAGCCGATTGAAACACAGAGATATAATTAATAGCTTGTGTGAAGACTTGCTTTTCTCCTTCCATTTTTGTTTACAGTTAGCTGAACCGATGCCGCTTTCAGATACACAGGTAAAATAGTTACAGTACTTTAAATAGTAGCTTTTATTTCCTTTGGCCTTTACTAAATCTCATTTCAGCACATGGATCATTCTACTTAAGGGGATTTTAACCCTCCTTCTGTCCCTCTTTTCCTCCCTTCCTCACTTCTCTCTTTCCCTTCCTGTCTTTTCTCCTTCTTTCTTTCTCTTTCTTCTCTTCCTTCTTGCCTTATTCCACAACCCATTATTGCTTTTAACCCAAAACATTGTGTTGCATTCCTAACTGTTGTCATCATCTCTAACATCTACCTTTCTCTTCTTTGCGTATTAACTACCTGGTGAAGGCATATGTTTTCTCTAGCGTAACATTCTAAGCCTTTTTCCTGTATTTACCTAAGATATAGCCCTAGTCAACCTTTTACTCTTCTCTTCACCGGTGCTTTTCAGCCTTCAGTGATGCATGTGTGTGAGTGTGTATGAGTATTTTAAAATTCATGCACATACTACATGGGCAGGTGTGGCGGTCACATCTGCACTGCCGCCCTTGGGAAGCTGAGGTAGGATCCCAATGAGTTCAGAGCCCGTCTGGCTATGTCATGAACTCAAGGTTGCCCTGGAAAATATAGTAAGACCTTTGTCCTCCCCCCAATAAATAAATAAATAAAATAGGGAAATTCTTACATTTATTTTGATTTTAAGAAGTTATAGTGTTCAATTAATATACCATTTATGAAATAGAGTGCACTGTAAAAACCCATAATATGAGTTGGGAAAATTAGAAGTCATTTTCCTATGACATATATAATGTTTTTGTTCAGTGCTTATGTTAGTACTGCAGCCCTATATTACAAGATTAGCAGTACTCAGGACCTAACAACTTCCCATTGTATAATAACTTCAATGGGAAAATGAACTGACCGTTTCTGCCTGGAGTAGCAGCAGTACAGCCCTCCATTCGTGGACCTGCAGGCTGATCCAGGGACCTGTGTGCCTGTGTTCTTCCGGGGCAGGCACTAGAGGGAGGGAGGGGTGGAGATTCATCCAAGTCCCAAACCGGGGAAGGACAGAGCCTAGATGAGGGTGGAGCTATGGAAAGGAGTTTGAGATAGTGAGAAGGAAGTGGAAAGCTCTAGGAAGGGGCCAACCTTTGTCTTCTTGCTTCTGGTCTTTTTCTCTGTTGTCCCTGTAAATCACTTGTTTTGTTTTGCCTTTTGTCTTTTGTTCTTGCTTCCTTCATGTCCCTCTCTGTACCTCTCACCTTGTTGACGAGATGTTATTTGGATAGTATCCCGATTTGTCAGTGGCACCAACGTGGTTGCCTTGTCTGCCTTTACCCTGCGTACCCTATCCTCAACCCCAGCCTCCCCTTTCCAGTTTCCCTTGTCCCCTTGACAGATTCCTGGGCAGCAGTGAAATGGAGAAATCCAAGAAGCAGTGCAGTCTATCCGGGCAAGAGGAGCTGAAGTCTGGGAGCACCCAGGCAGGGTGGCTACTTGTACATACAGTATCTTAATTTTTCTTACATAAATTGCTGTTGTACAGGAATCAAGGAATTAAATTCATTTCAAGCACGTCCTCGTGTTTTGTGCATTGCGCACACATGAGACTCATGAATGTGAGCAGCTCCGCTCAGTGCTGTTGCCTGACCTGGAACTGTTGAGGTGGATCATAGTGTTTCTCTGTTGTAAACCCTAAGCTCTGATTGACAGTGCCCTCTGCTGTTCACTACTGATATTTATTTAGGAATTAAAATTCTCCGGTTTGTGTTTGTTTGGGGTACTGCAGACAAAATATTGTAAGCTGCTAAGTAATGAAGTTTGTTTTCCTTGGTTTTTTAAGCCAAGAAGTCTGAGATCAAGGTGCCCATAGGTTCTGTGCATGATGAGGAATTGCTCACATAGTGACAGGGTGTGGCAGCTCTCTCCAGCCTCCTTATAAGGACACTGATCCCATGCATGAGGGCTGAGCCCTCACAACATAATCTTTTCCTGAAGGCCCCACCCCTTAATACTACCCCATTGGGTATTTGGTTCCAAAACATGAGTGGGGCGACAATTAGATCACAGCTTGTTACTCTCAAAATTAATTAAATAGTGTGGATGAGTTGTGTTAGTTTTCTGGGTTTGTCGTAAAAATCACCATAGGCACACTTTGGACAAGGTAATTCTTGCCCAGCCATGGAGGCACACGCCTGCAGTTCCAGCACTTGGGAAACTGAGGCCGGAGGATCACTGTGAGTTGAAGGCTCTCCAGGACTACGTAGCAGGAGCCTGTGTCAGCTACCCCCCACCCCAACAAAAAAACGTTTTATTTTTTTCCTCACATAGTATTTGAGGCAGGAAGTCTCAGGTATGATGGTGTTCTCCTGTTCTCCCGAAGGTTGTAGGAGAGACTCTGTTCCGGAATTTTGTCTTAGCTGCCTGTATTATTGACCTTCAGCGTGCAGATGCATCTCTCCCACTTCTGCCTGGGTCATTACATCATCTGTACCTCATGTGTTTGTCCTTAAATCATTCAGGAGAACATCATCATACTGATTAAAGGCGCACTGTACTCTAGAACAGTCTTGTTGTAACTGCTGATTTCCGCAGTGACCCTGTTTTCAAGTAAAATCACTTTCTGAAGTGTGTGGGGTTGGAAAACTTCAACATACCTTTTTCAGGGGGACACAGTTCTGCCCATAATTGCCCTTAAAATTAATATAGTTTTTTTTTTTATTAAGTCTTGGATTTAGATTCAAAATGAGAATACTGAATTAGTCTTCTCAGCAGACAGTTTTTTAGCCGCCAGTGAGTCATTCAGTTTTTCTCACAGAGAAATTTAGATTGGAGGTGTGGCTCAGCACTGAGGTACTTGTCTGTCATGTGTGAGACCCCGGGTTCAGTCCCCAGTATGAGTGAAACTTACAGTAAACACACTGATAAGAAGTCATGTTTCATTTTCTAGTGATTTACTTTTCATCTGGTGTTTTCCTCAGTGGTTATAGTATGCCAGGAAAGGCACTAGGTGGTGTTAGTGACATTCTCTCTCTGCAGCAAGTTAGAGTCTGGCGCAAGAGGCAAATAGGTAAACATAAGTATTATAGAACAGTGTGGTTTTTATTGGTTTATAAGAATGTAAGGTAGGTCCCAGTCATGAAGTCAAGAACGGTTGGACATCTGTGCTGAGGAAGTCTGTGGGTTCGTCTTTAATTACTGTAGTTCTGTACTTGTTTAACACTGTGTAAGAAAATTCATACTCATAAGCATCAAAAAGGTGACTTTTGATTTATCGAATTTCTACTATTTTTTATTATTTTTAATAAAGGTCAAAATTAAAGGTTATGTGCAGTTTGTGAATCATTCCATTCCATTTTAACTAGGTTTAATTAAGGTTTTGCTGTATTACTGGAGAAGAATTGAATAGCCAGTGTTAATGTTAAGACAGGTTATTTTCATATAAAATTCTCAAAATTAAAGGTAATTTACCTATTAAGTTTTATAGCATTAATTTAAAGCTTTTGGTCTTAAGGCTTTTTATATCCATGACAATATGTGTGCCCTGTTCTTTTTAATAGCTGTCTGGAATTACTGTCTATAATAGACCATAAACATATTTAACCATTCTTTGTATAATGGATACTTGATACATTTCAGTTTTCACATTATAAGAACACTGCATTACATTACAGTTGCTAGTGTTATTATGGGAGATAGTCTAGAAATGGAATCAGTAATCAAGGAATTTTTACTTTCAAATCAGTCAAGGATTACTTCTTTTGCTGTTACAATTTCTATTTATTTTTATTAATGTACAATTTAATTCTTTGAAATGCCTATGTAGTTACTTGGTATTTGTATTGCTCCTATCAGTAATACAGAGAATAATTGTGTTTACTTAAAAAATTTTTGCACTGTATTATGAGATCTTCTTAGAAAATAGAGCGTCATTTACAGGTGTAGCTAAGTTTGTATCCTCATTTTTATTATGCTTTCTTCCCTTTTTCTTTTTTTAGGGGGGACAGGATAATGCTAACTACAGATTATTTCAGAAAACACTCAAATTGTGTCGTTTCTTTGCCAATTCACTTTTGCACTATATTAAGGTGAGGCCTATTTTTTTTATAGTGCAGTAATGTTAAACCTATCAGTTGTCTTTTTTAAATGGTCTTTTGAAGTTATTTTGGTAAGTATATTTTGAAAGATTTTTAAAAATACTGTAAATTTCTTTATTATGTACCTGTTATTTAAGTTGCCACCATCATTTTCATTTAGTTCTCTCAAAAAAATTATTTTTATACATAAATACAAAAAATTATTTCCATAAGTATATCAATTGTCAGAAAATATTTTAGTTTGCCCTTTACCATTTACAATGTATTTATGATATACTTCTATGTTGTTAAAATTTAAATGTTAAATCTTTGAAACTAATAATTTTAATGAGATCCGCGTACTTGAGAGTATCAGAATAGCAGTGATATGTGATGTTATATCAATAGAATAAAAATGTATGTGGGAAGGTTATTGGAGAGAACAGATGCCAGTGAAAGGAAAATGATCAGTAATAGATGTAAATGACTTCTCAAAAACCACTGTCCACGTGAATGTGGTTTCAACCTTGTCTGCCTTCTTGGTGAAGAAGAGAAGAATCTGCAGCGATTTTACTGTGGTCAGAATTCTGTAGCTCACACCCTGGCTGCCAGTGTATTGCTGTCCTGTTTGTCTGCTTCTTATCCTGGGTTCCTTGAAGCTCGTAGAGGGTGTGTTCTGGGCCCCATGTGCCCATCTAATGTTTGCTTGGTATGCATAAGGTACAATGCTTGTTAAATATGACTTTTAAAAAGTCATTTTACTGGGAATTTAAAAAGTTTTTAAGTTGATTGTAAAGTTTTTTCCCCAAATCTTCTATTTTAATATATACCATTACTTTCTAAGAGATAAGGTGCTTATAATGGTGTAGGAATCATTTGCCTTTACTTTGTTCTGAGTCTTTCTGGTTTTTAGTTAGGTCATGAAGTTATTTGATCTTCGATCTTTAGTGTTCTAGTCTGTGAAATGGGGATAATAACATGATAAGTTTTTTGAGAGGACTAAAATAAAATAACTTCTTGTTACTGAGTTTTAGGGTAGAATCTCCTTCTGGAGGTAGTTTCTAGGTTTTTTCTATTCTAAGCAAAGAACCAAACAAAACAAGCAAAAAATGGTGGCAAATTTTCCTATTTATTAGTGGTAGAATGAATAAACAAGATAGGAAAAATTAAAAATGAAGGGTAAGGGAGAAACTGGCTTTGCAGAATGAGTTTGAGTGGAGTAAAAGAATAAAAATAAAAACCAAAATAAAAACATAGAAATAAAAACACTTGCTGGGGTACCAGGCAGGCTGTCCTGAGGAAAGCTGACATGGCGTTCTTCATGGCACCTGTGTCCTTTTCCTCATTTTCTACCATTCTGCTGTCAGGAACAGTTTATCTTACCAAATACCTGCTAGGGTTCTCATGGAAAGTTCACGCAAGGGGTCCTGAGGATTGTTTTGTGCATATGGCCAAGGACCTGGTCGTGCCTCCCTTCCCAGCCAGTTTAAACCATGCTCTATCTTCCTATCTCAAAATCACTTGGTACGTGTCTGATTACATAGTAAGTGCTCAGAGTAGTCACAGCTACTAATGGTGGTTATGATATAGTCCTAACAGTGAAGAATCGTAGATACTTAGCTTCATATTCCTTTTCATTCCCATGTAAGACTTTTTTCTTAAATGTGGTACATCTGGGGTTTTATTTTGCATGTCTTTGGGGAGAAGGTGTGTATAAGAAAGTCATGCTGAACAAAGATTGAATAGAACTTTTTTATTTTAGGAATTTCTTCCTTTCCTCTCTGATTCCTGCTGTCCATTGCACCAGCTTTATCTTCAGATATACAGGTAAAAATTATGCTTTATGATTATTAAAATGTAAGAATTCTATAACATTTTAAACTAAAGTATCAGTAATTTTTCACATTTTAATAAATTTTTATTTGCTTACTTAAAATAATTGGAGATGAAAGCTTTTGAAGGGTAGATTCCTATGACTTACCTTTGTATTCTTAACTAGTGCCTTATACATGACTGATAAATAATTGGTAAGGTAATGAATACCAAATGGGAAACACTTTATATATATAGAGGGAGAGACATACATATATATACATATAGACAAATATGTATGTCTATGTAATATTTTTTTTTTTTTTTTTTTTTTGGTCTTTTTCCTTTTTATCGGTACCAGGGATCGAACCCACGACTGCCTGCTTGCAAGGCCGGCACTTATGCCGCTGAGCTAAATCCCCAGACCCGTAATATATTATTTTATATTGGGATATTGGTTTTTGTTTTGGTAAATCTGAAAATTTATTTGAAGTTAGAAGTTAATTGTTCTAGTTTCTACTATGATACAGCATATTTGATTTTTATCTTTGTATCCATAATGTGACTTATTTGTGGGGTTTTGCTGTCCATGAGAAACGGTAGGTTTTTTTGGTTTGTTTTGCTTTTTTGTTAGCATTGGATTTCTTTTTCTACTTCTAGTACTGGGGATGGGATCTGGGGCCTTTGCACTGGGTTACAATTCTCAATGCTATTTTTTAATTTTTAATTTTTTATTTTTGAGACAGTCATTAAATTACATAGGTTGAGTTCAAACTTATGATCCTCCTGTCTCCCCTTCCAGAGTGTCGGGATAACAGGCATGTGCTAATGTGCCCCACTTAGTTTAGGACTTTTATGATTTATCATTCTCAGTAATGGGTATATATCACTTATTAAATAATATTTTAAACTTTATCAACTAATGTTTTGATAGTAGCATTCCTGAGAAAAAACTCAAAAATAATTCAGATAGGCTGGTTGCTATGCTTAGAGTGTGAAGACTCAGAGATGCATAGTGGAAGAGCCCACATAGGCGTTAACAGTAAGCCTCCTTGAATCTTTGATTTGCTTCGGTTTGGCTTCACATATAGCTAAGAGTTCTGGGAAAGTCCCTTGACTTATCTAACTCATTTTTTGTCACGGTACATGCATGTAATTCCAATACTATGGGAGGCTGAGGCAGGAAGATCACGAACTCATAAGTCAGCCCAGGCCAAGTGACTTAGTAACATAGTAGAACCCTGTGTTAAGTATTTTTAAAAGGTTGAGCATGTACCTGAATTCAGTCCCCAGTACCTGGCCCCTTCCCAAGCATCTGCCTTTCAGGGTTCTTGTTCTAATTAAGTGAGATAATGTGTGCAAAGTGCCTGACATGGTAAACACGCAGTAAATGTTACTCTCTTTGTTGCCTCACTGTCAGTGTCAGAACCTAGAAGACTGCCTCTGTGAAAGCAGTTCTTCTCTCGGTTTGTTCAGCTCTCCTGGGAAGCCAGACTGTTCAAGGAGAAGTCAAGTACCCATCAGCTTCTCCTGTGGGCATATTAGCATTTTTCAAAATCTTTACTAGTTCTTATTGTACTTCTATGAAGTCTAAAAGTATTATCATAATTTAGATGGAACTAATGACAGCTGAACTGATAGTTACTTCAAAATAGCCTTAAAATTCACACTAAAATAATTATGTTCATTTATTCAGTAATTCTGCATTTCCCCTGATCCATTTCGTCTCCTAGATAGCTTCTTACACTTGTCCTTCCGTAAGCTTCTATATTGCCAACACTTAGCAATTCCTCATTGTCAGTGCCTTGTTTCTTGTGTTACTAAGTTGAAACAATTAGAAATGAGTTTTCATGCACCCCCTCTGTTAATGCTTCTCTATGTTTAGACCCTATATTCATTCTCTTGCTTCCCTGACTAGGCCCTGTGTGTGCCAAGGCCATCCTCTGTTTTCTGTGGTTGAGTTTCAGTCTCTCTTACAGGCACTTTACTCCAGCAGTTACTCCTTTTCCCTCTTGTGACATCAGTCTTTACTCCCAGCTGGACCATTCTCATGTGAGTACAAACATGCTATTCTTTTTCCTGTCTTAACAATACAAAACAAAATCACTTTGGCTATTCATTTACTGCCAAACCCTCTCATTTCTTTTTACAGCAAATTCCTAGGAAAAGCTGTCTGTTCTGCTCTCTACTTGTTTTTTTGAAGCTGTTCCAGTCTAAGCTTCTGCCTACAACTTCACTGGCTCTAAAATTGTTCTTTTGAGGTTCTCATTGCCCTCCATACTGAGGTTGCTGCGTCCAATGGTCCACTTCAGGCTTCATCTTATGCAGCCTGTCGGCAGTGCTAGACTTTTTCTTTTGAACACTTTCTTCTGTTGGTTTCTAGAACACATCTCCCTTTTGGTTTTGGTCTTATCTCACTCGCTACTCTCAGCAGGTTCCTTTTCTCCCCAGTGCCTAGTCCTCAGTGTCATTCCCTGTTTATCTTCATTTAATCTCAAGATTTTATGTTAATGCCCTTCCTTTAATGTCTTCCTGCCAATTAGGACATAGGCGCTGAAACTGGCTTAGAGCGACCGTGGGTGGATTTCCACCCATCCAGTTCCCACAAAATCCATTCCTCTTATAGCTTCCTTGTTCAGGTTTAAATGACAGCTTCATTCTGCAAGTCAGTGGGCAAAAGCACCTTGCTGTGATCTCTGATCCCATAGCATATTTGGACAGTGTTGCTTCAGTGCAGAACATGTATTTTTATGTTTACACACACCCATAGAGTTCAGCCTCCTCTTACCGTCTGAACTGGTATCGTTTTCTCTGAGCCACTCTAACTTTTATGTCTGGATTTGGCAAAAAAACCTCTTCCCTGTTGTCTGTATTTCTGCCCTTGTGTTGCTCTAATCTGTTCCATACAGTAATCAAAGTGAGTTATACAAACATATAGCACATGAGTTCTCTGTGCAACCCTCAAATAATTTTCATCAAAGAACTTGCTGTTCACTTTTCCTTGTTTAGTTTTTCTATATAGCGCTAATTAACATCTACTTACTGTATCATAGAAGTCCCCCTTACTGATGGGGAATATGTTCCAGGTCCTCCGTTGGATGGCTGAAGCATCTGATAGTACTGAACTCTGTTATGTTCAGTTGAATAGTGCTGAATTCTGCTACATTTTCCCCATACATACATACCTGTGAAAAAATTCATAATTAGCAACAATAAAATAGAATCATTATACTAATGTTTGATAAAATTATCGGTCTATCTCAAAATATCTTGTCATTCTGTACTCACTGTCTCGTGACGGGGTGAGATGATTCACTGCTGATGGTGCAATGAGTGAGGTGAGCGACACAGATAGTGAAAGAGCACTGGGTTACTGCCTAAGAGCCAGCTGAACCCAGTGCTGTGATACTATGGACCTAGTGACTAAGGCAGCCGGGGACTTACTGGCATTTACCCATGGACACCCTGGACAAAGGGATGGTTCACATCCCAGGCCAGCTAGGGCAAAGATCAGAAGCATCACACAGCATAAGACTTAAGCATCACTTCAGAAGTTTCCACTTAATATTTTCAAACCACAATTAATCCTAGGTTACTAAAAGTATGGATAAGGGGGGCTGCTATATATATATTTCTTGCTTAACTGTTCCCTTTTATCAGAATGTAAACTCTACAAAGGCAGGGCTTTGTATATTCTGTTTACTGCTGTACTCTGTACTCTGAATAGTGTGCGGCATGTATACAAAGGCACTTAAAAATATGACAAATTAATGTAAAAACACAGCATTCGAAAAGAAATACTTAGTAGCTATAATTCAATTTTATGGAGTTTCATTACCTAACTTTATATGACTTTCATATTATAATTTAATCTTCAAAACTGAATTACTATCACAAATGAAGAAACCAAGGATCACGGAAGTCAAAGAAATGAAGTTAGTTAACTGATAATTGGCAAATTGCATATCCATCCCAAATGGTGCTTTTTCTAGCACCCTGGAAAGACCTCAAGTGTTTCTCAAAGTACATTGTGTTGAATGCTTTTGTTGTTATCAATTGCAAGATGGCGTTACTCAGGCACTGTCATATTAACCATAATTTTAAAAAATGACAAAAATATTGATAAGTATTTCAAAAAGGTTTGGATTAATGTTAATTTAAACCTCAGTTCAGTTACTGAGATATTTCCATGCATATTTTTACAGTTTCCTTCAGTGTTGGTATATACCATATTTCTTATAAAGAAACCTCAGCTTCTGAGAAGCAGCATTAATTCATAGTAAATTTAGCATTTTAAAACAACTTTTAGTAGAAATAATTAAGCCAGAGTTTGATAAGTTTGATAAGTATTTTATATACAGTGTTTTTACTTGTTGACTCAATATTTATATTTTTATAGTACTTTTATGTGTTGGTTACTTTTCTCTCATTGCCTAGTAAAAATACCCAAAGCCCAAGATTAAGGAAAGAAAGGTTTATTTGTCTCAGTTTGTGGAGGTTTCAGTTCATAATCAGTTGGCTCCAAGGCCCGGTGGCATGGTGAGCGTCAACAGTTCAAGGCAGAAGACAGCAAAAGCAACAAGCGCAAAGCGCTGGGGTGGGGGGGCTGACGACGACTACGACTTTTTTTCCTCCCTAATACTGCATTTAGGCTACCTGCCCTCTGGTGGGCATAGGACTAACACCACCTCTGTGCCCCTCTTTTGCACAGGCTCAGGACCTTGGACCCTTGCTGAGTCACTTAGTTAAACTTCTGTATTTCTCAAGGTGACACAGTGAACAGCACCCTAGAGCAATAAGGGCATGTTCTGTATACCCTAGGATGTAGAACTACCGAGTTACTTGGTTTACCTTCTAGACTTCTCAGGTTGACACAGTGTATTAATCATTACATTTTATTTAATTTTTCAACTGGTATTAAAGTGCATCCGAACTAAAGGGCTGGGGATGTAACCCAGCAGCAGAACACTAAAAAAAGCAAAACAAAGAAGAACCTATGTTAAGAATTTCTCCAAGATTGAAAACTACTAATTTTGTAGAATTACAGCTAGAGTGTTTAATTCAGAGGCCACATACAGTTCTGGTATTAATTCAGTACTTTATTTTGCTGCTTTACAAAAACATACAAGTATACATTTCCTCTACTGTACCATCATTCTGTATTACTTCTGTCTAAATTTAGAAGAGAGCTGTTAATTAATTTTTCTCCTCCCTTTCTAGTAAGTTTCCCCCAAGCCTGTATGCTGCCAGGGTTTCCAAAGCACATGAGGAGGAAATAGCAGGTACCTTCCTGGTGGCTCTGGATCCACTCATCAGTCAGCTGCTCACATTCCAGCCTTTTGTGCAAGTGGTTTTGGACAGTAACTTAGGTAAGCTTCAAAAGAGATTGAGTGTTAAATCATGTACAGTTAATTTTGAGTTGTTAAGAGACAGGGTTATTTCCCCTTATATAAGCCATTAAAATGTAAAAATTTATTACTTAAAATTTCTTTTTATTGAAACATTTCTCATTTTAAAAAACATTGTTCCTCTTATTTATATAACACGCATTTCTGCTGGGAGCATTCAGGGTATGTTTGTCCAGTTTGTTGTAAATTAATGCCTCCTTTGGTTTATGACCTGGAAGACCTGCCATGTGAACTGCAGTTCCCACAGTGCCTGCTCTTGGTTGCTGTCATGGACAAGCTGCCGTCTCAGCCTGAGGAGGTGCAGGCCCTGTGGTGCACAGAAAGCCGCGTCCCAGCAGCTGTGAGCAGGTAGCACATGTGTTGATTTCCTTTCTCATTACTGTGGGCTAGAATACCCTAGTGTTTGGAATGGTCTTAACCACTTAACAGTCCAGTTATTTAGATACAAGATAACCAAAAGTTGCATAATTTTTTCATTAATTTTGCATGGTAACTGGAAATATAAAAATGACAATTTTGTCAAATGTATTCAATACAAGAACCAATTGGTTGAAGTGATACTTGCCTGAGTCATGCTTAGTACTGTCAGTAAGTAAAACAAAATGCACTGCCCAAGTGGAGCTCGAGGTAAACTGTTAAGTGGTTAAAGTTTTTTTGTATGTCAGGTATTCTAGTTAATAGCTACTGTGTAGAAAAAGTTTGTTTAAATAGATTTATATAAATGTCTGGCAGATATACTCTTAGTTTTCTTCACAACTTGGTGCCTGCTGGTGAGTATTATAAATACTGACTGTAGTGGAGGAGATGCAAGTAAGAGCATGTCCGAATGGACCCTGTAAGTAGATACTGTGGCAGATCTCCTGGAAACCGGGTCGGCTTCATCCTCCTTGCGGACACAGGGGTGCAGACTCTGGCTTCTTCCTGCCTGGATTCTTGTTGCACTCATATTGCCTTACTCCTTTTAAGCAGCTCTGTCGTGTGCATCTTCCTAAGCCTGGCTTTCGCTTCCTTTGTGTCTGCTTGAAACCTGAACCTGAAGGTCGGAATCCTTGGCACTGCGTTTAAAGCATACTCTGTTCTGTGGCCATGTTCCACTTTTGCTCCTCAGGCTTTCATTCATTTTCACCACATACCCTTTGCTTCCTCTGTCACACTGCTTATTTATGTCTACTTATACACATAAATGTTTTGTCTTTGTCACCGAGTCATTTTACTTCTTTTTGATTTGTTGAAATCCTTTATGAAAGTTTCTTCAAGGATTTGTCTTAAAACCCCTCTGTCTAAACTATTATTATTTTATTTATAATACTTAATATCTAAGTTATTTTTTTCAGGTTCTATGAAGCTTTAACTTTGTATAAGTCAGTACTATGATAAGCAGTTAGTAAATGATGAAAAAATGTCAGGAAAAATTCTTTCCCTTTAAGTGCTTTTTTGATTGTGAATTTATTTAACTTCTGTGTATATATGTTCACAGATAGTAGCAACTATTACTGAATATATCTCTTGAGATGTTTTGCTTTGCTGTCTGTCTGAATGATATACTACTATTTTTACCTGCTAATTATTAAACGTTCTTAATGTTGGGTTCAATGTTCTCAATTTCCCCTGCAGGCAATCTCTACTCCAAGCCATTTTCCACAGTTTTGAGCAGTGTTCTGGTGAACTGTCTCTACCTGTTCATTTACAGGGGCTAAAGAGTAAAGGGCAAGCTGAGGTGGCTGTCACTTTGTATCAGCACGTTTGTGTTCATCTCTGTGCTTTTATTGCTTCCTTTCACCCCTCACTGTTTCCTGAACTGGTAAGCACATTACTTGCTAGGATAAGTAGAGGTTGCATTTTTGCTTTCTGTTGTAGTCCGGGGTTGTACACAGAGAACAATTAGGATTAGGACATGGAGTTTATAATATTTTTTTAATGGTCACCGGAAGTTAACACAGGAAAATGCAGGAAATCTACTGCAACACCAAAGACATAGATTATTTAGTCAAGAGCCTAAACCCCACGGCAATGTCCCACATGAGTCCAGATAAAAACCCAGAGCTCAGGACAGTGCCTCCCACGAGTCTAATTGGAAGTCCAGAGCCCACAAGAAGGACTTACACCAGTCTCTTTCACGGATCTGTGCCGGGAAGACCCAAGGGTCAGCAGTGGAAGCCAGAAAGCTAGAAAGTTTATGCCAGCAGGATAAAGGAGCTGGACTAGTGGGATGAAGGTTCTGTGCAGGAGCCGAGAAGTCACACAACAAAGACCAGGGCTATCCTTAAAGGCACCACAGCTGTCCTCAGTGACACAGAGGCCCCAAGCTCCTCCGATGACAAGCACAGTCGAGTACATGCCAGGAAGCAGCATGACGAGTTCATCCTGGAGACCAAGCAGCACATGTCTTCCCCTCCAGAGCCAGGAAGCAATGCTCGATGTGAGGACCAAAGATTCTCCAGGAGAACCAACAGCTCAGACAGCAACTTGTAGGAGAACCCACAATGCCCCCTTAACGCCTTAACCCTCAACACCTCCCCTCTTCTCCACTATTTATCCTGGCAACTTTCCTCAGATGGAGCATTTTCGCTCAATGCCATGCTGATGTAAACCAGCTGGCGTTAAGTTGACCGCCAGTTCTCAATCCATAACTCTTTCCAATGAAATTGTGAATTATATGCAAAAAAGATGTAGGAAGAGTTAACAAATATTCCTTGCATTGTTTTCTCAACTTACACATTTTACCCAGTCCTAGGAGATGTTAATCCTCAGTTCCTGTAGAGTGGGATCTAAGTATTTGAGAAAACATGTTGATTAGAGAGGTATGGAAAAATAATTGAGAGTCAAAAAGGTTTAGGATTATATCAGTGTTTTATAAAAGAAGCAAACTGTATGTAGTAGTGGGTCTATTACAGACCTTAGGTGTAATGTAGATTTTTCATTGTTAATGGCATTGGATTAGAAAAATGGAAAATTCCTTCCTAGAGTTTAATAAGGATCAATATTATTTAAGATATTTAGTGAGTATAGCTACCACATGTTAAATATACTGCATGGGAATAGATAAAGGCAGAAAGAAAACTAGAAGCTTTTAGATTATTGTTTTAAAGGTTTTAGACTACTTAATCTTTGAATAATAATGATTAATACACTTAAAGTCAATTTGGCTCCCCACAGTCCAGTGCAATGTTAACATAGAGTAGATGCTCAATAGAAAATAGAACCTCCCTTTGAGGATTATTGGGACTTGTTTTATTTTGAGACATGTAATGTTAATGATGCTCTATCACTAATTTTAGTGTATTAAATTAATTTTTCCTTTTTTTCATTAGGATGCTGCTCTGTTGAATGCTGTGCTTAGTGCTAATATGATTACGTCTTTGTTAGCCATGGATGCCTGGTGCTTCCTTGCTCGGTACAAAATACTTATGTTTTAGTGCTTAGTAGAAACTGATGGTAAACTATTTCAACTGTGAGTTTATGGCAAAATTGTTTTAGTAGTCCTCTAAAGTCATCACAAAATGGTTTGATTTTCTGTTCTAGCACTCACTTGGGAAACTGATCCCCTCTTTCTTTGATATAAGCCCACAGATGAATATTTATCAGTAGTTTTTTATGTTGTGATATTCCTTGGCCATGGAAATATGGTTGCACATGCCTAATCTAAAATGCTGTAAAAACTTTTCAAGCACTGACATGATGCCACAAGTAGGAAATTCCATACCATGAAACTGCTTCATATCTACGATTATTGAAAATATTTTATAAAATTACTCTGCATGTAAGATATATATGAAAGATAAATTAATTCATAGTTAGGATTGAATACTACCCCCAAGGTATCTCATTATGTGAATATAAAATTCTAAAATTCAAAAAAGTAAATCTAAAGCACTTTTTTTGCAAAGCGTTTCATGTAAAGAATACTCAACTTATAATACCAGCTTGTGTCCCTATCAGACTGTTACTTATGGAAGTTTGTCTCCTTGCTTTTTTGAATAGCTATAGAAACCCTTTCCTTTTCTGTTGAAGGTATGGGAGTGCAGAGCTCTGTGCACACCATGTCACCATAGTGGCTCATCTGGTGAGTAGAGTTACAAGACCTAAAGCACTGACTTTCCATATATTTTCTTTGGGGTATGATAAGTTTAAAGAATGTGAAGCCCAGAGCACTGTAGCAGGCTGAGGAGGAGGATCACAAATTTGAGCCCAGTTTGAGCAAGTTAGTGATTTAGTAAGATCCTGGCTCAAAATAAAAAGTAAAACAGATAGGGGGTGGTATAGCTGCAGTAAGAAAGGAAGGAAAGAGGAAGAGGGGGAGAAAAATAGCAAAACAAGAGAGAGTACAGTAGCTAACTTGTTTTGACAGTTTGCCCTGTATGCTCATACTATTAAGAAAGGTGTACTGAAAAGCTAGGGAAATTTTCTCATCAAAAGTTTACAGAGTTCTGTAGGAAGAAAAATTAGGTTGAATATGAATTTAGAATTAAATGGAAATATAAAATAACCTTGTAATGTTCATGACCGAAAGGTTATTTATTCCTTTTTAATACTACCTCAGCTGACTTGATTTGAGAGGGCAGGTTGACAGAGAGTAAGTTTTATAACCAATGTTCTTAGGAAGAGCAGTTACGTTTTATCAGTGGATACACAGGAAATATGATTTAATAATGATTCTTATCAATGTTGACTGTTTTTTAAAATTTTGAGATGTTTGATAATAATAGCTGGTTATGAGCTGTTGTTTTTGTCCCTGGCCTTGTGTGAAGCTTTCTACTTTTTATTTCTTAGTAACCTTATTGTGGCATATATTTCTTGGTTTATTTTAAGAATTTTGTAGAGAAGTCTGGTAAGTTATATAATAACCTGAGCAGCTAACATCTATGCTCCAAGGCTAATGATCTGGATCATGATTTGCTGTACTAAATTCATAGCACAGGTTGCACAAAATAGTGTGAATTTTATGATAGGTGTTTTATATCTGTTTTCCTCTGAATAGAAGTTCTCCTAGTGCCTTATAAACAGGGCTTACTTTCTTCTAGTGGAAGATAGGAACTGATAACACTGAGTTTATGAAGTTTCTGTTAAAGTTATATCCATTCTTTCTACTATTATGCTTAGATCCTAAAAGGGTCCTTGAATTATCTTTTTTGAGTTGGAGGATTAAAATGCTAAATTAGAGCAATGGTAGTTAGAAATAGCAATTATAAAGTGTTTCTTATTTAGTATCAAAATTTCATTCTTATTATGAAAATAACCTAGGTTTATTGGAGAAAAAGAAATTAAAGAACCTCAAATTAAAAATTAAAGTATCTGTAATCTTATCTCCTAGAAAGAGCCACTATTAATATTCTATGTATTTCCATCTTATAAAATCTTTGTAAATCAGTCTCTCTTTCTGCCTCTCCTGCTTTTTCCCAGATAAAATCTTGCCCTGGAGAATGTTACCAGGTCATCAACCTGTCGATACTGCTGAAGCGTCTCTTCTTCTTCATGGCCCCAACCCATCAGGCAAGTTACTGTCCTAGTTACTGTTGTTTGAGAAGTGCCACTGAGAAGTGCTTTTGATTTTACTGAAGGCCTTTTCTTCACTCATATATGTATTGTAAATTTGATTTGATTTAAGAAACCGGTTTATTATGTTGTCTAAAGCAGAGCAGGACTAGATAACCCATTGAAAACTGAACCTGTGATCTTTAAGTTCTTTACTACAGTCAGCTGAGATATTAAGCAAGAAAGTGTGGCTAAATCAACCTTGTTGACAAATTTGGAATATTTTGACCCAACCGTAAAAGGTAGTGAATGCTTTAGGAACACAAGATAACTTATCTGATGTAACTAGTAATAAAACTAGTAGTAATAACATTTCATAGTATATGTATGTCATGCTTCATTCAAACTGTTATTTAACTTAGAAACAAATAAAGCAACAACAAAAGAATAATGCACGCTCACTGAAGTTACTTTGGTCTAGTACTTAATGATACTACTGATATTAATACTTAGTTCTTATGTACACATTCATCCAGTTTGATGTTACTCTTGTTTTTCAATGATTTTTTTTCAGATGGAGTTTATCCAGAAATTTTCTCCAAAAGAAGCAGAAAATCTGCCTCTGTGGCAATATATTTCCTTCCAGGCCTTACCCACTGAACCCAGGAAACAGACTGCTCAGGAGGTCACCAGAATAGGCAGTATGCAGTGCAGGAAATGGCTGGATGGCAGTCATACGCTGGGAGAACTGGAATCTCTGGTAAAGTCATTGTGATCAGTTTGATTCCCTTAGCTGTTATTTACTGAACTCTGTTGTAGGTACTGGGGATAGATCTGTAACGTGACAGACAAGGTTATTCTGTCTGTCTGTTAGAACCTAGCAAGATGTTCATATTTATACATCATAAAAGATCTCTGAGGACATTATCTTCACTAATGTGAATTATACTGGAGGTGTTTCCTCTGTTGCTTAAAATACATTGGAACAACATAAGATAATTTGTCATGCTTTTGCTGATACTATTTGGATTAGGCAGACATGATTGTTATTTGACAAAACACAGTATTTTATGCAAACCTACCATGAACCTTTATGTCTCTTTTTAACTTAGAATGTTTCCTTGCGCTGGGGATTTAGCTCAATGGCACAAGTGCCTGCCTGGCAAGTATGAGGTCATGAGTTCAGTACCCAGTAGCAAAAAAAAAAGAAGGTTTCCTTATAAAATGATGGAATAAAAAAATAGACTCTGGGGGGCTGGGGATTTAGCTCAGCAGCATAAGCGCCTGCCTTGCAAGCAGGCAGTCGTGAGTTCGATCCCCGGTACCGATAAAAAAAAAAAATAGACTCTGCATACCTATAATCGCAGCACTCTGGGAGGTTGAGCCTGGAGGATTGCAAGTTTGATCCCAGCTTGGACAATGATCTCAAAAAATTTTAAAAAGGGCTTGGGAATTAGGTTCAAATCCCCATCCCCAAACAAGGGACTCTTCTGTTATAAGTAGAAAGTATGTGGTTGACTAGAAATTGTACTTGAATTTCGTAATTCAGTGTTCATATGCTTATTCATTCATTCAATAAATATATTTTGAGCCAGGCATGGAGGAATAGACCCATAATCTCAGTACTCTTAAGAGACTGAGGCAGGAAGATAGCAAGTTTGAGCCCCACCTGAACAATTTAGCAAATTACCGAGACCCTATCTCAAAATTAAAAAAAAGGATGGAGATGTAGTTTTGCGAAGGCCCTGGGTTCAGTACCGCTAAAAGCATTTATTTATTTATTTACTTATGGCATGACCTTATATGCCACTTTATGTTCTAGGCACTGAAGGAACAAAACAGAAATTTCTGTCCCCTTGGAGAGTTACATTATAGCTAAGACAAGTGGAGAAAAATTAAGCAAGGTCAGGGATAAGGCACTAGAAAATGCACATGTGTGCTTGTAAGGACTGTGTGTGTGTGTGTGTGTGTGTGTGTGTTACTGGGGATTACATCAGGGGCCTTCACACTGAGCTACATCCTCAGCCCTGTATGGTTTTTAAAATTTTGAGATATAGCTCAGTTGGCAAGCGTGAAGTTGTGAGTTTGATCCCTAGTACTAAAACCAAAACAAACAAAAAAACAAGAACAACAACATAAAATTTTGAGACGGGTCTTGCTAAATTGTCCTCAGTTATGGCCCTCTTACCTCAGCCTCCTCAATGGTAATGTTAAAGTAATTTAAAACATGTATTTTTTTTCCAAAGAAATTTGTAATGTGCTTTTATTTTGGAAAAAACTTAAATATCTAGTTTGGGATGGGTTAAATTTATTGAAGCTTGTCTTTAATGTGTGCTACTTTCTATCATTAACGACAAAAGACTTGTTTTATATTGGGTAAAAATAACAGTTTTCTAAAATTGAATAACTTGTGACCAAAACTTTTATGTAGCAGGTTATTGAGAATGTTTTTTTAAAAAAAGAAATAGGAAAGGAAAAAGAAAGAAAAAGAAATAGATCATCTTAAATATGAAAGGTATATAGTAACATAAAATTAAGTGTAGTTGTTGAAATATAATGGGTTAAAGTAATTGTTAGTTATTAGATTCTCATATCCTCTTCATTGTCTTCATGATATCCCAAAGAGCTCCATTCCTAGCCAGAGACATTTGAATACTTACACATATAGATAGTGAATTTTTAAAAAGTTTTTAGTTTCGAATTCATCTAGAAATATTTAAATTCTATATAATTAAATTCTGTATTTGTTCATTATATCAGTATTGCTAAGGAATCTTGAATTTTAAAACAACAGTAACAAAAAAAAAAAATCTAGTAACCTGTAAACAGTATTGGATGTGTATGTGAAAAAAAGAACTTTTCATTAATGACTGCTTTAAATTAGACTGGTGATGCTGGATGTGGAGGCACATGCCTGTAATGCCAGTACTTGGGAGTCTGAGGCAAGAGGATCACAATGACTTTGAGGCTGGTCTGGTCTATATAAGTCAATTCAAAGCCATACTTGTCTCAAATACATTCATACATACAAACAAATAGGAAAGGCCATACTGACCATCTTTATCCAACCTACTTATTAAAATGCAGTGCTGTTTTAATTTTGCTTTAAAATTTTTAGCTTAAGAGGGAAAAGATCAATTTGGCTCTTAGACATGATATTCCACGTGAACTTTTATGAGGAGTCTGAAATAACTCCCGTAGCCTCTGGCTAAGTGGGCTCCCCACTGGTCCTCTAGATTGGTTTCTAAACTCATGTCTTCTCCCCTCTCGCTGTTTTAGAACTCAGTGCTGTCTGCTTTGGTTGCGGTCTGTGCGTCTGCTGGAGAAACTCTGGATATTGGGCATCAAACTGCAATTACAGAAGTTGGGAGTCAGCTTTGGACTTTCCTAAGTGTTAAACAGGTGAGGAAAGCAAATGTTGATTTCCCTGAAGAACAAATTAAAAATGATGAAAAAATACTGAAATTTCCCTGTAGAGAAAAAATTTAATTTCTGTAGATGCTTGGTAGAGCCTATGAGTAGAATTTAAAGCACCTGTATGTACTCATGCCAACTTTATATTGCTAGAATCCAGTGAAGTGCCAGTGCCAGTCCATTCCATTTTCATGACCTGTCTCTTGGGTTAATGTGATTCAAGGGTCTTTCATAAAATCTTTGGGACAGTGAGAAGGATCTGACCTAAACGTGAGAGGGGATGGTGAACAGATAGGTATTTCTCTCCCCTAGCAAGGCCAAGGAAGCAAGTGATGCTCGGGCAACTATTGAAATGATAGTCATGCTTCACACCTCTCTGTAAACTTGATCCTTATTTGGAAAATCTAAATATGATGCTTGTTTGCTTTGATTGCATAGAAATAAATATTTCCAGTGGGGAAGGGCCATCCATAGTAAACAGGAATTGAAACATGACTTTGCAGTCATCTTTCATCAGTTTGTGTATGGTCAGAGAGCCCTCTAGCAGTATTTTTGACTTCAGTAAGTGCCTTCCCCTGGGGCTTACATTTGGTTCATTATTAATTCAGCCCAGCATGCTGCTGGAGATTTAGCTTGCAACAGTGTAAAATAAACAATAATTATGAGAAATGAAATTTTAGGAAGAATAAGAAATATGCAAGCTTTAGTGTCAGGTAAAAAATAATTAGATTCCTTTTTGAGCTAAATCTGGATTTGGATCATGGCTCTTTTTCTTAGCCGTATGCTCGTAAATTATTCAGCTTCCCTGTTTTCTTCTTAGTAAAATGGGGTAATGAGCTACCTCAGAGTTACTGTAAAGCTTAAAAAAGGTAATAAATATATTGCCTGTAAGTATATTGTCTAATCCATAATAAATATTCAATGAAAAGTTGGTATTAGAGCAGTTCTCATGTAATTGAGAATTTTCACTAAAACTACTTCATTTCTTATTTAAGGTAACAGATCAACCCTGTGTTCAGCAGACATTCAGCATTTTACTGTCATTATTGGGATTTTTTGTTCAAACTCTACATCCTCAGCTGATATGTCAGGTAAGGTAGTAGCCAAGTTGATAATGTTTGCTCAAGGAGTTTTTTTTTTTTAATTGCAAAAGGAGTTTAAGAGTTTATTAAATTGTTATCACTTAACTCTTTAGAAAGTCTTTTTTTGCTGTTTGTTGCTTGGTTTGCTTGTAACTCCTTTCGTGTTGAACTGAACACATCACAGATTCACTTACCTCCATCAGGCACATACTCATTTCTGTCTTCCCTCCAGTAGAGTATTGTATAGTAGTACATTCTTATCACCTGTCCTTGGGATAGATGTTTTTACTACTGAGCAGTCACAACTTTTTGTGGTCACTGTTAGCTGCCCATGAAAAAGCCCTGAGGTTAGGAGTCTTCATTCCTGTGTCAGCTCCTGCACTCCATAATATTTTCTGAGGCATTTTCACAGATGTGAGATTACAGCACGTTGCCAACATGAATTTAAGGGTGAATTTCCATACATTGCTTTATAAGAAGGCACTGCCAGGTTCCCTCCTTGGTGGGACAGGTGAGCTTTGGGCACTGTCAGGGGGATCCTTGTGGTGGGACTTCGGTTACATCTGTGCATGACAGTTGTGAGCAGACAGAGATAATGGGAAAGGCCTGAATCTTATGTGAACTGAGAAACTTTGAAACCAGTTCATACACAGGAGACCTGGTTCTCAGCATTACCTTTAGCATAGGGTCACGTGAGAAACAGCAACAAAAACTGTTAACAGGACAAACTAACCCTTCTTTTTTAGGAAAAGGATCGGAAAGATGGTATGTCTTGTCACCATAGTGGTGGGGAGGGACAGAAAGAACTACAACTAGTAACAGCTTTATTTTTTTGCAATTCTTGCTAGTAGTATTATGCAAAGAAATAACAAGTACTTACTAATTAGATATAATGTTTAGTTACTGCATTTGTAACCTAGGTTAGTAAGTTATAAAGACAGAATAGATAAAATACTCATGTTGAATGTGCAAATTTAAATTTGCTTGGAAGTGCTATTTTTGAAAAATTAAATATTAGTAATTTTAATATAATGTGCTGAATTAGTCAGCTTTTTGTCACTGAATACACCCGAGAAAAACAACTTGAAGGAACAAAGACTTTTGGCTTACAATTTCAGAGGTTTCAGTCACTGGTTGGCTGATTGCATTGCTGTGGGCCTGAGAAGAGGCAGATGAGCATCGTGGTGCAAAGCTGCTCTCCACAAGGCAGCCAGAAAGCAGAGAATGGGAGAGGGGAGAGAGGAAGGAGCCAGGGACAGGACTGCAGTCTGCAAGGCTGTGTGCTCATGGTCAGCTCCCTTCAGCTAGGCACATGGCCTGTTTCCATCACCTCGGTTTATCTTCCCCTCAGTGGAGTGATCAGTCACCTTCCAAAATACCTTCTGTCTGAACACGTGAGACTTTTGGGAGATGTTTAGATATAAACCATAACATATGCCTACCTTTAGCCTCTTGGCTAAATTCACCCTCCTGTTTTCAATCTAAGAGCAAAGAATGGTTTTTATATTTTTAAATATTGAAAGAAAAAAATACACAACAACAAACATTGCATGCAAAGCCTAAAATACTATTTGGCCCTTTACAAAAAGTGTCCTTAAAGGCAGTCCTTTTTTTTTTTTCTTTTGGTCTTTTTGAGATAAAGGCTCAGTCTGTAGCCCAGGCTGGTCTCAAACTCAGTGATCCTCCTTCTTCAGCCTCCTGAGTACTGGGACTACAGGTATTCAACAATATGTCTGTCCTGTCCTTTTCTTAAGTACTGACCTTCCTTCAATAGAATATAAAATTCAGAGAAATTTTTAAAGGTTTATTATACAAAATTTTTCTGGAACATGTTTTTTTCCCTGTAGTTAGAGGCAGGAGAATATGGTACAACACTGAAGTAACTGACTTCTTTGATTTTCTTACTCAGGTTCTATCTGTGAAATTAAAGTTTTGTGGAGTGTTTGGTTGTTTTGGCTTATTGCTCCTTATTTATCCAAGTCTCAGGTAGTCCTCTTGCCTGTACAAAATACTATTTGCAGTTTCCTGTTTTTTATTTTTCCCTCTTCAGGTAGTAAATTTGCAGACCTCACTACTTAAATTTGGACCTCCTGATCATGTCTGTTTGGCAATCGTCGATTTTGTGTCTTCTCTGGGAAAACTTTTTATACCTCACACTCTCCAGGTAGTAACTCTTAACTCTTGTTCTTGTGCTATTAAAAATAAAATGTCTGTAATGATGAAGGGATTTTCAGGCTTTTGATTGTGGAAATTCTGTGGATTAACAGTGAATTAGGGGGAAAGAAATGTATTCCAAGTAAGAATTCATTTATCTTCTTTTAGAGAAATACATGTTGGCCTCGGAGTAATTGACTAGGTGGCAGTAGTGTGGTATGGGAGATTCTCATTCCAGTTGGGTTCCAGCAATTTCTAAAGGCAGAAAACATTCATGTCTTCTGTGCTATGTGTAATTGGAAAATTTGGTAAATTATTGCATTAGACTTTTTGGTTTTATATTGGTGAAAGGGAACCTGTTTGTTTTTAAAGATAGTATGTTAAACAATGCTGACAAAATGTGCATGGCTGACAGTGGATATTCATTTACAACATTACTGTATGGTATAGCGTCACACATCTACTGAAGCTTAGGACAGACATCCCAGCAAACAGGAAGGCTTTGTAAACTCCTTGTTTTGCTTTACTATTTAACTCAAAATGCAACAGTTTGATAGTTAACTTTTTCTGCCCTGTTTTTACTTCCAAGGGTACAGTTAAAAAGCTCACAGTAAGAAAACATTGTCATATAATCAGAGCAAGTACATAATGGACAATTTTAGGACATACTGGTTAAAATCTTTGAAAGGTCAACACTGAACCTAACTAGTGAATGTGACTCAGTTCTTGTTCAGTTTGGTTTGTGACCAGAATCATGGAAAGAACTGAGTTCCTGAAATGAGATAACACAGTATTTGTACACAAGTGAACGACATTATGCAGTCTGTTTACATGTAAAGCTGTGTTTCTTGAGCTAAGTGTACTAACAGTTTCTTTTTGATTCTCTTGGCAAAGTTATCTGAGCCATTTTCTTTTACCGTAAAATAAATTTATTCCAGGTTGCTTCTTTATTCATGTATAGCTGCAGACCTTGCATGGTCCAAGAACCTGTGGAACAGATGTTTTTCGGAAGTCACAATGCCTTACACATCCCCTAGCAGTGAGGTCAGGGCCTAAAGAAATGTTGGGGATAGGTCAGTATATAGGAGACATTTAATGCCATAAGATGAGATTACCTTTTTCATTCAAGAAAAATGAATGAGTTCTTACTGTGTCCAATGCTATTTTCATCACTGATGATACAATAATTAAACTAATAAATCCCCAGTCTCAGCTTGTTGAAAGGCAACAGGAAATAAAGTGGTGGTGAATGCTGAGAAAAAAAAAAGTAGGGGTGGGATGAAGCAAGGAATACTTACATTTATGGGAACATGGTTCAAGGTGGGAGATGCTGGGAATCCGACAGTAAGGGTGAGGAGCAGACTGTTCAGTTCTGGGGACAGTCCAACGAGCAGAGAGAACAGCAGGTGCAGAGCCTCTGAGGTGCAAGCAGCCTATCATCTAGTACTTTGGGAACTTCTTGAGCCAACAGCTTTCACTATGAGGAAGTGGGAAGTTCTTGGAAGAATTTACAAATGAAATGACCTAAATATTTTGTATAAATGTTCACTAAAATATTGACAACATTGGGCACTGGAATGTCCTCTGAGGTGTCTTCTGTATTTAATAAGAGTTTGGTTGTCTTTTTAGGACAAAATTTTGCCCAACCTGTCTTGCATTCTTGCTTTACTGCTAGCTGACAAGAACTGGCTACTGGAACAACATACCCTGGAGGCATTTACTCAGTTTGCTGAGGTAATTGTAAGACTGATTTATCACCAGGACATCTAAACATCTTAGCAATACTCTGGTTTCTCTTCAGACTGTATAAATCTTTCTCTTTTTACTAAACATCTTAATATTTAAGCCCTGTGGGAACCTGAGGTAGGAGGATCTCAAGTGCAAGCTCAGCCTGAAGTCCTGGGTTTATTCCCCAGTATTTCCAAAAATGAACAAAAAAAACCTCTTAGCATTTTTGATATTCTTAAATGTATTTATTGAGATGCTTCTGTATCTTGTAAATTTTCTTCTGGAGGTGACATTACTAATTATGTGTTGTAGCACCTCAAATGAGGCCTGGAGAAATGAAGTGAGTTTCCCCAGGTTCTGTGAGCAGCAGGGAGTGGGAACAGGCATTTTGAGCAGGCCCATTAACCCAGGCACTGCCCTCCAGGTAGTACTTTTGTGTTCACCCTGAACTACCACCGAGGATAGGTTGATGAACTGAATGAAGGTTGTTACTTTAGTTCTTTAGAGAAGTAACCTAGCATGGCTTGGTTCTTCAGTCTTCTCCGTTGCTATGTAGCACACTCTCACCTTTGCTCATAAGAATCATCAGTAAGACAGAGCCCTAATTGTAGCTTGCAACACTAAATTTGTGGAGGTTAATACTGTATGATCCCAAGGAACCCTGAAAGAACTTACTGTCTTTAAGTGATACTGAATATTCTTACTTGTGTTTTTAAAATAACTCTTAAACACATGTTATTTATCTTTGCAAGCTGCTAACGTGGGTCGCTTGTTAATCTTTTAATAGGGAACAAATCATGAAGAAATAGTGCCACAGTGTCTCCGTTCTGAGGAAACTAAGAACAAAGTTGTGTCCTTTCTAGAGAAGGTATTTACGTATACAGTTCATGTTTTATTCTATTTCATATCACCTCCATTTGAAATGGTAGAACATAGCTTACATTTTCCAGACTGCTCAGCACAGTGCTAACATGGGCTGAACATCCCCAAGTGCAAAGTGCTCCAAACTCTTATCACAGTTTGAGCCACCAGCATGAGGCTACAAATGGGAAATTCCACACCATAACACTTTTTGTGCACAAAATTACTAAAAATGTCCTATAAAGTTACCTTCAGGCTATGGTATTTAAGGCTAAGGTATGAAACATAAGTGACTCTGTTTAGGATCAGGTCCCCATCTCCACATACCCTGTGTACTCTCAGACTGTCTGGTCCCAAGGACTCTGTGGTAGGGCGGACCCAGCATGGGACAAAGAAGTGAGTACCCAGCACACTGCTGTCACGTGGGATTGAGTGATGCTGGTAATTCAGACAGTGAGGTGATGATGCTAAATCTAACTGGGGACTCCTGATTACAGAGATGGGAGATTTTTAACTTTAGGTTTAATTTAGGTGTGGCTGCTTTATACTCTGATTGAAGCCAATACCTGTTTTTCTAAGATAGTGACATTTTTAAGTGTTTTTACAGATACACAGAACTAGTTCTTTCATCATAAGGAGCCCATGTTTGTGCATCTTGAAAACTCATGTGCTAGTGGCACCCATGAAAGAATCTTTTACATATGTATTTGCTATATATTATAGTTACGTTACATGTTGTGTATATTTTGATTTTGCCACTGTCTTGGCGTGTAGTCAGGGTCAGAGGGTGGACTCTATAATGTTTGTGTAAGGAAGAACATTGTAGAGGGACTTGATCCAGATTGGCCTAAGAATAAGCAGTTACGGATGGATCCATCTATTTTCTAAAAGTAGCCACATTCACAGGTCAAGCCACACTGTTCAACACTCACCATTTACACACATACCAAAACAGTTACCTGGCCTTTTCATCTTCCGAGTATTACACCAATTTTCTGTCCAGTAGAAAATGCTGATATATTGGTGTTTACTTGTGTTTTCGTGGTCTTGGCAGACTGGGTTTATAGAGGAGACTGAAGCTGCCAAAGTGGAACGAGTGAAACAGGAAAAAGGTATCTTCTGGGAACCCTCTGCTGAAGTGGCGGCTGGAGAAGTAAGTGGCACACTGGTCTTTGCTACAGATATGGGCTGCCTTACGGTGTGGATCAAACTCCAACAAGGGGAACTCTGGCCTTTACTTACTGATAAAACAAAACTATACCTTAGTTTCTTTCTTTCTTTTGAGACAGGGTATAGTTCAGGATGGCCTTGAACTAGCAGAAATCCACCTGCCTCCACCTCCAAAGTGCTAGGATTACAGGTGTGCACTACCACACCTGGCTCTACTTTGTTTTGATTCTTGTATTCATTGTTTGATTTCAAACCGAATAGATCTACACATGTAAAATTCTTTTATAGTACTTAACTCTTAAAAAGTCACATGTATTCTTTTTGAAATGTTACCAACACAGAACAAAAAAAAAAAAATCAATTAACTTACCTTCCAGACTGTTTAGTTTGATCCCTTGCTTCATTAATCACACTTTTGGCAGTATTGAAAAATTACATTTACCTATTAAAAAGCAGAAATGGTATCACTAGGGGTATTTAAAATACTGTTTGGGAGCTGGTTATTTGGAATAAAAAGCTATAATAGGAACAACGTTCTGGGTCAGTTTTAGGCACGAAAGTTAGTTTATGATAGTAACTTGTTTTTAAGACATGTAACTTTTGTGCCTGCACTTTGTAAAGTTCAGTTATCAGGGAAATAAACCCTTAGGAATTAAATTTATTGTGACATTTATTGGGAAACCAGGAGACTGTGAGGAAGGGGTCCACCCTGTCCTAAGCCAGTGAATAGAAAGGTCATTATTTTAGTTGGGTATCATGGCTTGACTTGACTCAAGCTTTTCTCCTTTTCCAGACTTGTGCAAAAAGAGCCCGCCATGAGTTCCCTTTGGAAGAACAGTATAGGTCAGCCGTGCAAGCAGTAGTCAGGGGCCTGGAGGCCACCGAGTCACTGCTCCAGAAGGCTCCTGCTCCGACCTGGCTTCTGGTGGAGATGGAGGGACTAAAGGCGCGGATCCAGCAGCTCAAACACAGAGTGCTCAAGGGTGAATGCCGAACAGACTGCACCACCAGACAGACTGTTTGACACTGTCAATTGTCAGGGTATTTTGTAAATGAAAAGACTTAGTAATTATATTTATACATTTTCCAGCACATATAAAACAGCTTTTATAAAGGTGAATCTAGTGAAAATAGTTTTTATTTGACATTTAGAGAACAGGATTGTGGTGATAATTTCTCATTAAGACCTTTGGTACAAGGTGATACATGTGGAACAGTAACTGCCCAGGTCCACAAGGGACCTTTCATTCAGAAAGTACAATTGTAAACAAATAAATAAGCTGCCTAAGGAAACTTTAAGTCACTTATAATTTACAGCTAATTTTTTTTGTTCAGTAAGTTGTATTACATAATAGAACTTATTCTTTTCAGTGTTAAAGAAATGGCACAAAATTAAGCTAACCAGCTTGACTTTTAGATTTATTTTCTTGCTTTTTTAAAGCAGTAAGTCAGCCTTTCCCCAGCTCCTTACTCTTCGTGGACGCTGGCCTTGGCTGAAGGCACCCAGGCTCGCCTCCCACAAGCCAGCCCTGTGAGCCCCTGGCCACCTGGGCTCAGCCAGCACTCGAGCATTGTCTCACTCTGCAGTTGGCACAGACTGGGAAAAGAGGCTGCTTTGTTGTTTTTGTCCATACAGCCTGCGTCTGAGGTATTCATTTTTCTTTTTAAAGAAGAGTCCTTCCTGAAGTTTAACTCACGTCCGCTGTCACCAGTTACCATCTTCCCAGTTCAGCTCCCCTTCTTCTCCCCAGCCATCAGCCTCTCCCTGCAACAAAGCACACCAATAGCAACCCACTGAGACGAGTCATCTGCCAGTTAAAATCCAGGAACATACAGCTGACCCAGCACTTGACTTTTTATACCGGAACACATGCCTCCTCCTAAGTCAAACAAGGCTTAGAAACACAGAATGATTGGGCTCCAGCATTACAAACTGTAGCACTGGAAAATCACTTCAAGAACCTCATAATCCAGTAAAGTCAATCTGAGGTTAGTACTTTTTCCAAGTAAAAGAGTTTATTCATGTAAAAAATAGACCATTAAGATACTTACCCCAGGCATTGTACACTTTTCTGAGGAAAGAAAGCTCGCATTTTTAGAAACCAATTTTGCGGATTCTGTGCTTCGCTTAATCACTTTAACCAGTTTTGTGGCCTTTTCCTCCTTTGGAAAAACTTGCTGATAACTATAAACTAGGACCTATTCGGGAAATCCTTAAACTAACCACACAGTTGCATACCCCAGAAGTCCTCACCTCAGTCATTTCTGCTGCAGCAAATTTTGAGGAAAATTGTGTTACTGGTGAGACATCGTCCTTGCTGGAGACCACCAGGTGTGTTCTCAGTTCAGGCAAAATAAGCAAAGCAGCTGGAGGCTTAATTTCTGGGGTCATGTCAGCAAACCAGTCCAACTCCGGATCTTGTACTGGCTTCTTTTTAACCTGTATGGTAAACTCTTCTCCTAAACCAAGTTCTGATGGAACTTTAAGAGGTCTTTCTTGTGATAGCCCTTTGGGTGGCTTGGTCTGGCCTGGGTGTTCTCTGCTTTGTAGATCTGGGGGTAGACTTGATTTCAGAGGCTTGGCTGGTTCAGAGAGTGGAGGAAAATCAGGAATGGGCTTCTGCGTCACTGGTGCAGAGACGCCGGGTCCTAGGCTTTCTTGAGTACCTAAGCTGCTAGGTGCACAGTCTTCCCAAGCCACTGCTTCTGAGGTCAGGTCAGTGCACAGGGACTCAGGAGCATCACAGGGCTCTCTGGGCCAAATGTGCGTGCTGACAGTCTGGGTCTCTGGCTCCTCAGGCTCACTCCAGTCAGGCCACTCTTCGGACTTTTTAGAGTCTGATGAGAAATTTTCAGTGTCCCCTGAAGTATTTTTCACATCTGAGATTCCATTCATGGGAAATTTAATAGACTGAGAAAAATGATCACCTGTGATAATAGATACAAGAATTATTCTCATGAATGACTAGTTAAGAACAAACAATATATTTAGGAGAAGGATAGCACTAAAGTCTATAGACTTACTACTTGGAAACAACCATGCATGCTTAATTAGCAAAAGACATTCTTCCAGACATAACATCAAAGATGTTGCATTACTCAAATACAACTTTATAATGCTTATGTAATATTATTTGCTCATTGGCATAGCTGTAAGTAGAATACCCTAAGCCAGGCAATGTCACCTTTAAGATGTTCATTACATACTCTGTGAAAAAAATGCACGCTCCAATAAGGCTGCTTAATTCAAAGTGCTGAGGACCCTGTGGCAAGTTAACTCTCCTACATACTTTCCCAAACATACTTAACCAAAACACTTTTCACAATGTACCTGTTAACATCTTTCAGCACTAAGACACTAAAGCATCAAAAGTTCCGAAGTAAAGTATATGGGGCAAAAAAAGAAATCAAGTAATGTTAACTACTCTCCTCACCAAGTTATAAAGTGTTAAGTACATATCCAGTAGTCTAAAAGGCACACTGAAGCTGGCTAGCACTTAGAACAAGAAATCAATCTTAAAATTCCAAAGTGCCTTTAAGTTTCAGAATTTTGAACTTACTACTTTAAGGAAAACATTCATCTAAACAATGGAAAAATCTATACATTTAATATTTCTACCTGTGTGTAAACAAGTGTTGTAGTAATTTCGCTGCATGTGCTCCTTGCTGTTGATGGGGAGGTTGCCAGAAGCGAACCCTTTTGGGAATGTGCTAGAGGAGGGACTCTCCGAGGTGGGCAAGATCTGACTGTGCTGGCTGCAGGCCACATGCCTGGGAGAATCTGAAGATAGATAAAAACTTCAAATAATGAAAAGGACAGTAAATGGCTTGTGAGCCACAGATCTGCTGATGGCTACTACAGGAAATGGGCATTTTAACACAGGTAAAAGAACATCTTTGAATACTTGAAGAAACATACCAGATCATTCTGTGTTTAAGAACAGTTTATTTATGTCCATAGTGGGACACAGGAGGAATTCATGCATCATGATACCCCATTAAAAAATTGCAGTCTTTAAAAATATTTTGGTGGTGGTTTAAAGCCAAAGTAATTCTCATTTCAAGAATGGAAGCCTAATAAGAATATACCCCTAACTATATGCATGTACTTTAATACCATAAAACCATACACTTAAATATTTATAGCATAAAATTTATTTACTGTCTTTAACTCCAGACTGGTGGGGGAGAGTAATGTGCAAATATATTGTCTTTAACAGTTAATATTCAAGACTGGGCATTGGTCAAAAAGATTTTTACAAATTTTGGCTGCATTCTTCCTCTGTCTTTGAGCAAGAGGAAAGGAAATAGGGTAACAGGCTCCATGCAGCTCTTGATAGTAACCTCCCCTCTTTAGCCCCTATAGACCTCTCTTCCTTTATCACTGTCCTCTCCTGGCTAAAGTTCTACTCATTTTTCTTGCCCAGTGTCCCCTTCTCTAAACTGCTTCACAACGCTCAGGCAGACAATGCTGAGGCAGACTGATTTATCTTAGGGACTTCTTTCAAAAATCTCAATATTAAGCCCTTCTTTTTAAGTCTGACTATGAAAGTAAACTTCAAAAGACATGCTTTCCCTAACAGTCCTCCACAGCATTACACACAGAGCTGCACTGAGCTCTATACTTGGAATGCAGACTGCTGCCTGGGCTTAGGTGTCTTACTCAAGGAAGACTCCCAACCTGGAGAGGCAATGGGTTCCATTTCTGGTCTGTCATGAAGGGAAATCTACTTAAGAAAAACCATCTGCTACTGCTCTGGTGTCTTTCCAGTGCCATATAAAAATCACATTGTAATCCAGATGGACATAAAGGAATGCATCTTCAGGAGATAGCATGTCTACAGTGGGATAATTTGACCCACTTAGATTGATGTTAGGAGTGGGACCTTTTGCTAATTTAGCCTGTAAAACTGGCCTGAGGACCTGTCCTTAAGTCTCATCTCAAAGCTACAAACTGCCACCTACAGTGATACAGAAACCTCTCATCTGCAATCACTCCAAAGTCTCCGGGCCACACTGACATTGATTTCATTAGCATTAAGGAACAGCTGAACTTTTCAAAACTTTAGGAAGCCAGTGTTGCTACACAGATTTGACTGGCCCTAGAATTAGCGGAAAACTGGTAGGCTAGTTCTTTTCTACTAGTAACATCTCCATACTGACTACTGATACTGTCTACAGAAATGAATTGGAGACCTGGAGTTCATAACACTGCCCCGTCTGGGTTATACAAAGGGACAGTAACAGATGACACTGTTAATATAAAAGTCATTTAATACCAAAAATTTAAGTGCTATATCCCTAGGAACATCCAGTGGGAACATACACTAAAAAAGGACTTCTTAAGGTACCTAATAATAAGTAATTTTTCACCAATAGGCCAACAAAATCAAAAGAACTCACATACCTAGTATTAGAAACAACTTTTTGGGAACTGACAGTATCTATTAACACTTGAACTATATCCTCTGACTCAGCAAGTCTGAGACTATTCTATAGTAACAAAACCCAAAATACTTAAAGATACAGGTATAAGGATATTTATTTACTATAGCACTTTACAGTACTACAAATCCAGAAATGGATATATTACCCATGAAGAAGTATATCAGTGAAAAAACTCCATTCAATGAAGTACTGCATGGCTACGAAAATAAATTTCTATGTACTGACCTGGATACAAGTCCCTGATATGTGGCTACATGAAAACAAATTGTAGATTTTTACATGGTACTGTCACTGTTTTCCAGAAGAATCCGCTATAAATAAATCTGTGAATATGTATCTGTGCATCATTTTGTGAACTTAAAGACTCATAAAGGTTATCTTTATTTTGGTCATCCCATACAAGGAGTCGGAAAACTAATTTTTTCCACCTCTGTATTATTTAACTGAATATAAGCCTGCATTATGTGTATAATACTTAAGTATCTAATAAAATAACATACAAGAAAGCTACAGCTTTTCAATGATCCTTACCTTCTGGAGAAAGATCAGTCATTTTGGTGAAACTTGGGGCAGTGCGTTTGAAGATCTTGGTTCTCTGTCCTCCTACAACCACTTCTGGCCCAAGGAGAGAGACCAACACTGCAAGGCTATGGAGAGTAACTGCCACAATGGAACTGCTGGTGTCACGCAGGCCCAGTAACACCTAGGAGCAAATGACACGATGGATGCAGACAACCACAGTATCTGTCTTTTTCTCCCTCTGGAAACAAACAGTTGGCCTGCACTGCAGTCAAACATACCATCTGCCCACTACTCAGGTGAGGTACATTTCCTCAAGCTATTTCTAGGTCAGTGGTTCTTTACAACCACTGTTTCCCAACCCTCACCTCAATCCATTATGGACTGACGTTTTTGAAAAATACAAGCAAAGCAAAATCAAATACACCAGAAACAAAATACTCCACCCAGTTGCTACCAAGCAGTTTTAAGTGTAAGCTCCACAGCTGCACTTGCCCTCATCGAACTTGTAGAACCATCACAAACAGCTCAGACTGGCAACACTGCAGAGTGCGCTCAGACACACACTCGCCAGAGGTCCAAGCTCCCGGGCCTTGCCCCGTTGCCCAGTCACACTCCCTGTGTGAAAGAATCTGAAAACCTTCCTTCTACACCACGCATGTAACACCTGTCCCAACATGGCCAACTATGATCTCTTGCCTACAGGCTGTAACTCAGAAACTAGTTAGGAGCAGTTTGGTTTAAAGGCTAGTAAACTTGTAAATCATGGGACATCTGACATGCAACTGAAATAGTGACAACTGGTCTTCAGAGAGTAAGAAACAAAGTAGGTGCAAAGAATAGGTAAGGAATGCAGACCACATACATGGCTAGAAGACGCCACCTGGCAGTGAGACCTCATGAACATGTTAAGTGGATGTGAGATACTTGCAGCCAAGAGCTTAACTCAGACAGTTACCTACAGACCTCCGCAGATGTTCTGCACAGATAGCGGGCCATGACATGCAAATGTGTGCACCAACCAGACTCAAGGCCAGCGTAACTCGTCTGTCTAATGGTGTCCAGTTTTCTGGGTTCTGCTATCCCTGCCAATAATTCTCAGGATGAACTTCACCAAGGAATAGTGCTGTTGTTTTTTTTTTTTAAGAGTTTCCTTAAGAGCAAAGGTCTCCAACAGGACTCTTAAGATAAGTTACTGGTTCAATGCTAACAGACCAGGCACTTCTCTAAAACAATGGTGTACTTGACACCAAGGAATGTTTCTTTTGCATATAATTACAATTCTATAGACTAAATATGGCAACCATCAAACAATATACTTGAGTCCCAAGTCCATCATCTTCATGTCTTCATCTAGTCAGGAACAGTCTTACCCCTTCTACCCTGTTTATAAGTCCTACCACAGTGATGGCAACTTTAGGTTACAGTGATACAAACAGCCTGCCGTGGCTTGCTGTAGAGTTACCACGGTTTCCCCACTACCGTATATCCAACTGCCACTGCCACATTTTTAGTTGAACTGGTCTAACAGCTGCCTAGTTGACCCCTTTTCTATCTTCCACGCTGCCACCAAAATAAACTTTCTACTACACTGAAATTGGCCCAGTTATTCCCCTACAGGAAATGGGGACTTTCATTGCCTTGCTTAGTGAATACTCATTCTGTGACTTTGGTCCAATTCTGATACATATGAGACACCTTTATTTTGGAGTCAGAATGCTTAATTCCTCTTCTAAATTTGTAGATATAACTGCTGCAGATCAAAGTCAGCCCTAGTGATCCATACCCTGCCTGTGTGTAAACTCATCCACAATGAATGAAAGGCGATGCACATAAGCAAGAGACCATCACAGAAATGACACTGCCAGTTCCCCACCTACATCTAACAAGGCTGCTTTTGCTAGCCCTAACATAAGAAGTCAACCTACCTTCCCAAAAATGTCATATGGAGGTTATGTCAGGGAACAGAAGACCTGAGACCCCTGGATGTTGTTCATGGAGAGAGTGTGCCAGCTAAGGCTATCTTTCAGATGTTCCCTCAAAGAGCTGAAGACACATTTTGGGTGTCAGCTCTGGTCAGGCTCCCAAAGACTGAAGCCTGGCTTGATGCCATCTGGAGCATCAGAACTCCAAGCTGAGCCCAGTCAATCTAAAGACACAGGACAGTTATTGTTTTTAGCCACTGTTTGGGAGATACACCAATAGGCGACTAGAACATCCTCAATTACTAGTTCCTTGAACCCAGCGTAGTGTAAACTACTCTCACAGGGAAATGACTTTATTGTCATGAAGCCAGTGGTACAGCACTTGCCTCACCTGTGCAAGGACCCAGTGCAGAAGGAAGAAAGGAAGAAGAAAGGGAAAGGAAAAAAGAAAGAAAAGGGGCCCGGGGGGGGGGGGAGGAAGGAAAGGGAAAGGAAGGAGGCAAACAAGCAAGCTACTTCCTAAAGGTCTTTTAAAAAGAAATGCTTGTACTAGTTGAATAGTGTCTCTTCCAGATTCACATTTATGCTGAGTGATCTGTACAGGAGGTTAAAATGCATTAGGGTTGGCCATAAATTCAGTGACTTGTGGCCTTTGAAGAAGGCCAAGGGAAGGAAGCCAAGAGACAACAGGCAGAGATCAGAATGGCACAGTAGCAGGCCGGCATGCCAGCTATCTTAAGAAGCTCCAGAAGCTTGCAAGAGTCAAAGAGGGATTCTACCCTAGAACCTTCACGAGAAGCCTGGTCCTGCCAACACCTTGGTTCCAAGACTTTGGTCCTCCAGGACTGAGAAGACAATTTCTGTGGTTTGTGATGGCTTGTTACTATGGCCATAAAAATCCTGGAGTCCTTAGGTCAGCCACTATAAGGTTCCTTGGTGGCTGATGAGCCACTGATACAAGCAATCTCATGTTCCTCTCAATTCTCTTTATAACTTATTTAATGATAACCATAGTTTATGCTTATAAAACATTCCACAAATGTTTATTTTTTCCATAAAGAATAAGCAAACGATTACAGTTTTTTCCAGAGCAAGATCATATATGTTAGTTTAACTGATCTGTGCAAACAAATAGAATGGAAATGCAATTTTAACTTCAGCCTTAGTATGCCAATGAGTTTTTACACCAAACTGTTGCCTGGGGGCTAAGCTACTCTCTGAACATCCCAAACCCCTTTTCTTCCTTTTAGCCTCCACACCTGCAGCATCTTCTGCCCCTTGCTCGGCCTGTCTTGGCAAGGCTCTTTGTGACCCTACCCCCAACTCGTCTCTCACCTGGGGCAAGATGACTTTTTTCAGCTGCTCGTGAGTAAAGTGCTCCACGTAGGCCTCGATATGAGACAGGAGCACCATCCGTACATGCTCCTCGTGAACCTCAAACAACTGGAGGAGAACGGGGATCACTCGGGACTGAAACAAGGCTGGCGAGAGCAAGCAAGGGGTTTCTCCTTGCTCTTTGTCTGCTCCAGAATTGGAAAGGGTTACAGATGAAAAAATTTCAGTGAAAACAGTACTGAACATGATTCATTAACTAAGCTCAGAACCTGACACATATCCTAATAGCTCTTCTAAATGCTTAAACTCTAAGCCACAGGAAGTTATTCTGTTGACCCGGAATTATTGAAGGCCTCATTGCTTTAACTACACTCTACCTTGTAGAAATGTTTTAGATACAGAGATCGTACTTAATGTACTACAAAGAAAGCTTGTATTCTAACAGGATTACAAGTAACTTGATACATTTGTTAGTAAGTGAGGAATTTCTTCTACTACAACAGATTAGTCATATACTAATATTCTTACTCATTTTATTCTGAAAATCAGACCATAACTTCCATGCTACAACAAGACTTTGATGCTGAGTAGTCAGTCCTCTCTAGCAGTTAGGGTTTGGGGGCTTTTAAAACTATATGTGCTTGGTAATTCACGGACTGGGAACAGCCAGACCCCAGCCCCTTCCCTTACATGGCCTGGCAAACAAGTAAGTACCAATCCCCCACCTCTTTGCTGTAAGTGACCAGCTTATCTGGAGAAACACAGGCTGTGACGATAGCTATGGAGGTGAAATGCAATTGGATGCCTGTGGTGCTTTGGTGTCTCACACTGCAGGTCTAGGGCCAGCGGTCTGACCATAGGTTCAGAGCATAGTGGTATGCAGTGTGACATCTAGGGGAATCTCCTGAGGGCTGCAGCAGCCATTGCTGATTCCCTATGGTCTTGTTTTGAAGTCCTATATCATTTCCATTGTTTGTTGGGTTTTATTCTCTTTTGATTATGTTAAATCCGATGGCAGGAGTAGCTATTTCAAAGGTAGCAAAAATATATTATGGTGGTAATTCTGGATTTACTACAGGCTTGCTTTGAAGTCCTTCATTCCATTCACTGTTTTGTTTTTATGGTTTTTATTCTATTCCGTTCTGTTTGATTTTCACTATATCTGAAGTTATCTACAGCATCTGAAGTTTTGAAGACAGCAAAAGGCATTATAGTAGTTATTATTGATTTCATAATGTTTTGAAATCCTGTATCTTTTAAACTGGTTTGTTTTAATTGGTTTTATCATCTTTCAAAAAGATATATATGCATGTCTGTGTGCCAGACCAACAAATAAGGAAAACAGGTCAACCTTTAAAAACAAACAACAACAATAACAATAACAAAACACAAGGTGAATGAGAGGTTCATCCTATCCGAGACCCATTGATCAATAGGTTGGAAATATTAAAAAAAAAAAAAAAATCAGGCTGCGGACTATGACACTGAACCAAATATAATGTAATTCTAATCTGTAAAACAAGTACCCATAAATAACACTGGCTCCTTGGAGTGAGATCTTTTAAGAAAACTAATGCTAAGAGCAGAATCCCAGCTAACTCAGTGTTCTACTATTAATGCTGTAGTCTTTAATTTGATGTTACCATCTATAATGTTACAAAGCTTCCAGTTTCCTCTAAAATCTGAAAAAAGATCTAAAGTTCTAAAAAGTGAAATCAACTCGGTGTTTTTCAGTCTTTTTGCTGAAAGTGGAAAATGAAAGGGTTGGTTTTCGGAGGCCAGGAGGCACAGGCCTAAACGATTCACAGCAAATGCAGAGTTCTTTGAAGATGTCTGCCTCGCCTTCAAACTTCATGTGTTTCATGTCTAGTGACATGTGACATGTATATGTATATGATAGGTTTTAGGATAAAAGCCTGACACTCTAGGAAGATGCTCCACCTTTACACTGGATTTCATACCCAGGTTTGAATTCATGATATGTATTAGGGGCAAATAACTGTTGTTTGCTCTTAGAGCCAAATTTTAACCAATATACAGTAATCTTACCCTGCTCAAAGATGACTAATAACTGCCAAACTTTAGTCACCAGTAATATTTTGAAAGAGATTCACCTTTTTTGGAGCCAAGCAGATGAGGAAGAAAACTTTTAACAGCTACTGGCTCTGCAAACACCAACTGATTAAGCAGAAGCGGCACCAACCTCGAAGCTATTAGCTCCTCTGATAAGCAGCTGACTCTGTCCAGCAGAAATCTGAGGACAAAAAGGAAAGCCTGGGAAACAGATCGCAGCACTTTCAATTTTCTTACACAGCTCAGCCCTGTAGAGCCTCTACCCAACTTCTGCAAAGCGGCACATTTTGAAATGTATGAAGGAAAAGTGAGGTGAACAGATCAGTCCCCGGGTGCTCCAGGAAAATGCAGAGAATGTGGGACAGGGTTGGCTTGTCACTCTGCACCAAGCCAGGATGCGTTCTCCACAAATGATCTCTCATCAGTAGTGAAGGGTAACTTCTGTACCCCCTACTTAGCAAGAGGCTCTCTAGATAAAAGGTACTTTCTCAACTGTGAAAGATGTAAGGTAAATTTCTAAAGTTTTCATACTAAAAATTATAAGTATTTTTGGTGCCGGGGAATGAATCTCACATCTGCTAGAAACACAGGATTTTCCCCAGCCCCATTCCATCTAAACATCACACATCAAGAAGCACTCTGTTGAGAAATACAGATGCCAGGTATTGACAGTAATAATACTCTAATCAGCCTCTGCAGTTGATTCTGACTCCTACTTATTGAGGAACAGGTCACATTGTACACTATCACCTTCAGAGCCCTATGTCACTATCAAAAAAAAAGAGGCCAACATCCAAAGTTACTGCTACTCCTTCCCAGTTCCAAGGATGCGGGGCCCACTATTCCTCAAGGACACCCCACCTTGCCATGCCCTAAGCTTTCCCTTCTCCAGGACCAAGCACTGACCAAGCAAGAAGCATGACCACAGCTCCCTGTGCTCCTTCCACTCTTCCATGAGCACCTTTCCCCCAGTCTCACCCATGCTTAAAAATGCCTTCCTTGGCTCCATTTGTTCTTCAGGAGTATGGGCTCTCCTCCCCATTTTCCAGGAGGTTTTGTGCAGTGTCTACCCACTGTTGATGCTGTGTGGGCTCCTATCTACTGCCTGGCTTAAGTCTGCCCTTCTGGGAACAGCAGGGAAATCCCTCTACAAGGGGACCAAACCACCTCAGCCTGCTGCCACCCCTCTGATGGCTCAGAAGTCCACTTTGTACAAACACTATCAATATTCCTCATTGCCACATCCAGGAGCCACCTCTCCTCTGTCTTTGTCCTGGACTTGTCTTCCAGCAGGGCGCCCTGTGCTGCTCTGTACAGGTCCCCCAGCTCTGGCCTCTGTGCATTTGCTCTGGGACTGGAACAGCTTTCCTCTAATCACTGTCTCCCCGGCCTGGGTTCTCAGGACCCTCTGAGCGCTCGTCACTATCCACCCTGTTTATGAGTCTCAGGCTGGGTACTGCTCTCACCACCCAGGACTGTCCATTTCAGGGCTTCCTAGACAGCCCAACTGCAGGAAACGTTCAGTAACTTGAAAACAGCCTGCCTCATCTTTGAGATTACCTGACGTGATTACAGAGACTTCATCCAAGTTACTGAATTCAGGGCCTTAATTTTCTGAACTTACTTGAAGAATTCAGTTTTTTCCTCTTCAGTCTTCAGTGTTAAGCTTTTCAAGAAATTCACAATTTCTAGAAAATCATTTCTAAATAACAAAAAGGAAAAAATATATAGGACAACAGATTAAGGAAAGCACATTAAATGCTAAAGCCATTACCATGATTAAACCCATTATAATTTTCAACAAATAAACATTCTCAGCCAGTCATGTTGGCAAACAACTGTAATCCCAGCTATCTGGGAGGGAGAGGCAGGAGGATCTCAAGTTCAAGTTCAGCCTAGATGATTTAGTGAGACCCTTTTTTTAAATAGGCTGGAAGGTACTCAGTGTGAAGATCATGGGTTCAAGCCACAACCAAAAGATACTTGGGGCGGTGTTGGGGGACACTATCACAGACTGAACCACGGGTCTTTTTACTGACCTGCATCCCCAGCCCATTTTCATTTTACTTTTCATTTTGAGATGAGGTCTTGCCAAGTTGCCCAGACTTGGGCTAAACTTACAATCCTCCCTTCCCAAGAATCAGGGATTACAGGTATGTGCCACCATCCAGTTCCATTTAAAAGGTTCTAAGTAGCATGAGACAAATAATATATGGAACAAGCCTATGCGAATCTAATATTGCAACCTCAAAGAAATCTGTGAAGAGGATTCAAACTTATATACATGCTAACATGCATTGAGGTTTTAACAGTCACCATAACCCTCCAAAGCTCTGGTTGTGATGGAATGCTGTCAAAGAAAATATCCTGGGAGAAATGACACCATCACTACAAAACTAGCTGTTGATTTACCAAGACTACCTTGGTGGATAAACACCATGAAAGAGGACTGGGCAAAGTGAAACTCCTGTATAAATCACAGAAATCTTGTTTCTCTTGCCATAAGTTTTCATTCTTGGGGTCAGAGAAGGTCACTTTCCTCCAGGGCTCCCAGAGTTCCATAAGCAGTGGACTACTTGGCTCCCAGGAAACATGGCCACACTAGTCCTACCACACAGGACCATCGCCCCGGAGGCTCTGACATACAGCGGACAGCTGACCCAGCAAGCACAGCCACCACTGCTTTGCTGTACCTTGTGTGCACAGCTGTGGCGGACACTAACAACCCCCACGGAAGTGAAAACCCACATAGGACTTCTAACTTACCACAACTTAACTACTAATAGCCTTACTAACAAAATAACATAGCCAACCAACACATATTTTATGTTACATGTATTATAGTCGGTGAGAATCATATGAGAGTTTCAAGATCACTGTGTCCTGTGGTTGGCAATTTCTGAGGGAGATGAGCTGCCTCAAATGGATTTTTTTCTTTTTCTTTTTGAGACAGGGTCTTACTATGTAATTCAGGCTGGCCTTGAAATCACTGTGGTGCCCAGACTGCCCTCCTGGTTGTCCTCTTCCCTCAGCCTCCTAAATGCTGTGATTATGGTGTGCACCAGCATGCCTAGCTCAAGTTTTAAGCTGATACAACATTTTAGCTCCTTGCCAAAGGAGGTAGCTATGAAATTACTGCAGTGTCCTACTTATGACTTAATACTGCATTTTTACATCCATCTACATTTTTACATCGTCAAGTACAAACCATACTGTGTATAGTTTATGCATAAGTTTTAATAATTTCAACTTCTTATGTCTGTGTCTATTTTATGGTTATAAATGAAGAACTACTACCTAAGTATATCTTACTCATTCTTGATACTTCTCTTAATTTGACATTTCTACATTACAAAGTTCAAGTTCTCAAATTGTCAAAAATCTCCAAAACAAAAACTAAAAAAGTACACAAGTTTACTTTTAGTAGCTGAAACCCACTGTTCAAAGACAGGCTGTATTTTCCCTGGCTCTGCAGCATGGGAAACACACAAACGTGTTTAATCAGACCAGCTCAGCAGCTCTGCAAGGACAGATCTGGCTCTTTCCTCCAGCCCTGGCTGGTTCTCTCCTCACATGCAACGTAGACTGTGGGGCAGGCTGGTATTTTTAACTGTATTCCCCTTTCTCGTATACACTTCTTAACAAAGAACTCATATTACAGTGATGAGAAAATCTATTTACTATGAAAGATTATTCTTTGCAGAGACTTAATATGAATGAAAATAAAATATTCCCCAAAATCACCTAAAAGGACATGGAGATAGTGAGTTTAAAAGACTTGTAAATATATACAATTTACTGTATATTTGTCAGTTTAAAAAAATTAGTTGAAAAAACAAAAATCACACAATGGGAAAAGTTTTAAACCACTTCTTTGAACCATAATGACAGCTATACCCACAGTAACTACAGTTCAGTGATGGAGCTCCGCCTCCCTGGTGTGGTATAAGAGTGCTAATTTAATAATTCTGCACACCCACCAAGCACTATTCCAGAGGTGAATTCCCCTTCTGGGGTGGGAAGTTTCCTAGTGCTCCCCCAAACACAAAGATGCTTAGTTCCAAAACTAGCATAGTCAGCCTCGCTAATAAACGTCGTGGACAGGGAAATAACCTGTGAGGAAGTTCTGCCATCACGGGGGACACATAATTCAAGAAGATGTTCAGAAGCGTTTCTGAACCCAGCAAGGTACTAGGTTATGCTGTACTCTTCCCTTTTAAGCCAACCTTCTCTTCTTCCATCTCACATTTCCTTTTTTTACTACACAAATGTAAGATTTTATTTTTGTGATCCCTGGGAACTCACAGTCAGAAACCTGTCTGTTGAAGGATTACCTGGTATTGTGAGCAAAGCTGTATAAGGTGTGGACCTAGCTTTACTGATTATGCCTCAGCTATGTCATGAAGACATTTGTAGGAAAATGGAGAAATAACCTTCATTTCTCCTAGATCAGTAAGTGACTTTTGAGGTACAGTTAACAATTTTGTGTTTTGTGTGTGTTCTTTGTTCAAATCTTTTCTGTCTGAAAAAATAACCTGTTGAATTGAAAAATCCTGGGGATATTACACTTCTCCCCTAGATGAGGGTTTAATGAGACCAGACACCCTACATCAAATCACAGCCACTTCAGACACTCTTCACAAGGCAGCAGGGAAAGGCAGTTCCCAGGAGCTCAACAAAAGCAATGCCCAGAGCTGCTGCAGCCACCAACAGCACAGGTTTTCTTTTTCCTATTTGTATTTCTTTATCAGTGCATCTGCAGTACACAGTGCTTATGCTCCTGTGGCGAGTTGGTCCATGTACATAACACCTCAATTCTTTTATCATCCCCTTCCTTGCCTTTCTTCCCCCATCCCTCCATCTCGTATCTCCTTCCCTTTTGTGGAAAAAAGTATTCCCTATTATCTATCTTTTATTTGGCCAAGTTTCTCATATAAGAGAAACCGTGTAATATTTAAGCTTGTGTGTTTATTTCACACGTTAGGGTCTGCAGGGGCATCATTTTCTTGCAAATGACTCAAGCTTATCCTTCTTTATGACAGAGCAGAACTCGTGTCGCTACATATTTATAAGCAAAGAGAATCTTCTGCCTGAAGAAAACTAAACTTGCTGCTCCTTCTGTAAGAAAAATTCAAGATAACAAATTCTTATCAATAATACTGTGGCAGCAGAAAAGAGAGGCCACGTTTATCAACATTTTCAATTAACTTTCAACTGTGAACCTCTGGATTCGGGAATCTAAGGAATCGGGATGGAATTTCTAAACCTAAGGTCTCACCCAATCAAGAATGCTTATCAGCTCTTTTCTGGGCGAGAAACTGGAAAGCAGCGCAGTCTCTGCCTTTATATTCTGCTCAAATACCTATGAGGGCTGTGCCGCCGTGCCCCCTGCCCACCATCACAAAATGTATCAGAGAGGTGCACGGAGGCAGCTGAAGTGCACAGCGCGCGCTCTCACCTGAAGAAGTCATGGGACAGTAAGGTGCGGAGCGCGGGCCGGCAGTGTGGGATGGGATTCAGCAGGGCTGTGTGCAAGGTCTGCTGAAAGCTGGAGAGAACATCCGCTGAAACTGAAATCCAGAGCGACAGTTAGTTTCCAAGGGCTTCTCCCTCCTTTCAGGACCTCTCTAGCTGGAGACTGACGAGAGCAAAAAGCAACCTGTAAAAACCCAAACACACAAAGCCCTGGCTGTTGCGAAACAGCTTCTTGTTTGCTTTAAGTCAACTTCCTTGGCAGGTGTGGAAAGAGGTCCTGCCAATGCCACCCCTGCCCAGATGCCTCTTCCTCCATGAAGCCAGCGCAGGCTCGAGGTGGCTTAGATGGTAAGCAGGGGGCCTTTCCCAACCAGGGCTCGGCATCATGAACACAGGGAGATACTCGATGGCATCTTCAATTCTTCTCAAGGTGGTAGGTACTTGCCATCATCCACTAAATACGGGGAATGCCGCAAGACCTTAGCATTTAGTTCTCACGTATTCAGGCTGGGCCAACTGAGAGCTAATAAGCACAGCCCTCTGGACATCACAGCCCTAGGTGAGCCTGGCAGAAGCACTGCACAAAGCTGCAAGGTGAGACAGGCCATAAATGGGCTCATGGGACACGTGCCTTAGGAAACCTAAGAGGTGGAGAAGTAAAGGGCCAGAGTCACAGCCTGCGCAGGAAACAGAAAAACAAAAACAAAAACAAAAAAAAAAACCAGTAGAACATAATATCATTAAGTGGCCAGTGCTTTAAGAGCCAGTGAAAGGAAAAAGTACTGAGTAAATTATACCAAGAAACAAAAGTCCAAAAGATTTTTAAAACTTTGATTTAGAAATTAACAAAAAATTTAATTTGTGTCTTATTACATCTTACTCATTAATGATATTTTAAAACCTATTGGCTGGCTTGATAGGTTTACAGTCTTCAGACTCTTTAACAATAGAGAAAAATCTTCAGATCACAAATGCTATCACCAATTAGCACCACCATCAGCTGGCAGTGGTAGGGCACTCCTGTACTCCCAGCACTCTAGGAGGCTGAGGCTAGAGGAGCATGAGTACCAGCTCAGCTTAGGAAACTGAGCAACTTATATAGAGACTGCCTCAAAATTAAAAAAAAAAAAAACTTTTAAGAAAGACCAGGGGACTGGGCACATAGCTGGGTGTGAAAGCCCTGGATTCAATCTCCAGTACAGGGCAGAAAAGCGGGGAAGACATGACATATATGATAGTGACAGCCACAGTTCAAAGTGTTCCCAACTTCAATTCAAACTAACAGAATCCAAAGCTTCCTTCCTTACTGCGGTTAACATCTGCCCTAAACAAGTTATGGAGTCAGCGGTAGGTCCTTACTATGATCAAAGACTGTGGTCCTTTCAATTCCACACAGAAGAGACACTGATAAATTTCTCGCTTAGTCTGAGGATGCATGAGTGTAATTGCAACTCACCCTGTTCATTTAGGATCGTGAGCAAGCTTTCCACCAATGCCCCAAATGCATAGGCATCCCGAGCATGTCCATGAGACTCTGGAAGAGTTGTGAATTCTGGAGACTAAAAGAGTAATTCTATTAGAACTACAGACCTGCCTTCCACCCTATCCTGACCTTCTTTGAAGAACTTTCTTCTGTGTTTACATTTATTATACCCATATCTAACTTCATAGTATCACACACTCATTTATAAGCTTTAAAAACTGTCAGCATACTATACCACACAAATAGCAGGTCAGAAAAATAAAAAATAAAAACCAACTATTAGTAGGTGGAATTCCTCAAAGATTTTAAAACATCGAACAGGAACAAAAGGAAAGTCAATATAATACATGCTTGTGGCTTTAAAGTACATTTTTGTATTTCCCTTATATAAATTTATCATGTATAAATTTTGTATAGATCCAGTACACACTCATATGTCTCAATACGCCAATAATAAAAACCAAGGTTTCATAAAATAATACTCTTATGTAAGATGCCCAATAATATTTTCTCTTTTATTCCATTTTTCAAGTTTTTCAAAATGCTAGTCAGGACATCCTTCTAAGGTGTCTTAAAGCTCAAAAACTATGAGTTCGAAAAACATGGGAATACATAGTTTGTATCTGACTTACTTCAAGCCTTTGTTAGGGAACTGGGTTGATAAATGAGTTTGTATTTCTTGTAGAGTACACCATCTAGTAATGCATCTTTAGAAACTAATGTTCATTTACAGTGACTGTAAGAACAAGCCTAATGGGGCATCTGCTCTTGAGATTATGGGTAAATACAGTATTACCAGCACCATAACAAAAAACACTCTTCCATGCATTATGGAACCCTAATAACCAGGGAGGCAAAAGGTAGGTGGGGTGATGCACAGGAAAGGACTAGAGATGCCACTTCTCCAGTAGCCATGGCTTCCAGCAAAGCACAAAGATGTAACCTGCATAGGACATAATATTCCATTCCCACTGGCTTCACATTGCTATACAACACCACAGGTACCATACAAACAAAAATGTAAACAGGTTCCACGGCTCTGGAAATAGTATTAACCTCAGAAGTATTCAAAGCCAAAAGAATTATGAGGCAGCTCTATAATTTAGTAGAGAAAAGAATGGACAGAGGGAAAGGTTTGTAAGTTTCACACTAACTGTACAACGGTGCCTTCATTACATCTAAGGCATCTTACCATCTCTTCGGGAGGGACAGATGCTGAGTCTCGAACTGATTGAATGTTCTTCAGAAACTGGACAAAAAAATTAAGAAACACAGTTTACACATATTTGGTGAACCAATCTTTTATACTAAGTACAAAATCAGTAAACATGGGGCTGGGGATTTAGCTCAGCGGCATAAGCACTGCCTTGCAAGCAGGTGGTCGTGAGTTCGATCCCCGGTACTGATAAAAATGAAAAAAGACAAAAAAAAAAAAAAAAAAAAAAAAAAAAAAATCAGTAAACAATGGAAACAGCAGCAGTGAAACCTTGAAATCAATGTCGAACTTTAAACACACACATTCTAAATCTTCCTAATTAAAAACATAAATATAGACTTGGCACAGCTCAAGGCTTAGAAAAATAAGTGTTAGTTTCCTGTCCTCTCCTTTTTAACTGGTTTAACAGACATCCCCTGCTGTTAGAGAACCCTTTCTGTTTTTGACAGATATTAACAATTAAAATGCTTTTTGGCTGGGTGTGGTTCCTACTACTTGGGATACTGAAGGAGGAGGATCATTCAGCTCCGAGTTGGAAAATAGCCTGAGCAACATAGTAAAACTCCATAGCCAAAAAGACCTTTTCGGTAGCTTGTGCCTAGATGCGCCCCAAAGGCTCATACGTAACAGGTGGAACTTTAAGGAGTGGCTGGATCTAGAGAGTGTGAGTGCTGTCCACCTCTGGACAGCATACAAGGGGCAGAGAGAGGGCTGCTCTTGCTGCTGCTTGTCACCTGCTGCTTCTGTTTCTTCTGCCTGCCATGAATTATTTTTCCTCTGCCATGCCATCCTGCTTTGGAGCCAGCCAATCATGGGCTGAAATCTCTACAAACTCAGAAGTCAAATAAACCTCTCCTCCTTTAACTTTGGGTGTCAGATGTTTTATCTTAGCAACAAGGAAAGTAGCTAAGACAGAACCGCACAAGTCTATCATTCATCTCACTAAACCAAGTGAATCCTGCCTTGCTGCCACACGGACATAAAATTTGAGAACATTACAAGCTATGGAGACAAAATCACCACCTACAGAGTAAGCAAATTTATTCACCACTATGCAAAAAAATGATCTTTGAAGAGGTTCTATGCTCAAAACACTCTTTAGGGCACTAGAAATGAAATGAAATAAAATGAAATGAAATGAAATGGATTCCCTGCTCTCCCAACCTGGTGCTCATTAACTGAGAAGACAAACTAAAATTTCAATAAACACACAGATTATCCTGTAATGAACGATTAATTCCACTGGATGACAGGATTCACAGAACAAAGACAACAATTAGACCTTGGAAAAGTTTATATTTGCCAGGGGAAGAAAAGCAGTCCAGCAATGGAACAGCATACAAAAAAGAGGAGATGAGGGAGAGCTGCACACCTTGAAAAACCAGGTGAGCTGATAAAGAGAAAGGAGCTGGAGTCCAGCTTCAGAACGGGGTGTGGTGGATGGAGCAGAAGGCAGGCTGAAAAGAGACTGGGAGAGATTTTATGTGCCACAGCTAAGCACTTGTTTCCTTGGCATGCCACCCACAGAAAAGACTACACACTATTATACTAATCAGACATACTAGGGCGAGTTCAGAGTGGTGAGTGGGCCGCAGTAACCGAGGAGTATGCAGGATTTGAAAGGAGGAGGAGCCCATGCAAGTGCCATCTGACAAGGAAGCCAAATGGGAGGGACTGCGTGACAACAGGAACTAAGGGCTACTGCTCCCACAGAGACGTTAGCATGGGAGTGGTTTTTAATGTTCTCTTTTCCTAGAAAGAGTAAGTCCAGGAGCAATATATAAAGTGGGGAAAAAAGCAAACAAACAAAAACCCAGAAAAGAAAGGCTCATTTGACTAGGAAGAACATGTAAGAATATATCAGAGAAAGTATAGGAGTACCTCAGGTAGCTACACCATAGCACAGTAGGAGGACCAAATATACACGGTTCCTAATTCCAGTGACTAGGACAGAAATACATGACTCTGGCAACTTGCACAACTGTTTGATGAACATCTCTTAAATATCTAATGTCAGCAAATTACTATTCCAAGTGGAGCTAAAGATGAACATAAGAGTCTATCACACTCTGAAGAAATTCAACTGCTAGAATAAAGGAGACACACAAAGGGAATTTCAATATGAAGTATTAAGTGGTCTAATCAAAGCAAGTATGGGGTACTACAGGGAGGACAGAGGTGGGCTGTTGGAGTCCAGGCTGTGTAGGGTTAAGCTGCTGAACACAGGGGATTCTTGCTGTGTTGGAAAAGAGCATATGTTAATGCTCTGAGGTCAGGAAGACACCACAGCTAGGGCGGCCAAGGACAGAGGCTGCTGACACTTCATACTCCAGAGCAATAAAGCTGCCGACCTCAGAGATCTTAATTCTCTTAATTGGCAATGTTTATTGCTTAGAGAAGTCTCTGAACTAATTCCCAAGGTCCTGCCTAGTTCCCATGCTTACTTCAGTACCCCCTTTCTTTGTCTGAAAACAAATATGGGCTATCCAGGAGGGAGGAAGAGAGAGAGAGAAAGAGGGAAGGAGGAGGGAGGTCTGAAGGAGGGTAGAAGAAAGAGTGGAGAGAAAAGGAGAGAGGGAGAGAGGGAAAGAACGAGAGAGGGAGAGAGGGAAGAAGGGAGAAAGGGAAGGGGAAAGGGAAAGGGAAGGAGAGGAAGTGAAAGTTCTGACCTTTCTGGAGGCTCCAAAATCATACTGGTTTCCTTTAGGTAAGCTGTTCGCCATCCCTCATTTAGGAGACTGGGCCTAGGCCAAGACCCTGATAGTGGAGCACTGAATTACAGAGCTAGAACAGACCACTCACCTCTCTCAGTCTAAAGTCCCTCACCTACAAATAAGGAAGGAATACAGGCCTGCTAAGGCTTCTTTGCAAAACACAATCTTACAGTTGTATGAACACGGCATTGACAGAAAGATTAAGTTTCCAAATCTAAGGTCACGCTAACAATAAAGAGAAGCGTTAGGGAAGAACTACGTATCAAGATGCCAGCAATCCTCAAGGAGGAAGAGGCTTAGCACTGGCTTACCTCTGGCGTGGCCTGAGACACTTTACAAACAGTCTCCATTCCTCCTAGCTTCCAGTGCCCATCTTCACTCACAAACACAGATGATAAGCAGACATTGTTGTGTGTGAGGTGTCCCTGAAAAAAAAGAAGAAGAAGAAGAGGAAGAGGAGGACTGCTACTCCAATTTTTGAAGCTCAAGTTTAAAAAACTACCAATCTCCAAAAACTATTATGGCAAGCCGTCCCACTTTTGGCATAATAAATAGAACAAAGTTCTAAGGAACAATTAAAGTTAGAAAATAGGAAAAATACAATAGAAATGCATCTATTATCTCCATAGCCTGGTGGGGCAGCTTAGTGAAGACATTAAGGGCATTTACAATCTTCCACTTGGCTTTTCTATGGGAATCAGGAGGCCAATGTGCCCTTCAATGTAAACTTACCAGTGTTCACTCTGTACAAAGACAGCCTATAATATCTACTTCTATTTTACAGATAAAATTTATCTTTGGTGCCATAGGTCATTTTGTTCATTTTCTGTTCTAAATTCTTTCTCGCCTACATTCTATCACAAACTCAGATTCACTCTACCTAAATCTTGACTGCAGGCATTAAAATGATTCTACCTGAAGAGGAGGAAAATAGAATGGTAAGGACTACCAGGAATAATCCACAGATCACAGAACAGTCAGTGCTAAAACTATTAACCTTACAGTCAAGGAAAAAAAGGGGGAAAATAAGAATGGGTCAAACATTTGTTTTACAAACCAAAAACCATCCCAGTACATGAAAGAACACTTTAAACATCCTACCCAAGGGGCTGAGGATTCAGCTCCAGCACAAACACCTGCCTTACAAGCATACAGTCGTGAATCAATCCCCGGTACCAAAAAACGAACAAAAATTCTACCCACAAGATCAAATGCGTGCACTTTAAAAATACAGAGCACTGATACATCTGTATCTATATATCTGAAGCGTGTGTGAGTGTGTGTATCTCACTTAGGAGAGTCTATATGGTATGTTTCCATTTGAGGAAAAATAAAAAGAACAAGCATACAGATCTTTGCTTTACATGCACGTGATCTAGGCCTAGAATAACATGCTGCCCATCATAGTTGCCCCTGAAGAGGAGCGCTAGATCCAAGGGTGGATCTGAGCAAGAGGGCCTGAGTTTTTCCTTCTGTGCGCTTGCACAGTGCTCAGACATTTGACCATGTGCATGGACTTTCAGCAAAGATATTCTTCCCCAGGGAGCAGTAATAATTTTTGTTGTTATGTAAACTTGGAAACAACAGCATTAAGACACAGCAGCACAACAGCATTGTCAAGAGACAGGGAGTAAACACAGAGCCATCGCGTTATAAAAACAGCAAACAGTGCCCAGAGCAAACGACCTCCTAACTACTGGTGAGTGGTCAGGGCTATCTCACGACTGCTCCACCACTCCGGGGAAGGAGGAGCATAAACTCTTCTTCTTCCTAAGACACAGGCATTTCTTTCTTCAAACTCTCAAATGAGACAAGCACTGGGAAAACAGGAATTCTGGCCTACAGTAAGTAACACTAATACTGAAGCTTTGTTTTAACAAATATTAGCTGTAACTGGTATTAGGTAAACATTTACCCAAAAGCAGAGGCAGACTTTGGTAAACTAAAATAAGATTGGAACCAAAGAAGTAGTTACCCCTTCCACAAACTGTGTGTCACATCTCCTGTCCCTTCCATACCATTCTTTCCAAGCACCGACACACCTATCGCCCCTGTTCTACATCGAATCCCCTGAGTCAGCTGCACGGGTTACTCACTCTGTCGTGAAGGAAGACCAGAGCCAGCAGTATGTCATAAATGCCCGCACAGACCTCTGCGGCAGACAACGTTTCCAAGGCCACTTCCAGGGGCTGCACTCGCTCAGTGACGAGGTGAATGCCATCTGGTTCCACGGTACAAGACAAAAATCTTAGCAAGCAAGGGTGACGCAGGGTCTTCAAGTGCTTTAAATATAAACAGAAGAGCTGATGAATTATCATTTCACATACATTGCGTTTCAAGACACAAACTGTGTATTTGCATTCAAAGTTCTCTCAAGCTTCCTGCCTTTCCCTGTATTTCCAAAAAGGAAAGAAAGGTCTACAGCTTGTTCAGATTTTATTCCATATACCAACATCTAAATAACTCTACAAAGATTCCCAGTTCCCCTGTGAGCCCAGATGTCCCAATGATGGCTGCTGTGAATTCTGGACAAAATGACAGAACCACCATCAAAGAACTTTGAAAAGTAACCTGTTACACACAAGGTTTATGGAGAGGAGTCAAATTTACAGAAGTGACCAGCATAGCAACGAGCTTCCTGGTCTGGGGATTGAATTTTTCTCCTCTTACAACTCTGCTCTGAAGGCATGGATCAGCAGAGGAGCAGGGTGACATGCAGGTACCGTCACAGGAAAGGGGAGGGAATAAGGGTCAAGTGGAAATAGTTCTTGATTCAAATTTCTGCTGCTTCACAGAACAGGGGAGCAACAAGATGCACTTAGTAGGGGTAACTACCAGAATACGTTCTAATAAACTCTGATGAACAAATACATGGCTCTTGCACTGGTGCACCAGAGGCAAAAGTATGCGTCCCAAAGTTACTGAGTTCCTACTGCACCCTACTCACTCCATGGGGTGCTGGTCTCTGCAGTAGAATTTTGAGTAAGAACTTCTCCTAATAAATATGAATAATACCATGTACAGTATTACTATTATTTGTACTTGTTTATGGCCGAATCTATGCAGAGATCCTAAGAGTGAAATTCTAGCCCTAAATATAAGCAATATTTATTTTCCAGGAATTGGTTATGACTTGATTATCTAAAATTTTAAATCAAGGCTTAGTGCCTTAACTTTCCATTGCTGTTCTGCTTCTAAATTACTTTATTCTGATATCTACATAGAGTTAATTGACGTAGTGTTCTTATCTGTAAATCTACCTGCAAGCTCCTAGGGAGAAGGCTACAATTTCATGTTGTTAAATAAACATAAAAAAAAACCCCAAGATGTCTCTTGTACAGAGCAATTTTTAATGAAAAATACATTATCCTTCCAAAGATGCAGATACATTCTATTTTTAATATCTTGTTCTAAAAGTTGGATTAAAATGTAGGGTCAAAGCCAGGCATGGTACCTGGTCATCCCAGGACTCTGAGGCAGGGGAGAGCAAATTACAGTCTCCCCTTGAGCAGTTCAGCAAATCAGTGAGACCAGGTCTCAAAATAAAAAAATAAAAAGGGCTGGGGATGTAGTTCTGGGTAAAGTCTCTAGGTTCAATCCCTGGTAATGGAAGAAAAAAACCAAACTCTAGAAAATACAAATATAACCCTAGAAAATATAAAATGCAGGAAGAGATAAAAAGAATTTCATTTTGAAAGCTTGCATTTGAATACTGGTGGATCATCCTGGTGCAGATATCCGACACACAGGTGGAAATGTGGACATAGGTTCAGATAAGAGAGATTCTGGCAGAAACTTCTTTTGGGTTCCAAGGCTGGGCAACTGTAAGTACTGAAGAAAAAGTCAAGTCTGAATACTGTGTGGGGAGACAGGAGACTACCAGTGCCCTCAGGCAGTTCTCGCACAGGTGAGGGACAGGGAATACTTTGGAAGTTCTCCTGAGTGAAGAGCAATCAGCAGTCTTGTAGGAGCACCAGAATCTGATGATCAATGGGAAGAAGTAATTTAAAAGGAAGCTAACAATGTAGGAAGTTGGTTTACAATGGGACGAGAGCTGTAAAGAGTGTAAGAAAAGACCAAGAGCAAAGAGAAGACAATGTGAACATAAGAAAGGGCAGGACAGGCCCCAAGTCCAGTGCAGGCACCTTCCATTTCTTTGTCAAGCCCACACAGTGTGAGCTGTCTAACATTTGAAGCAACCCTTCCACAAAGTAGCCTCGCTCTGCTAGGAGAGAGTGCAGTGTTTCTCCAGACACCAAGTGAAGGAACTGTGTGACAGCATACACCTGTGCACACCGTCTAATGTGATTCCTGGTACAGAGACACTGAGGAATCACGTTTATAAGCCAGTAATTACTATGAAGCCTTAATTAAGCAAATGGATTACTGCAAACTGTAGTCACCAAATTCTGACTTAGAATATATTACCCACTTCAGGATATGGATTAGAAATGAGTTCAAATCACTATTGAGCAAATTATACTATTAATCACAGTTTATGAATTTAAGAAAAACTGAGGTGAAATGAACCTACTTTTCATACTGTTTTATAACTAGAGCTTGTACCTGCATTTCACCTTATTCGAGAGGCCAAACAGTATACTTTTTTTTTTGGTAATAGTAGAAAAGGAGTATACTCAGTAATATTTGCAAAGGAATACACTATTGGATGAAACAATCATTAAAACTAGCAAAGGTAGAATCAGGAACCAAATTAGAAACAGTATCGTAGTCTAACCATATTGACTTATTATTTCAGATAGGACGTGACATTCTTGTTTTCTTGGTCTTTTTGAGACAGGGTTTCTCTATGCAGTTCAGGCTGGCCTTGATCTCACTTTGTAGCCCAGGCTGGCCTCAAACTCCCAGCAATTCTCCTGCATTAGCTTCCTGAGTGCTGGAATTACAATCATGCGCCTCCATACCTGGCAAGGACACATTCTTAAAACCTAAAGGACCGAATGCTATACATATCTCAAATTCTGTTGCTTAATTTTTGAGATTATCAGAAACATTCTGATAATGAAAACTCCTTAAGGCTTTGTTGCATTTCAAATTTCCCTCATTCGGGTCAGGCTTTCAAAGCCTGAAGGAAGAGACCAGTATGAATTACATGCAGAGACTCAGTCATTAAGAAGGTAAGAAGGTATCTGGACACTAAGAAGGGACAATCTCTCTCATGCTCTCAATTCCTTCAGCATGGACACTACAGTACCAATGCATCTCTGTCTTCTTCCTTTTTAAACATTTTATGATTTGGATTATCTGTCAGGATACAAGTCAAACAATTTTTAAAAATCCTGAAATCTTAAGGAAGAAAAACTAAGAAAGATTATAAACTTCCTTTCATCACTTGGTTAGTCATTCTAAATTATTAAAAAACAATATACATAGTCCTCTTCTTTTGGTACTGGCAATCAAACTCATGACTTTGCACTGCTACACAGATGCTTACGCCACTGAGCTATATCCCCGGCCCAGTATACATAATCTTATTAGATGGAAATAACAGAAAATATGTTAGACATTGACTGCATATAATGTCTTTTCAAAAATCACAATAACAATTTATTAACATGTAAATGGAAGGAGAAAGTGACAGAAATGTGATTTTACCATAAACAAAATCACTCAGCAAAATAGTAAGCTACACTCTCTACCACAATATATTACAAGAAAATGCACCCTAGGCTATAGGTATAGGTTAGTGGTGGAGTGCTAGCCATGCATGCACAAACCTGGTTCAATTCCCAGCACTGCAAAAAATAAGTAAGAGAAAATGTATCCTAAGAAGAATGTTACAAGACTTTCCTTAGGAATCATCATGTAACTTAATTTCATGTTTCATCAAAGATGCAACATCAAATAATTAACTAGTGTGATCAATGACGTGTCAAAATGACATCACTAATATAAACCTTTATAATCTTTTTAAAAGAGTAAAAACCACTGATAGAGCACTGCAAAACATCAATTTCCATAGCTGTTGATATTTAAAAGAGACTCACGGTAATACAGATTATAATTCTAACAAAGTAGAGAACTATGACATTCAACATGAAAGTATGCCCCTGCCCTAGTAAACCCTGCAGAATTAATGAATCCAGGTCTGTTTTACTCTCTAGAAACTTTCTGAAGATGATCTGAATGGGTGAAAAGACATTTGGCGTAGTCAGACTGAACTGTTTTCCACAGCTGAATCCTGTGTTTTCTTTCTCTTCTTGTGGAGCTACTGAAACCAGACCCTTGCACATGGCGGCAAGTGCTCTACACTGGCTATGCCCCCACGCTAGGACCACTTTCTCTCCCGAGGCTGGGGTCCCACAGCTGTGTCAAGCAACAAACTAATGGACTGGGGTACCTTAGCCGGCAGCAACAGTGACCAGGTGTGAGCTGGAAGGACCTCTTATCTCCGGAAGGAACACTGCCTCCAGAAAGTAATGACCTAAGAGTCCTCACCAGCAACCACAGCACAGGTCCATCGTTTTTCAGAGGCACCCACTGCAATACACTAGTTCAAAATGTCTTTTGGGGCATCACAGCGTCTCAAGAAAAAGACCAAAAAACAAAAACAAACGAACAACAAACAAAAATCCTAACATATTTTATTTCTAGGCCTTCCATTAACAAACTAATTAAAATGTCAACACAAACTGCACCCATTTATTTATAACTATCTCAATGTGATCATTCTTTATAGCTGAGTAGTACTCCATTGTATAAAAATATCACAGCTTGAGACCATACTCATAAGTGAAATAAATCAAACTCACATGTATAAACACCGAATAGTTTCCTTAGAGTAAGAAATGGTAAGAATACACAAAAGTATGTGGTAATCAGGATTGCCCATTATATTGTTTTGAAGCCTTATAATGTTTTCATTCATTAATTAGAATGGTTTTATTCTGGGGTGTTTGATTTTATTGTCTGTGATAGTATGAACAGTTATTTTGAAGAAAACCAGACATGATAATAGTTACTGCCAATTTAATATCAGCTTGTTTTGAAGTCCCATCAAGCTTTTGTTCTTCTGTCTCCATCTGTCTTAACATGTTGTATCTTACTGGATTTTATGTGACAATATAAACAAAATTTTTTATAGACAAGGAGATAATATAGAAACTGTTGTTCTTATTCTGTTAGTTGGTTCTAAATACCCTATAATATTTTTACCCTCTTGAATGGTTTTACACTGTCCGGTTATGTTTGATACTATAGTATACAAAGGCATACTCAAATATTTCAAGGAAAGAGACACTATGGTAATTACTGTTATGTCGGGTTATCTTGTGGTGAAACACTATGATGCAGCTATTTCCCTTCTGGGTATTTTTCCAGAACTGAAAACATCACACCACAGTGATATATGTGCACCCATGTTCACAGTAGCACAATTTGTAATCGCCAGATCTTGGAAATAACCCAAATGTCCATCAACTGAAGAATGGATAAAAAAAGATGTGGTATTTTTATACAGTGGAGTACTACTCACTCACAAATAATGATTAACTTGAGGCTTTGATAGGTAAATGGATGCAACTAGAGACCATACTCCTAAGTCAAATAAATCAGACTTGCATGTGTAAACACCATATTGTCTCACTAGTATAAGAAGCTGAAAGAGTAAATAAGATCCAAAAGTTAAAGAAACTGCTCAAAAGGAAATTATATTGTTTTATCAGTTTTTTATGACTGCATCTGGTAACCTGAACAACTACTCTGACGATAACAATTTGCAATATCACAACCATTGTTAAATTCTTAACAACTTGGTTTGAAATCCTATATGGCTATTGTTTTTCTGTTATTTTTATTGTCACTTTGTTTCTGTTGTATTGCTTGTGTGCTTCTTGGTTTTTCAGTTTTTTTTCTCTTCAAAATAAAAATAAATAAATAAAAGTGAAAACCAAATAAATAAAATGTCAACACAGAGCCGGGTTACAGCTCAGTGGCACAGCATCTGCCTGCTGAGCGCGAGACTGAGTTTGAGAGTTCGATTTCTGGTTCCCAAAAAGAAAAATACATAAAATAAAATAAAATAAAATAGTCAATACAACACTTTTTGTTACTAATTTTTCTCTTAAGTCAATCATGTAAAATCGACTCCCTAACATTCTCACTAAAAACCACTGCAATGAATTTCACGAAACGTTCAGGTAACCCTTCGGTGTCTGTTGAAGATACAGTGGGCTCATAAAATAAGGACAAGTAAGCTTTTTACAACATGAATGATAAAATACTACTCCTTACGGTCTCATCCTCTTTTGATCTTCATTATAAAATTTCTTTTCTAAAACAGGACACGAGATGGTAAAAAGTACTTCTAAGTCATCACCTAGTATGGTACCTTGGCAGCTTTATTAACCTTGTCTTCATTTTCTCTCTTATACACAAAGACTGAAGCAAGTTTGCCATCTTGCAGTACAGCAGGGTAGACAGCAAGTCCCGCGGGCAGGGTAAACGGTGGCTCTTTCAGGGCATAGCTCTTCAAAGCGCTGTTCTCTGATCCCATCCCTTACGCCGTGGGGCAGTCTGCAGCTTCTCCTCAAAGCCGACAGACCTAAAAGAAAACAGAGAACAACTTCAAACGGTGACTCTCTACCTACAACATAAGCAGACAGGTCCACTGCACCCAGAAATAACCACTCAAAGCTCATTCTGCAACCCTTGCAACTAGGGCCTTAGTTAATAAAAGTGGTGAATGCTTTGGCGAATAGTCCACAATGCTGGTTAAGTCTCAGGTCAGAACGCCAGAGAAAATGCATGTTATCGAATAATCACATGTAACTACTGTTCTTCCCCCAAACCCCACTACACAGAAACTTTTGGTTTCTTAGAAAGGCAATCAAAAACAGAATACAGTCATTCACACTTCCTAATTTACTTATATATTCAGACTCAGAAAGGAGAATGTGGCAAAACTTGATTATTCAAAAATAATAGCTAGGCATGGCGCCAAATGCCTATAACCCCTCCCTGTAGGAGGCTGAGGCAGGAAGATCACAAATTCAAGGCTGGCTTGGTAATTTAGCAACTCAGGGAGAATCTGTCTGAAAAACAAAAAAATCAAAAAGGATGTGGACTGTAGTTCAGTGCAAAGGATCTAGATTCAATCTCCAGTACTGGAGAAATAAGCACACAGCTGGGAGCGGTGGTGCGCACCTGTGATCCAGCGCTAGGGATAGAGACTGAGGACTACCACAAGCTCAAAGCCAGCTTGGACCACACAGTGAGTTCAAGGCCATCAGAGACCACACAGCAAGACCCTGCCTCAAAGAAACCAAACCTAAACAAAACCAAATAAATAAGACTTACTTATGTTTAAAATTAAATTATAAAGGACAGTCCTACAAACACAGAACATACTGATGAAATACGTGTGAACGCATGGTAAGGAAAGTGCATACTAGGCAAGTAAAAGTCGTAAACACCAGCCAAATGGGGAAATTCTGAAGAAGTGCAGATAACAATAAACTTAAGAAAAACCGGCCTTTCCCGACTCCTCAGAGTTACACTAAGTAAAAAAGTCGAAAGTGCAAAACTATATAATCACAAAATCTGAAACACACACAAATAAAATTCTAGAAAATGCAAACTACTCTATAACAGAAAACAGATCAGTGTTTGTCTAGAGAGGGGACAGTGAGACGGAAGGAGGGAGAGGAGAAGATTACACAGGGGTCTGAGAGAACCTGCAGGGATGGATTATTTTGATTATGATGAGGGTGATGAATAATTAGAAATATCGAAACTTACCAAATTGTATAATTTATGCACCATTTCCTCTATATCAACTGTACTTCAATAAAGTTGCTTTAGAAAGAGACGCATAAGGCTGAGCATGATGGCACACACCTGTAATCCTAGCACTCACTAGGCTGAGGCAGGAGGATGGCAAATTAGAGTCCAGCCTGGGCAACTTAGTGAGACTTCTCAAAAACCAAAGAGTGAGAAAAACGAAGGGCAGGAGTGCAAGAAACATGCAAGCATACATAACTACACAAGACATTTGGAATAAACATAAAGTATTAACAAAGGTTTGTTGTAGAGGGTAAGAGTGTATATACGATAATGTCATAAATACAACTATCTGGCCAACACTTCTCCCAAATCTTATACTACACAAATGTATCAGACTTTACAACAGGCGGTGCACAGCAGACTGGGTGGACAGCGAAGGACATGGGCACCTGCCATGAGGTGAGCTTTCTCTGAATACGCCCAGGATAAAGCTCTACCAGGCCTAAAATTCCAGTGACGCGTGGGTCCCTGATCATGAGAAATGAAGAGCCTGGATATCTATGTGGGAGTCTCTCTATGACTCAATGTTCATGCAGATTTGTTTTAAACATACATAAGCCGAACGACATATTTCTGGAAAATCTGTAACAATCAATTTTCAGTTTGGGCTGTGCATAATAAAATTTTTAAAAATTTCTTATTAACTCTGGCAATGTGGCAAGCAAATCACTAGTTCTAAATAACACAAGCAAAAATCTATGTAGACCTGTATAAATCTTCTGTTAAAAAGCCTCAGTTTTTGGACAAATGTCCAATAACTGTTCTACACAATTTCTTCATTTGGATTTCCCTCCCCCTTGGTGAAGCTTCATACACCTTCTATTTTGCTTATGCAGCAGCTCAAACACATACCTAACACACAACGCACGGTATGCAAGACTCTTGTACAACACCATGTAAGAAACACATGGGTTAAAGCGATCTAGCATGAAAGCTCTTCAAAGTTTAAGAATGTTCTGCTTTGTAACAAAGCCACTGAGTGCTACCCTACTTAGAAACTCATTTTAAGACTGATACAAGCCAGGCGCCCTGGATCATGCCTCTAATCCCAGCACTCTGGAAAACGTTAAGTAGGAGGATGCCAAGTTCAGGCCCAGCCTGGGTTCTAAGGTGAGCCTATCTCAAACACCACCAAACAACAAAAACCAAGCCACACAAAGTTGATACAGAAAAACAAAAGTATACAATAGTCTACTACTTCAGCTATAAGATAAATTCAACTTCTTACAGGAATGACAAAGTCTATGAAGGGTAATGGGGAGAAGCATCTGTCATCTATGTGGAGAGGTAGTTAGCCTGAGATCACCCTTGTTGGGAAGGAAGATCATGCTTAGCACGTGGACCATGCACTCCTGCTTCCTGGGCACACAGTTCATGAGTCTGGTGCCTAGGACCCTCGACCTCAGCAAAGAACCTAGCCACACACTTTGCTGTGTCCACAGGAACATGAAACAGGAAGAGAGTTTTTCTGTTAGTGCCGCATCTGAAGGTAGGATGCCAGGAGCTGGGGCTAGGGACTATGGCAGAACAAGCAATGAAAGCACAAAGTTGGCAGGCACAGAGGATGTCAGTAGGCAGTAAGATAACAAAAAGCCAATGCTGGGAGCACAGCTTAGCCTGATTTATAAGGCACATCACTACCCTCCACCTTGAGGCCCCAGGAAGCCGCTCTGAAGTCATTTCCTTCCTACCTCATGGACACTTTACCATCAGTCCCCTTCTCTGAGGCAGCTTCAGGAGATCCAAGTTCTTGGCCACTAATTGCTACTTCAGAAGCAAAACACTCTACTTCTTTTTAACTCTTTCCTGAAAAACCAGTCGGACTAGAGCACTGAGTTAGAGGGCAAAGTGTTGCTCTGAAGCTAGACCTCCTCAGCCACAAAACCCAGCCTCTCAAAATCAACACACAGTAAAGGCAGAACGCAGAACTACAAGTAAATGAAGACCCATTTGCTTACGGGTCCAGTAGCAGTCCCCGAAGAGAGATGGTGGTCACCGGGCTTAGGGCAAGGGTTCGGGCCAGGTAAGTGGCTGAAAGTCCGCACCATAGTAACACACATTTAATTATGCTAGTTTTTTCTAAATAGAAAAGTCTTCCTTGTGGGAATACTGAGCCTCACAATACCCATTAATCTGTGATTCAGCATTATGAATACTCCTGCATAAGAACGAACGATTAGGTACAAAAGCATTAGGAAAGAGTTAAAACTGGTAAAACTTTACAGTAATTCATTTTAGGCCCAAGAGACTAAGAAATATCATTTAGAAGTTAAAAAGAGATGACTCCATTTTTTGAGAGAACTCAAAAATGATGCCACTGTATAACCTGAAAGCACTGAGTCTACTGTGATCACCGGTGCGGGCTGAGGGAGCAGTGGGGTTATACTCCACGCGTAGGGTAAACTTTATTAGGGCAAAATAAAAAGGTGTGCTGTTCCGAAAATTCCTCTGAAACCAGAAAAGACCTAGACTAGCAAAGGTAATCCTGGGTAATAAAGGCAAGTCAGGAGGCAATTCCTGACTTGAAATTATACTACAAAGTTACTGTGATAAAATCAACATGGTTTTGGCAAAAACAAAAACAAAAACAGGTCTGAGAGCCAGTGATTAGAAGATGCCGATATAACTACAAACACACTCGATCACCTTATGCTTGACAATGGGACAAATATATTCACTGGAAGAAAGACAGCCTCTTTAATAAATGGTGCTGGGAAAACTGGCTCTCTACATGCCAAACACTAAAATTAGACCCATCTCTATAACCATGCACTACAGTAAAAAAGGATCAAAGATCTGAATATTAAAACAGAAACACTAACTCCATTGGAAGAGAAAGTAGGTACAAATCTTGAAGACACAGGGTTAGGCAGAGAGCTTATGAACAAAATCTGACCACACAGGAAATACTACAATCAATCAACTAGTGGAATCTCATCTAATTAAAAAGCTTTTGCACAGCAAAATAAATCATCAATGAAGTGCAAAGACAACCCACAGAATGCGAAAAAATTTTAGCCAATTGTCCCTCAGGCAAAGCACTTCTATCTAGAACAAATAAAAAATTGAAAAAAATCAGACCCCCTAAATTCAAAGACCCAAACTAAAAAATGGGCATGTGAGATGAATGTACACTTCTCAAACGAAGAAATACAAATGTCAAATAAATATGAAAAAAATGTTCAACATCATTGGTCTTTCAAGAGATGCAAATTAAACTAAGATTCCACTCCACCCCAGAAAGAATGGCTATCATCTAGAACTATCATCAACCAAGAACAAATACTGGAAGGGATGTGGGAAAAAAGGACTCTTCTCCACTGTTGGTAGGAATGTAGACTGGTGAAATCATTGTGGAGATTCCTTCAAAAAATTAGAAGTTCCATTCTACCCAGCTATTCCCCTTCTGGAGATCTTCCCAGAATTAAAATCATCATGCCACAGCAGTATATGTGTACCCATGTTTATAGCACACCAATTTGTAATACCTAAATCTTGGAAACAACCCAAATGCCCATCAACTGTGGAATCCATAAAAAAGATGTAATCTTTTTATACAAGAGTACTACTCAGCCATATGGAAGGATAAACTTGAGACTTTTGTAGGTAAATGGATACAACTTGAGATCATACTCACAAGGGAAATAAATCAGACTCACATGTGCAAATGTCATATTGTCTTCCTAGTGTGAGAAACTGAAAAGAGTAAATAAGTTCTAAAACATACAACAGATATTGTGAATTGGGAAGAATCAGTTCAAAAGGAAAAATGAACTAAGATGGGTGAAGGGAAAAGATAGCAGGGAAAAAGGGAAAAAATGGAAGTCAGTCATGGTATTAGTGTCTGTTAGTTCCTAAAAAAGGCCTGTGCTAATATTGAGTGGAGAAATTTTTATGCCCATCTTATACACTGAGCAACGACTTTAAAGATAACACCATGTGTTACCTCTTACTGTCCTATTTATTTATTGTTGTGAAACTGTTTTACTTTTTTTCCATAAAAAAAAAAAAGGTGTGCCGATGATGCAATTTGAGACTGCTTCAAAGCAGTAATTCTAATTCTTCAGACAACTGCAATCAATCCAAAAAGCACAAATACTACAAACAGCGATTTAAAAAAATAACCTTCTGGAAATGTAAGACACATAAACAACACTAGAACCCCAAAATGTTCTCTTGTTTTGAGAGGGGAGAAAACACAAAAATCCTGCTTATTAGCTGTGGAATTAAAAGTCCTAAGAAAGTAGCAAATGATATTATAACATCAGAGCACGGACATTTTGCAGAATTGATCACCTTTGCTCTATTATCAAATGTTAGGTCGAGAGTTCCTGGCTTGAATCTTTGCCATAGTCTTTTGGGCATGGTGTCACACACCTGTAATCCTAGCACTTGGGAGGCTGAGGCAGGAGGATGGCTGACAGCTCTAAGCCAGTCTGGGCTACATACTGAGTTTAAAGCCACCTGGATTACATAGTGAGGCTCTCTCAAAAATCCAAAATAAATAAATCCTTTTTGATCTCTCTCTCACCCCTTTTGCCTCTTTAAGCAACACCATGACGTTCCTGACTGGCCATCTGTAGAATGGGAAAGCCCTGGGCTAAATCCCTGGGCAACTAAGAAACCTGTGTCCTCCGAGGACCCATTTTTCTCTGTTCACTTCTTAGAAAGTTGTGAGCCTGCCTTGCTCCTCTGGCTGGGAAGTTTCAACACTGACGGCACTGATCGATGCTTCGGTGTTTACTGATTAACATCACCACTCGCCTTTGCTTTGATTTGGTCCAGGTATTGAGGCAAGATAGAATAAATAAGGATAGGTAAAACGGAGGCAAGGAAAATCAGAATTTCAAAATTGTATTTTTAAGAACTACAGCTCCGAGACAAACCCGGTTTAAATTTCTCAGACAAGATGAACCTGGGCAACTCCGTTTAACACACAAATCAGCATTTTTCATTTGTGAATAAACCACCTCTTTCCACCTCTAAATTGGCTTCCTCCCATGACCTCTCTTGAAAGAAGTACCCGTAACAGGAGGCGGGGCAGAGGATCTCAATGTCAAAAATAGTTTGCGTTCTGACACAGCCCAGTAGACGGGTGAGAGGGCAGTGAGTAGGAATACCCATCTTCGATCACCCATCTCAACACCACTCAGCCCCAAATCCTAAGGGGCCTCATTTCTCTGAACGCCCCCAGGCCTCACCAGTGCGCAGTCTAAGCTTATCCCTAGAAACTCTCCTCATGCCTTTTATTGGCCAATTCTGAAAACCAGTGTCTTTTTTCAGTGATGGGAATCAGAGAGCCTGCAACTTTTTAATTCTCCAGGTAGAGCAGGTGTGGGTGCCAGCTCCACTTTGCAGCGTGGTCAGGGTCTCCTGCTCAGGGATCCTTGTCCGTGTCCGTCCGTGTCCCTCGCGCTGAGCTCCATCAGCCTCCCCGACTGACAAGCGATGCTTTTCGATGAATCTTTAGAGCCACAGGAACCAAGAGTGACTTCAGCGGAGCAGCGAGCCCTGAACTCAGCAAAGCCACCTCCGTAGGGTGTCTCCTCTTTACCCTAAACGTAAAGCGTCACGCGCGGACCGCAGCCCTAGGGCCTCGGGGCCGACCAAGGTCTCCCCAACCTGGGCTGCGGATCCCCACATCGTGGCGGACTCCGGCCCAGCCCGTTCCGATTAGGTTACCTGCGGGCAGCGGGGAGATCAGAGAGTCTCCTGGGCTAGCGACCCCTTCGCCTCTGAGCCGGCGGCCACAACACCTACAACCTCCCGGACTGGGCCGCTCAGACGCCGCAGAGACGGCCCGGAAATGGACGGAACGCCCTCCGTCACCCCTTTGACGCCATCACGGAAGCGAGCGGACCCGGGACCCGGAACCCAGATAGAGTAGGTGCCAGGGTAAGTGTGGGTGCCTGTGGTGATCCTGTGTTTTACTCATGGTTCCGGTTAGCCTCTCCGGCCTGCGGAGAGCTCATCCTATGCTTTACAGTGAATAGATAGTGTATCTTTTAGCTGGTTTTTAATCGCGCAGTTTCTCGTCACTTCCGCCCATAGTCAAAATGTCAGCCGGTAGCCTCAAACAAGCGCTATAGTAAATCAGCGCGGCGGAACAAACGGAGGACTGCGATTGGCAGGAGCTCGGAGAGTGATGACTTACGTACCGCACTCTCATTGGCTGGACCGTGTGAGCACAAATGCTGTCCTGCCTGTGCTGCAGCAGTCAGGAGATCTGGATTCGCAAGTGGAGCCCTTCGGAGAAAAGGCTGGGATTGAAGGAATAGTGAAACTGGGATTAATTCTAGTGGCAATGGTGCCTACTTTATTGGCTGTAACTATCCGGCCATAGTGGAGCACAGCTGTAATCCCAGCAGGTACTTCGAGGAAGAGCAAGGATGATCGCGAGTTCGAGGCCAGCCTGCAAGTTTGTCTCCAAATTTAAAATAAGGGCTCAGTGATAAGGCGAGTGCCTAGCATGCTCGAGGCCCTCTGCAGAAAAATTAACAAAAAGAAAAGAAAGAGTCTGACTGCAGGAGCACACTTGTAATCCCAGCACTTTCGAGAATGAGGCAGAAGGATTGCAAATGCAAGCCCAGCGTAGGCAATTTAGTGAGATCTTGCCTCAAATAAAATAAAAAATTTAAAAGAAAAACACCCTGAGGATGTAGCTCAGTAGTAAGGCCCTGGGTCAACCCCAACGTGCGCGCACGTGCATGCACACACACACACACCTTTGCAGCACAAAAACTAGTATTTTCTCTACTATCATCTTCAAGATCCATAGTCGTCATCACTACGACCTAAGGCTTCTGGGGCATCCAGGTTAACAGCTGAATCTAAATTATTTGCTCATATATAACTCGTACATCCTTTCTAGCCCACAATAATAGCCAAAAAATAATTACAGTGGATATAGACACCATAACCTCTTTCATTTAAAGGAAAACAAATACGTATCAAAACTTGGCACTAATTCAAAAATGTCCTAGACAAATGTTTATGATGACATGGATACAAACGGTTCATCTAATCCATGCTGTAATCTCGATGAAGTCTGACCTCTCTGACGTAGATCAAAGTTGTCCTGTATAACAGAACTCCTACAACATGTGTAATGTTAGTGTTTCTAGGTGCCTTCCTAACAACAATGAAAAAAATGTGGTCAATTATATTATATTTCAACCTAATGTATCCAAAAGATTTCTAATTAAGCAATATAAACTGCTTCCCCCTCCCCAGGTTCTCCTGTGTAGTGCAGACTGGCCTCAAATTCACAGCGATCCTCCTCCCTCAGTCTCCTGAGTGCTGAGATTATAGGAGTGTGCCACCACGCCTGGCCTGAGATTTTTATTTATAGGTTTTTGGAACTGTCTTCAAAATATGATTTATTTTTATTTTTGCAATTAGAACTAACCATATGTTAATGCTTTTCAACTTGTAACTACAGGCTGCTGCATAGGTGAGTGCAGATCTAAGCAGGTGAGCCACTATAATCCACTAGAAATTTGAGAAATTAAAGTATGGTTCTGGGTTCTTGTACATGATAGTCAGCATCCACATCTGGCAACCAGAAATCCACTGGATGCAAGATAAACCCAGGACCATGAGAGGTGAGACCTTGAAGGCATATCTAAAGACTGGAGGCCTCTTGGATTTTTAAATCTGGTTATTTAAGAGTGGAGAGCTTTCTCTAAAATATTTTAGCCAATTCACCTATCTTCAATTCTTTACAACCCATCTCTAATATTCATCCTAGCAATTAAGAAATTGTTATCTTCCAAGTAAAAAATAATGAAAATAAAATTATTTCTGATACCATGATAATTGCCACATCATCTTATAATCAAGAGATGAAGGTAGTTAAAGTATTTGCAACTCTATCTCTATCGTGTGGCCTGCTGGTATGATGCCAACTTCTGACCCAGGAGGATACAGTACTAATAGCTGGAATGCTAGCTGATCCTGTGGTGTATGTTCAGTCAATTACACCACACAGAGCATGACAGTTTATTCAGATGCTGCTTAGGCTGTCTACCAGGACAGAAAACGCAAAAGGTGAATTGTAAATATCTATGCCCAGCTCCCCTAGAACTCCATTAAGACAGGGCTGGGGTTGGTAGCCACTCCCAGAGAGATGCTTCAAGGCCAGATTAGACAAAAGAAATATGAGCCAGATGTAGTGGTCCATACTCGTAATTTCAGCATTCTGGGAGACCGAGGCAGGAAAGACAAGTTTAAATCCTGCCTGAACATTTTAGCAAGAACCGGTTTGAAAAAATTATGTGTATATATATATAAAATCTATTAACATTACATATATATATTATGTTAATAGATAATGGCTCAGGATATAGCTCAGCATGAAGGCACTGGGTTTAATCCCCTGTACTGTAAGTTTAGTAACTCCAACATCCATTTCCATTTCTACTTCAGTCACCTTAATTGTGGAGGTTAAGAAATCAAAACAGTTACTTTCTGAGCCTATTTTGCAGCTGTGTGGTCACAAATTCAGACCAGGGAGACACAACTCCATGCAGCAACTGGGGAAAGGCAAGCAGTGCATTAGGGAAAGTTTCTGCTTTCTTGATGCAGGAAAGGAATGTGGCTAAGAGCTGCTATCCAAACCCTGTGAAACTACACCCGCACATGCTAAAGATGTGGGGCCGTGAGGTGGAAAGCTGGGATTCTCTTGATGTAGGGAACTTGTGGTTTTTTCCCTTTCACCTAGGGAGTCAAAATGAGCCTTTCAACTGGTGCCTGAAATGTTGAACTGGCACATTAGCTGATTACTTGCCTGCCTCTCCAGCAGCGCCCTTACCCCTGAGTCCTGCTGTCATTCTCCACTTCTTGCTCCCGAATGCAGCATCCAGATGTGACTGGGCCTCTTGGACTCTCCTTATTTCCCCATCCTGGTGGTCTGGACTCTGCTCTTCTTTTCCCCAAGTTGTACCTACTCCCCCAAACAGCAATGAGAAAGAAATATTTTACTGTCAGTTGAGTAGAAGAGAAACAGAAAAGCTTGCTACTTTCTCTCCCTAGTATTCATCTGTTTACATATTTGTTCCTGTTGGCAGTCAAGACTCTTTAAGTGTGACCCATTAAGTCTCTGGACAAGAAAAAGAAGAACCATGGTTCAGAGTACAGACTAAAATTTTTGTCCAGTAGGGATAAAAATAATTCTGTTCAGTGGACATTTAATTCTGTAGGAAGACAGGACAATATTCTATTAGTTTATAGCAATCCACTGTTCTAATTCGAGTTGGAACAGGAAATCATTTTATAATTTGTAAATGGGGTGTGTGTCAGATTCCAAGCCTAAAGCATCTTCTCCCAAAGTATGTAGGTTATCACTTCTCTAGATTCCATGCCCTGATTAAGAAAAACAGATGCCTGGAAACATTTTAGTCCATTCTACACATCTTTAAACTGCTCAATTTAACATCTTTAAATACACTAGTATTGATCGGAGTTAGAGTCAGCCAAACTGCTTGCAGCGTCTGCCCTGCAGGGCAGATTTCTGAATGAACTCCTTCGGATGCAGTGCACTCTGAAGTGTGAGCTGCTTTTAGACTTCAAAATGCACACGAATCACCTTGCAAACTTGCTTCAAGGAGGAAACAGGTTTGGAGCAAGCACTGGGCGCACATCTCCTCGATAGCCCTTCAGCGCAGAGAGACCCACAAGTCTCACTTTCCGTCTGAGGGGGGCGAGGAGCAGTCGGGGAGCCACCCGGAAGTGTGTTAAGGATTCGGGGCTGAGGCTGCACCCTGCCGTTCGGTTGGAGAAGCTCCGCGCCTTGGGCTCGGCGGCTCTCTCCTCTGATCTCCTATCCTGTTCTCTTTCTCTCGCCCCAGTCCCCTCACGCTGGCCCCTTGCTGTCCCCACAGGCCAGGTAAGGCGCTGCTCTAGGACCTCAGCCTGTTGCTCCGCCTTCTGCCTGATGTTCTGGTCCTTTTCCCTGGTCCCTGAGTTCGCCGCTAGTTCACCCTGGCGCGCATAGCGGTGCAGGACTCTGCGTGCTGCAATGCAGGATAGCAGAATTCTTCGGAAATTTTTTCCTTTTCTAAATTTTGGATTCCAGTAATTAGGAATTATACCGAAATGCGATTACAGCATTTGTTTGTTTGTTTGTAAGAGAGAACGATTAAAACCCAATGAGATGTCAAAATGTTAGAACAAACGAGAGCTGGGCAGTGAATCCGGCAGAGGGAAGCCGAATTTGTTGGAGCTTTTTTGGCTCCCCCTGGTGGTGAACATGCAGTGTCGCCTCCTTGATTTGCCTGAACTTTGCTATGATTTAGAGCGCTTTCACTGCTACCTAAAACGTGTCTCGACTGATAAAAAATACAGTGTGTTTGTATCCATATGATATTACTCAGCCACAAAAAGGAAGAAGATTTTCACACATGCTGCAACGTGAGGTCTGAGCACATTATGCTAAATGAAAAAAAATTAGACTAAATGAAAAAAAAAAAAAATCCAGACATTGTATGGTTCTGTTTACATGCAAAGTCCAGGATAGGTAAATCCACAGAGACGGGAGCTAGTTTAGGGTTGCCAGGGGCTGGGGCGTGCCAGTTAGGGGAGGGAGTTCCTTTTGAACGGTGAACGTATTATGGAATTAGATAGCAGTGATGATGATAAAACAATCTCATGGTTGTATGAGACGTGATTGAAATACACAGTGAATGTTTATTAGAAATTACAGTGAAAGACCCATGGCATTAATCCCTCTCAGAATTCTCCCTCTCACTTCACACGTACTTTCTATCTTTCTGCTCCTCTCTACAGCTGCTCTGGAAGTTCACGGATGTTTTTAGTTGCACTACCAGGGCTGCAGAAGCATTTGTCTTTCGTGGACATTTTGTCTGTAGGAAGAGCTAGAAGTTGCTGTTTCCGGATCCATTGAATAAGGTGC